TCATGCGAACTTTGCTCTATTGTATCTAGACTCTATGAATTTAAGCATAGAACTAGATTGGTAGTAAGTTCTCATCATTTTACAACTGAAATGGCTAAATATAACTTTGAAGTTCTTTGCTAACAGTTTCTTCTATTGCACTTCTCACTTGAGAAACTCTTTCAGCTTCTTGTTTTCCAGTCAACTTTGATCTTCAAAAATTTTAAATGCAATGTCAATCGTTATCTTCTATCTTAATTTTTGCTCTCTCTCCTTAATAATGTTTTTCTTTATATTCTTTCACACTCACTGCATGTTAGTGGCTCTGTTGCCTTGCTTGGAATCAAATAAATAAAAAGTGAAACTGAATGGATAAGAAAATAAGATGGTGGTACAATGCTAATATAAGAAAAGATGTCCCCCCCTGATAAAAGCCTTTGTGGGCAAATCAGTCAAAAGTGTCATTATAGTAAGAGAAACTTGTAAGAATATGATGCAAGTTCAAATCTTGTTGGAGTTTTATTCTTCATCTTTGCTCCTCATTTAATGGCTGTAGAATAACCTCCTGTGAGTTGTGATAAAAAAAAACAATAGAAATAAAAATTTAAATAGAATGATAATAGCAACATAGTTCAACATATTGCAAAATATATTACAACTTAAAGTCCCTAAAGTTTATCAATAGGCTTATTTTCATAAACTGACTTGAAGTTTTAACCCAAGTCAAATAGGAGTAGATAGATTTGCTTGTTTGGTTTAATGGTTTATTAAATAAAATCTAGTTGAATATTTTCATTACTCAGCAATCAAGACGTTTACAAAGTAGATTCGTTTGCTTTCATTTTTATTGTACCCTGAAATAATATTATTAGGCTTACAGCATTTATATGTGAGCTGTTGCATTTTTTTGTTTTTCAGTCAAGGGAGATAACTTAAATGACATCCCCCCCCTCATACATGGGAAGATTTTTATTGCCTTATGAGATATTGCATTATAATTAGTATATCCTTCTGCAACCACTGATAAATGTATTAAGATGGAATCTCTGTGTGTGTATATATATATATATATATATATATATATATATAATAGCTGGTCACTTGTATTCAAGGATACCCGTTTACTAGGGTGGCTAGCCAAACCCTATTGCAGACGCTCACTCAGACTCATTTGTGTTTGCTCAATACTCACAGAGACCAGCTGTGGTTTATACTGCAACTAGGCTGAGCAGACCTTAGTTTCAGGGAGAGAGCGTATTATCTAGCGTGATCAACAATTTGAACAAAGCCAGCATGTTCAAGCCCTCAGCCATGATGACTTGTGGCTTTGTGCTAGCACAGCTACCGACGGCCCTCAAAAGTTCCATCTACCCAATTTCACTCACAGGGCTTGAGTCAACCCGTGGTATGGTTTTCAGGCACTTTCCAAAGGTGCCGCACGCTGGAATCAACCTCGATCCAGTCCAATAACGTCCTTCCTGACAAATCGGCCATGGTGAGATTCGAACCTGGGTCTTATGTTTGAATGTTCTAACCACTTGGCCATGCCCATATATAACACATATATACATGGATTTTTCTCTGTGCCATGTAGGTGATCATGACTCTCCACAATTTCCTGTTCTTTGTAGCTCATAATAAATTTTGTGTTTTATTGTTATCTCTCCTAAACCTTGCTTCACCATCCATTTATTCAAGGTTGCTAGGTAGATTATGTTGTTTTCCTGTCCCTCTTACCTTCAATCCATCCTGTGAGTATCAAATTTTCCAAACCCTCATCCTGTGCCCTAAAAGTTTCAACTGTTTCTTCCTAATATTAAGTATAAGTGTCCTTTTTGATTCCATTTTTTGTAAAACTTCATTGTTGTTCCTATGTTTAGTCCATGGTAATTTTTGCATCTTTCTGTAGAATTAAATTTCTGTTGGTTCGAGTCCTCCTTCATCTGCGATGAGATTGTCCAGCATTCACTGTATAGGACTGATATTACATAACAATTCAATAATGTTTTCTTTGTTTTGAACAAAATTTTCCTGTTACTTAATAATTTGCTTAGCTTTTGGAAAGTATCTTTCACTGAACTCATTTTCTTTCTGTATGCAGATGGTTTACTGCCTGCATAGGTTCTGGATTATTCTAATATCCTTCCCAAATGCATAGGTTCTGGATTATTGTAATATTCTTCCCAAATATGTCAAGGTTACTAAGCAGTTCTTTGTGGCTTACTTTATCAAATGTTTTTGTGATATTCCTTGTTCCAGTGTCTTTAACGAACACATAGTTCTTATCCTGTTCTGATTCTGTGTGCTCTGTTCATCAGAATTCAGATAGGTTTTGTTATGACTCATTAGGTTGGCTGTCCAATGGCATTTACATTTGTTTACAAGCAAAGATAGTGCTATAAAAATAGATCTATTTAGGTCTTCCAGTATATCGCCACTGTTGTATATTTCATTTATTATGTCTGTATTCTTGTCAATGCCAATTAATCATCCTTAATTTTTTTTTTTTAAATTAATCACCAGCATTTTATATCCAGAAGATATTCCAGGTTCTGAGTCATTGAGTTAAAAATACCAGCAAATAGATTTTCAATGAAAGTCATGCTGCATTTAAAATTAGCATACAAGACCTGAAAACATCCTGGCTTTTTGGACTGATCTCTGTAGATATTAATCAGGATGAACAAGTCTAGCTAGGAATTGCAAAGTAGTAAACAGTTAGAAATGGAGACCTTGGAATAAAAATTTTAGAACAAACAAGCTTGGTGCCATTTCTTGAATGAGGAAAGTTTTTTTTTTTTTTAAAGAGTAATCAAAAAGGAAAAAAAAGTACTTTCATTATTCTTTTCTCAGATGATATAAGTTTCCTGAATTTGATCAATCCCGCATTATGAGTTCAAATCAATGGAGAAAGCTTTATTTACAGACAATTTTATAAAAAGAGAAATAAAAGATAAATTAACCAGTTAAAGATAATCTTTTCGTGAAGATCAGCAAACAAAATCAATCTAGTCAGAATGAAAAAATATCAGATTAATAATTATTGAATTAATGTAGGTAATCATTTTATCTTTCAAAAATAGTACCATTGGCTCACAATGGGAGATTGTAGCAGTTTTATGCATGTGTAGTTCAAATTCCCCAAATTTGGGGGTAGCACCTTTTTATAGTTTTGTTATTCATGTTTCAACAAGAAATAACATTTTCATACAATATTTAAAGCATTAACATCAACAAAATTAATTTTCAAAGTTATTGTAATTTATGAAATAATAACAGGAACTCCAGTTGAATATAATAATCATATTTATTGATATTTTTTTTTTTTTTTTTTTCAAATACAAACTGCTTTTCACATAATTAGAATATGTCAGCCAAGCTAACTATGATGCTATCATATGCCAGATGTGTGAGAGGAAAGAGATGGAAGTCAGTGATATCCACCCATTCCACCAACCCCAAAATCAAACATTAGTTGAGATAACACTCCAGATTAAACAATTGAATTTTAGGGAAGAAGAAAAAAAAAAATTCTTTAAGAATACAGAAAGAAAGACAAAAAAAGAGAAGGCAGCAAACAATTCACATACATAAACCAAGTTCAAGCATCAGTAAGTATAAGGACTGAGAAAAATCTAAAACTGATTTGTGCAAGAGGATGTCTATGTATTTGTGCAAATATTTGTATTTATTAAAAATAATCAAGACATTTCTGGAATGATAGAAACAAATATGGAATGTAATTATTTCAGTTTTGGTATTTTATTGGTTTTCTCATATTTTTTTTCTTTTAAATTCTATATAAAAAAAAAAACAGTTCTGGTAGATAATAATACATTAATACTAAATTCATTAATTCAAACATTTGAACAATTATTTCAAAACATGTGAATAAGTATCACTTTTTTTTTTTCTTCTTTGTTTGTTTTCATTTGCAATGTTCAAGCATACAACATTTCTTCTAATAAACCAATATTACTGACATGAGTCAGACTCAAGCTTTTAAGCTTAAATTTTTGTTCATGTTAATTTGTCAAGCATCTTTTAAGAATTTTTTCCCTAAAATAACAAGATTATTAATGTCTGACTACTTTTTTCCTAGATTTCAGAATGGCAGAAAAAAAAGGTAATTTATTATTGATTCTCTATGCAAGTGATACTGAGCAAAACTATAGACAGACAGATTGAACTAACATATGACCTAAACATAGATAAATTGATTAGTAAGGAAAATTAAGAAATATAAATTCTTAAAAAACAAAAAATTTAAACATGATTTTGTTTTAGTCCCAAATGTTATAATGTAAGGAAAGTTGAAACAAACTGTTTATTTGTCATCAGATGGACACAACTTGTTTTCAATGAACTCATTTGTATCCAATCGATACTGTAACAAAATTTCTGTTGACTCCAACCAAGCCTTCTACTATGTATCAAAATTTGACTCACCAAATTAAGTACTCCTGATGTCACTCAACTACTAACCATTTATACACTCTGGCCCTCAGCCAAACAGAAATGGCAGGAGGTGACATACATATATATATATTTAAAAAAAAAAAAAGCAGCAATCAATTATGTCTGAAATTCACAATTATAAAACTATCTTCACCAGCCAGGTCAGAGATGCTGACATTGAACCTCTCTCTCTCAGGATCGGAGAGGGAGAAGGAAGGTGATAAAGAAGAAAAAAAAAAAAAAACTATTTAGGACTTTATACTTACTGGTGCTGGCACTCTGATATCACACACGCATACACACGTGTGTGTATATATATATATATATATACACACAAACAAAAGACACTGTTATGAAGAGGAGAAAAAAGAAAACAAAAAAATATCACAGACAAATGAGTGTTATGATTAAAACACATATTTTTTTTTTTTTTTTTTTTTTTTTTTTTTTTTTTTTAGTAGTAATTATCTGTACCAATGTTATATTTCATGTTTTCTCAAGACCAACATACCTTGATTTGAAGTAAGCTTTCCTTCTACCAGCTGACAGTATGGTAACAAGCCTCACCAAATTTGGCTTAAAATATTAGACCACACATTTTCCAAACTCCTAATTATAAAAACATATAAGTTATTGAATTTGCTATCATAGTGATAAATCAGAAGTATAAAAGAAGTTCATAATGAATTGATATCAGCAAAGTCATTGCTAAAATTCATTTACTCACTCAAACTAATCCTATTCATACCAACTTTACTGTTAAAAAAATAATATAAGAATCATATCCAATTTGTAAGATAATAGATATTTAAACAATTGGCTATATTGGAAATTTTATAATTCCTATGAAAATATTGGATTTGTTAAAAGTTTGTAACATTTCCTGTGTTTAAAATCAAAGCCACCAATATTCAAAAACTACCTGATGAGCTTGATGCTAATCCACTATAATAGATTTTTTACTTAACAAGTTGTTTGGGATTGGATCTTTTTGCATGTTCACTTTTCTTCTATTTCAGCCACTTTTAGGTGTAGGCAATCCTTAAATGTCATCTAGATTTTGTTTTTTGTTTAAACTAAAATAGTAAGGATATTCATAAAAAGAAGGAAGATGCTTCATCTTGAAACTTCATATAATAGAATAGATTTACTAGTTAAAGAAAGTTAGGTGCAAGATCAATTGCAGAGATTTTGTGTGAAATGCAAAGTACCTATTCCTAGGTTTGAACTAGAGCTAGCAGGTTAAATAATGAGATCATCTTTATCAGATGAGCAACGATACCTACACTCAGTTCATAATAGTGACAATAATAGCTACATATCTATCAAACTATTCAGTTTCTATAAAGTGTACATATGAAAATAAGTTAAAGGGAAGTGACACAGAATATGAAAAAAAAAAAAAAAAAAAATTTTATTTTTTTTTTGTGGTGTGTATTTTGACAGAGGAAGGAAGTAGTATTTTGAAGGTGTCCACCTAATTTTTTCCTGATCAGCCAGTAGACCCAAATAATTACCTCTTCATCCCAATTCTTAATTGTGACTTTCCTCAACAAGGAAATAATTATTGTTGTGGCACTTAACACTATGAACTAGGGATAATTAAAAAAAAAACCACTAATTTACTTCACACTCTACATTTGATTCTGAATTTTCAATGAAAAAAAAGTTTCTTGCTTGGCATTTTGTATTTTCTACTAAAATTCTAAACTGTATAACCACAGAATTTTACCAATAAAATATAATTCTTGAAATTTAAAGATCACAAAAATACAAGGATTTAATTTGTCAGGGTACACATACATGGCTTAATAGTTAACATGTCTGATGAGATTTAAAAAATATCAATAGCTGTTATGTTCAAGTCTCACTCTGCATAGTTTCTAAGTAATTCATAAATTTGAACTATGAACACTTGATTTCAGTTGTTTCTACAGATGAGTGATGAAGGCACTTCATCAGCTTTGAGTTTAGATTTCCTTATGATTGACTTCAGAAAATCTAGCTGAAAATATTTGAAACAGCCATTTTACCTAAGCCTTTTAAAAAAATAAATATGAATCAGTTTAAATTAAGCATAAACTTTTTTAATTTAAAAAAAATTAGAAATTAATATTTTTCTTTTCTTATCTAGCTATGATCAATCAGCAACAAAACAAACTTTGCCAATAGATTTAAAAAAAAAAACAACTAAAGTTAAACATTTAGGTTGTGTAGAGATTGTAATTTTCTCCCTTGTCTAATAACTTCTCATCAGTTGAGGTAGTAAAAACCTGTAATGGCGAACTTCATTTCCAATTTAACATTTCATTTCCAAATCATTTAAATAAGACATTGGGAACGAAAGTTGTAAAGGAGAGGAATAATTTGGGGATTTCTTGTTCTTTCAACAAAACAAAAATAATGGAAGGATGGAATTGTGGGTGAGAGGAGAAACCAGGAAATTTAGAGATGGAAATGCAAGAAAAAGAAAAAAGAAAGCCGCCATAGAATGACATGGTTATAGGCTGGCAAAATATCTTTGGTATCGGGCCGATAAAATTAAAGCTAAAAAGAACAACATTGTTAAGGCCTCCTGATTGTTGTTGCTGTGGCTATCATTCCTTTTGCAGAAAATTTGTTTCTTGCCTGTTAGCAAAGGGTATATATGTTTTTTGTCTTCAGTTTCAACTTCCAAAACTAACCATCAAATCAGAATAAACATTTTCATCAGAAAATACGGCAGATACTTTCCTAGTTATTTTGTTAATCAAGACTGCAAAAATTATGAAATTGGTATTCACAGAAACATTATTTTATAAGTGCTTTAAGATTTCTTTTATAGCATTTGCTAGTGATCATTTTACGTTTCTATATTAAAAATATTAGCCAAGATTTTTTTTTAATGATACTTTGTAATATTCTAAAAAAGACTAACAAGAAAAAAAAGGGAAATGCTAGAGTAATGTTCATTATTTTACAAGAAATTTAGGATTTATTTAATGCAGGTTTAGGTCTATATTTTGAAAGGATATAGATGACTCTCTAGGGGAAGTTCAAATTATGTTTGGCAAAAATTATAAGATTCAACCTGTAATTGTTTGAGGTTAAGGTGAGATAGAGAACTTATAAAACTCAAAAAAATGCAAAATCAATTTTGATAATGTCATACTCTACCCCATTATTTTGTCCATCAGTTTTTCTAAACAGGCTTAATTTTAGCAAAAAAGAAAAGTTTATATTTGTGGAAGTGAATCAAAAACTGAATTTAATGACTTCAAGCTTTTCTGTAATATGTATAGTGTGAAAATATTATTTGTATTAGAAAATGAATAAAAATTTAAGTAAGGTGTTTTGAGATTAGTAATGGTTTTATCAATGGTCAGTCTATCTCTAGGTAATCAGATATCTAGTCACACTGATGAGCTGTGATACAGCAAAACAATCTGTGGATTTTTTATATATAACAGAGGGAGAGAAACAGACTGGGACCTCCATCAATAAAACCCTTATTAATTAACAGTTTTCTTCTAGAAACAAAACATGTTATTTCATTTTTTACATTCAGTTATTTAATTAAACAATATTAGTCTGATACATAATGTATGTATCATATCCTTCAATATTCATATTCCAAAATAATATACTTATGATTTAAAAATGTAGCTAAGATGAAATAAGTAAAGCTGAGGCTTCTTTTGTGTTGTTATTGAACAATTTTGTTCTTTTTGTAAAAAATGTTCTATGATCAGACAATATCCAGAGAAAATATTTTCCTGTTATAATGTTGAATAAACGTAAGACTCTAATCTTTGGTTGTCAAGCTCTGCAATTGATAAATGAAGCAACATTATTCTCAAATACAATCAAATTTCATGACTTGTATATATTATGGGCAACCTCAACCCCAATGAAACATTGTACTATCCCACCTTCTAAGGCTGACCACCCACCTGTCTGTTTATCAATCGAAATCCTAACCTGGAACTACTTCCTCAACAATGTCGCAATGACCAGAGAACAATGTCTTCTTCAAATTGTCCAATGACTGATGTACACATATTAAGAATATTTAAACCGTGTGTTAAGATAAAATAGAGTATAAGAAAGGATAATAACAAGAGGTGCATCTATAAGATAAAAGACCATGATGAACAATGATTTTTTTACCAATAACAAAGTAGAGAACAAATACTTTTAAAAGAGGGAGGGGAAGAGTTTGATCTATGAATTTTCTAACTTTAAAAGATAATATCCAAAATGGGGTGTGTGAAAAGTCTCAAAGCAATATTTGAAATAAATATGTTCAACTTAGTCTGTACCGACCCCCAAATATTCAGTGAGGGGGGGGGAAAAGAAAGGTAAAATGATTGAATGTTTTTTTTCTAAAATAAAAGATTAATATTTCCATTTGGATTTAAGAGATCTTCTTTGGACAAAGTTTCCAGAGTGAAATTGGACGTCAATGAAATCATTTTGTTTATTAGAACTTTTGGAAAATATCCAAATTTTTATCTTTTATCATCATTACTCAAACTTCTGTTTTCACTATTTTTTTTTCCCTTTAGCCATTAATGATTCTCTGGAGTTTTACTTATCTATGTGGAGGTAAACGAGTTTTATTCTTTATTTTTGTGTTCAACTTAGTTTATTTGTTCTAATTCACAATTTTTTTTTATTTATCTTTATTTTGCCCATTCTAGTTTAAGTTTTCACTTTAATGATTTTTGAATATAATTAAAAAAAAAAAAAATCGTTGTTTACTTATTTATTCAAGTTTTTATTTTCACTAAAATAATTAACTTGTTTACCTTTTTTTCTTCTAACATTTCTACTTAAATATTTTTTTGAACCATGGAAATTAGGTATTTTATAAATATTAATTCCAAGAGATTTTTCTGATTGTTGTAATCATTCTTCTTGTTGCTGTTACAACATTTCAACCAACTCTTCTTCAGGTGTTTAACCCATAAAGGAAGAAGACAGGTCTCTTTTTTTTCCTGAAAATGGTAGCCAACAGAAAAAATATGTTGAATTACAACCATTTCTATTTTTTTTTTTTTTTTGGTTGGCTTCAATTTTCTGGTTGTACTACTGAGACAAAAAAAAGACAAGACCTTTTTTCTTGAAAAAGGGTCTACAAGAGACCAGCAAAAACTTTGCTGGACTCCTTTTTGTTATCATCAATTTAAAAAAACCTCTTGGAATAATTATTCAGCTCAAAATTATAGAAGGAATATTATTCATATCTGACAAGAACGTGTATGGTTCAACTCTCTCAATTCAAACTTATTTATAATTACTCTTAAATTTTAAAAAATTGTTTCTATTTTTAGAAAAGAATATCAAAAAAAAAATAATCACTATTAAAAATTCTGATACTGAATTTTAATTTTTTTTTCTTTAGGAGTTTACCTTTAACACTATTTTTTAATTGAAAGTAAGAAAAAGAAATCTTCAATTTAACCAATGTTAGATGAAGACAAAAGAGATTCATTGATGATCCAAGATTGACTTTTTGCCTTGAGGAAAACAAAGCAGGCAATAAATCTTGTGAATTTATAAAAAGTGCAAAAGATTAATATTTTTTTTTTCAAAAAGAATCTACAGATCAAAGACAAGAACCAAATAAACTCCATTTCTCGTTTTCAAACGTCCCCCAAAAATCATGTCAGTTTTAAAAAAATTACAATACCCACCAAAATCAAGAACTTGTAAAAAATAATATTTGCTCAAATAACTATTATGTCAAATGCTAGCAACAATTTTAACAATTTAATTTTGATAACTCTTATAGGTTCTATTCCAAGACTGCTCATAGAAAGAAAATATTTTCTTTTGGGATTTAAATTTAAAAGCAAATTTTCTTTGTTTTTCCACTCTTTAGATATGCAATTTCATTTTTGTTTTTCATTTCTGAATAAAATTTGTTCATTTTTTTTTCTATCTCAGTCTCTTAAACTGACATTTAAAATTTTTTTTTAAAACAGACACTCACACAAATTAACAATGTTTCTGCTCCTCCATCTTCATGTTGTCTACACATCATCCAGGAAGAACAAATCAAGAAAGAATGAAAGGAAGTAAGTACTGTGGGCCATGATTCCAATGAAGAGACATTACCAAAGAGTAATCACTTTGCATCCAAACCAAGCGAGAACAATTTCAACAAATTACTAATATACAATTATTACTTTTTTTTTTTTTTTTTGTGTGAAAGACAAAATTATATTTGAAAATTCCTTTAAAATCTTATAAATTAACTAGATTATTTATTATTGTATTTGCATATTATAATATCAATAACTGCATATGAAAGAAATAAAAACCAACTTATGTAAAGCTAAAATTGACTACCAATTAACATTAAAAATAGCCAAATCTGGAAACAGAACAAAAATAAAATCATTGTCAGAGATCAGAACTGATTTTTAAATATTTGACAATAGCTTATTTAAAAAGAAAGGATAAAATACTTATTCTTCCTTTAATTAGATTTGTTTCAGGAATGTTTTTAGCTAAGAAGAATTTTTTTTTTTTTTTAAACTTGATATTATGCCTGAAAGCATATTAAAAACAGTTTAATCCTTATTGACTAGTGAAAAATGGTAATTTTCTCAGTATCTCTTGACTGGAACTATGAAAACTTTTATCTTTTTGATAACCTCCCTTCCCTCCATGAGTGAACCTCCTGGGGTATGTATGTGTGCAAGAAGAAGAATTAAAAGGGGGAGTGAAATAGATGAATTACTTTTTGATTTTGTGGCGATAGGCAGCTGGAGAGATAACATTTCTGCGTAGACTTGTAGAAGAGGTCACACCCCTGCCTCGGATTGATGAGCGTACAGGCGATGTGTTACGTACAGGTGAGAGCTTCACTGGCGGGGACACACCTTTGTGCATCATATCCAGTGAATTGTCAAGTTTCTTAGCCTCATGTTCCAAAAGGATGGGGTCCAAAGATGTGTCTCGAGTAACATTGGACAAGGAATTATCTAGGATGTGACGAATGTCTCGGATTTCATCCCCTGTACGCACACTGCGGGAGATGTACAATTGACGCTTCTGAATTTCCTGTTTCAACTGGTCTTTCAAGGTGGCTACCTTCAATAAAATAAAAACAATTGAGTCAGCAATTAGCAAATTATGAAAATGGGGAGTTATATTAATGTGCAAGTAGTATAATGGTTAACAACTTAGAAATTGATGCCCTGAGATAATATTCTGACAAAATTTTTTTACATTCACTTTCTCACAAATCTCCTTGAGAAAGGTATGAATCAATTTCTTCTCTCCCCAGCTATGGATTAAATAGCAGGGCTGCCTGGGCTCTCTTGCCTTCAGGTGGCAACAAGCCTAGGAGAAGGAAAGTTCTGAATTCAAAACCAAACTGAAGAAGTATGTGCTGCATCAGGCTATATTACTCTAGACACACAACTATCATTATAGCTGCAGTATATGTAATGACTCTAATAATGTTAATATTAATGAAAGGCAAATGGGACATTTTGATAATGAGAAAAATAATCTATCATATTGAAAGTAAAATCTATGAAACAAATACATCAAAATTTTCATCTACACTTTCTTTCTTTTTATGTGCCATGTCCTTTCAGGATGTAGGCGATCATGGCTCTTCACCTCCCTCTATCCCTTGCAGCTCTCAACAAGTTCTTTCCATCTGCTTCCTCCCTCCAGACCACATTCTGTCACCCACTTGCTTAAATCCGTCAGGTATGTCACACGTTGTTTTCCCTTGTCTCTCTTTCCGGCTATTTGACCCATGAGTATCAGTTTCTCCAGGCCTTCCTTTCTCATTATGTGTCCCGGAAACTTCAGCTGCCTCTTCCTGATGTTAAGTATAAGCCTCCCCCCTTGCATCCTCTCTAAGACCTCATCATTGCTCCATCCATGATATCCTTATCATCCTTCTGAAGAACTACATCTCTATCACTTGGAGTATCTTCTTCATATTTGAGAAAATCAACCAACATTCACTGCTGTAAAGATGGACAGATGTCATGTAACAGTTCAGTATTCTTTTCTTTCTTACCAAAGAAATCCTCCTGTCTCATAGTATTCTGCCCAGCTTTTGGAATGTGTCCTTGGCCATCCTGATACACCTTATTGTCTTAGTGTCACACTTACCGTCCTCTGTCAAGATGCTTCCCAGATATTTAAACTTCTGCGTCTGCTTGATTCTAGTGTTCCTGACCTTCAAATCACATCTCGGGCTCATCCTCTAACTGACGACCATGCACTCTGTCTTGTAGTTTATTATCTACACTAATAATTGTACATATAGTGAATAGCAAATACTAAAAGCATATATATAGAAAGTAAGTAGCTGCCAAAATTCCATAGTATATTTGGTATAAACATATAATAATTAAGGAAGTTGAAAATTTTGGGCTGAAGGCATTTCCCTGTGCTTACATTTTGTTCCTAAACTTTTTTTTCAACTGTAAAATTACCCACATGTCATTTTGGTTTCATTCAACTTTTGATTAACATAGCCTTAGAAGAAATAGTAAATCTATTCTCCTAATATATAAATCTTATTATATAATTTAATTAAAGTAAGCTGTGAATGCTGTTGGCAAGGCTCGGATGTAATAAAAATCATTATTTTATAATAACTAGTACAGTGTAACCCGGATATAAGAGAGTTGTCAGGACCAGAGAAGAAGTCTCTTATATCTGGGTTTGGTCTATTTTGTTTAGGTAAGTATGGACTCTAATTTGGGATCAGAGAAAATCTCTCTTATATCCGGGTTACACTGTACTTAAAAGCGGAATTTGATTGTATAATTGGTGAATTTTAGCAACAATCTGTTATGTCTTAAAAATCAGGATAAAATGGATTATCAATGGTCATAAATTAAGAAAAAAATTACTGAGAGACTACGGCTATTATATGCATAAAAAAAAGCCAAAACAGAGAGGGATAGTTCAAGTTCTGTACATATCATATGAAAATTGTGTTTTAAGGCATTTCTCAAGTATAAATGGGGAATGCAAGTGTGTGTGAGAGAAAGGCTAATTTATTATGTGGAGACAATTTTTATAGAAATGAAAATGGCTTATTTTCTTTTCTTTGGATTGTTTCACACATATGTCATTTTCAAATCAGAAGCAGTGAAATCATTAGTCGTCAATTTCAATTAGACAGAAAATAAAAATTAATCTTTACAACACGTCATTCAAATTTAATTACACAATGCTGAGATTCTGTTTACAGTTAGAGAATATATTTATTTTTTTTTTTTTTTTTTTTTTGTACGAAAGCAAAAGAATATGTGTGTCATTCAGAGTTCAGTGGTTCAAATTTGGGTCTGGTAAGCTATTGGTAATGATTAACCACAGGACAAAAGTACTAAGTTGATGTAACCAAGAACAAAAACCATAGAAGCAAATATGTTGACTTTTAAACAGAATGTGGTCTATTTTCTCCTGAGAGTCTGTCGAGTTGCTGTAAATGCTAATATATCTCAGTGGTATAAACTTTATGAGAGGAGAAGGAGAGGAAGAAGGAGAGGAAAGAATGAGGAGAAGAAGGAAAGGAAAGAGTGAAAGAGCTGAATTTCAGTTGTTAATTTTTGGTTTTTAGCTTAGTCCACATACAGCTGGAGCACTTACACTGAGTGGGCGACTCTGGTGATTACAATGATGAAAGTGAAAGCAGTAAATCCAACTTTAGACTAAAAGAAATATTGTCAGACACACTGTACAATTCGGTACACATGCCAGGATAGATTTAATGCAAGAAAAAGGAACAGTGATGGGACAGGGGAAGTAGAACAGAGAGTGAGACATTGGCTAAGAAGAAAGATTAAATATTCTAAAGACTTTTTTTTAAAAAAAAAAATGAGCATAAAAAAGATTAATAGATTTTATACAAGTTTCGGCTGTAGAAGCAAAAACAAAAAAAAATGTTCTGAACTGATTTAATGAACTTATCTCTCAAGAGATAATCTAATAAATCTTACTGTGTTCCTCTGCTTTCTTTGCAAATGAAAAACGAAAAGTGACATAGTTAAGTTCTATATTTTTGTATCTCAGAAATGTAGGCTACAGCTTTAGAAAACTTAAAGATGTTCATGTATTCTACATTGATAAATCCAAGCCTACAAATATTGAGTTGCTATGGAATAAAAAATTTAATTCAGAAAAAATTTTATTGATTCAAACCAATAACAATTTGGATTAGTTTTTATGTTATTAATCTGTTGAAACTTATATTACAAATAACTAGTTTTGTACACAGGATAGAGAAATTAATAAGACACTCATTTATCAGATAGTTTCAAACTAAGTAATAATTACAATGTATGTCCCATATAAAGAAATTTCTTTGAGCACCTTGGCATGGTATAATGGTTAGAAAGCTTGTCTTGCTAGACCAATGACTGAGTAGTGAATTTGATCCTGAGTGCTCCATACTTTTGGACTTGTGTCACATCTAAGCTATGCTTATTAAATCACTATAAAAAATATCTTAATTTTTAAAAGACTCTTCTAGATGTTAAAAAATGAATTTTCAAATCTCATAAAATCTACTATAGCTTTTACACAGTAGGGCACTATATAAATTGACTGTTCCACTGGTAAAAAAAAATAGGGAAGTGAGGAATGTGTAAATTTATGTTCATTAGACTTTCCTCAAGCTACAGTATTTGTTAAAAAAAAAAAAAATTAATATTTTTGATTATCATTTTAGAGGGGTTGGGTCCCATTCGTAACATAAATACAGTTTCTTCTTAAAGATTTATCTACTGTTAACTATGCGCTTTTACCTTCCAGATGATTATTATGGAGATTGTTAATGCTAATCCTCCCAAGGAATGAACTCTTCATCCTTGGCTAAGAAATATTATTGATTTACCCTGGCCCACCTGCTAAATTAAAAATGAGCCCACCCTTTTCTATAAAATTGTTCAGAGGGGTGAAAAATTTTTTTGCCTTTGGAATCTATGCTGGGAAATTTCAATGCTTAAACATTTCTGGTAGCCGATCATAGTTAACAGCTCTCCCTCTTTTCATGTAGTCTTATTTATCACAGTTTTCATATCATTATATTTTTTCTTAGTAAAAATGTAGCCTTACTGTTCTCTACTTTCACGTTCCTTTTGACTTTCTTTGGTAAAGTGTCTAGGTAACAATTATACAAAGTCAAACCATACACCAACCTGGAGCAACCTGAATCCAAAACAGCAGTACCAATAGTTTGTCCTAGTAGCATACTATGTCGAGGGTTATTGTTATTCATAAGTACAATATTTGGCTTCAAATACTTTGTTTTTATTTATAAATTTCAAGTTTGAAACTGTGATTACGTCATGAATAACTAATGTACTACTAATGTTTTCCTTGTTTCCAATTCATAATAGTACATAATTATCAATGACGTAAGCACCATTTCAAACAAAGTAGATAACTCTTTAAGAAGTCAGGGATCGATTTGGCATTGTATTTATGTTATAAACAGGACCCCCCAACTTCTAAAAATGACAAAAAAAAGCAATATTTTTTGATTCTGACAAATGTCATGAAAAACGGAAGACCTAATGAATGTTAATCTACAAAAATGATTTCCCCACAGCAGGCTAGTTTAACTTAAGTAGTGTGCACAGTAGATTTCATATTTATGATAACTGGGCACTACACATTTTACAAGCTCTGACTGATTGTAAACAAATAATAAAAGTTTTTTTTTTATATAATAAAAACAATTACACAAAGTAACAATTAATTAACTAAGAATCTAGTCATATTTGCAAACATCAAAATCTAAATACAAGAAAATGATTAAAAAAACTGGAATAATCTGCCAATCAATGACCCATAAAATACTAGAGGGCATTATTTAAATTTACCTGTTCTTCAAGGCCCTTGATTCTCTGTCTGTGGGTGCGTTCTCTGGCCTCCAGTGTACGCTCAGCCTGGAGATTGGCAGTGCGAAGTCTTTCTGTTTCCATCTCAGTCTCAGCCCGATGACGAGTTGTCATGTCAATCAATCTGGTTAATAATAAAAATTAATTAGATTAATTGGAAATAAAAATTGAATTTCTTCTCCAAGTCAGTTCAAGTAACACCTGCTATTTCTGTTGTTTTTTGTTTTTTTTTGTTATTAAACATCCCAAGTTTAAAATGTCACAGAATGTGCTCTTAAAGAGAAATTTAGATTAAACAAAAGTTGATTAAATATTTATTTATTTATTTTTTTTTACAAAATATCAACGAGAAAAATTTAAATAATGTCTGACCACTACTGGGGAAGTTGTTAGGCATAAAAACAAATGAACAGATTAAAAATTCTTTTGTCCTGTCTCATTTTCTGATCGACATTTCTGCAACTTATAATATTGGAATAAACCCAACAATTTTGTTGCAGAATCTATCAGAGAAACAAGATTTATGTAACATGAGTATTGCAGATTTTAAAAGTAACTGATTACTTTGTTTTGTTGAGAGTTTATTTTGCTTGTAAGAAGACAAAAAGTATGATTGTCAGCAAGAGAAAAATCCCAAGCTGTGAACTAAAAATTGGAGACGTCAACACCAAACAAGTAGAGAAATTTAAATATCTGGGAAGTGTTTTAATAGAGGATGGAAAATACAATATCAAAATCTGAAGAGATATTGGATTAGCAAAAGTGGCATTCCTAAAGCTAAACAAAGTACGAAGAAACAGGAATTTTCTTTTTTTTCTTTTTTTTATAGAAACATAGAAAATAGAAAAGAATGCTGAACTGTTATGTAATATCAATCCTATTCTCACAGATAAAGAGAAAACTGGTGGCAATAGAAATGTGGATCTACAGAAGGATGCTGAGAATACTATAGACAGATCATGTAAGCAATAAAGAAGTCTTAAGGAAAATGCAAACAAAAAGGACACATACTCAGATTCAGAAAAAAAAAGCTGAAATTTTTTTGACAGATAATGAAGGGGGTTTTGAGAATTTGACACAGGACATTTTGAAGGCAAAAAGTACAGGGAGGCACTGGGTCACCTACCTGATGAGATTGAGGGAGGAAGGAAGGGCAAAAGGACAAATGTTAAGAGCAACAAGGAATAGGATTGTCCAGGTCATGAAGAGACATGGCATACAGAAGAAGATGAAGTGATAAGTTTCTCTAGTCTTGCACGCATCATGGATATCTTGATTTCACATTATGCAATGTTATTTGATTATTTATTTGATTTGACACAATGCCTAAAAATGGGGAAGGTGGTAATCACCATCCTATCATTTAACTTACTAAGTCAATGATTCATTCATTTACTTATTTTTGCTTTCATTAAAACTTCACAAATACTCAATTCATTTGTATAGCAGACACCATAATGCCACAATTTCTCTAGAAAGTCCTAACTTGTCTTATATGAACAATTTCTTTTTTTTTTTCTTTTTTTTTTTTGAGAGGTGTACAGTGAAACAGAAGTAATAAACAATTATGTAGGCATCCGTTTATCTTGCAGGAAAAAGGTAGCGCTCTGTTTGATCGAAATTCAGTGGTGAGACTGGAGTGACTTCTCCAGGTTCGAAGATAGTATATCAAGCTGGCACCAATGGTATATGGAGCCTGTATGCCTTCCCCCACTACATGGCCTCACTTTTGGCCATACAGACAAGATCCAAAGGCCCCACTACATGGCCTCACTTTTGGCCATACAGACAAGATCCAAAGGAATACAGGACATTACATTTGGTGCTGGCAGGAATGCAGAAATTGTTGGAAGGGTTGTCAATGTTGACAGTCAACTGCCTTTGGGGCTCCACTACAGATTTTTTGTCTGGATTTACTTCCATAGCATTTTCCGTGTTTGGATATGAACACAAAGCAACGGAGTTTCCTTCCCCAATGTAAAAAATTAATGAAATACTATCTGAATCTTTCTTAATTTATTTGAGACATTTTTTTTCAGTTTCTTATAAATTGTTCTCATTTACAACTCATCAAATTATGAATCAGTCAAAGGACATAAATAGATTTTATTTATCTAATTACACGAGTTGGTTATGTAACCTGTGATATTATAGACAGGATTTATCAAATAAATATGTCAAAACTTCCAATCACTAATAATTACACAAATAGTCAGAGCAAAATCTGGCAAAAGAACATCACTGTTTCATTTTTTCACTTAGTTCAGTCCACACTATCATTGTTTCAGCTTTTATCACAACCTAATAATAATACCATTTCTTTGTTTAGCTTGTGTCATTTACTACAATAACAAACTAAATATTTTTCTGACTGGTGGGAAAAAACAAACTTAAGATTAAACACTGAATTTTCTAATTTTTTTAAAATTTAAAATATGTCTTAGCAAATTTTAATACTCAATGTATACATTGTTGTATATTAAAAATCAGCAAGAACAATACTGCCATTTATCAGAAATGAAAGCAAGCACTAACTACTGACAGGGTTATTAAATGAGTAATAATTCCTTTGGCATACACAGATGAGAGGTGAGCTTGGCAAATTTGGAAAAGGCCTATGCTATATAATGTACATAGCTAAAGCATTCAACACTTGAGGCTGGTAGTACAGCCTGATTAGAGAGGGGATAATCAATAAGTGGCTCAGAGACTCAACAGAGATTTAAAGAGAAAGTAGAGGTCTCTTATACTTCAGCCTAAAAGAAAAAAAGAAAGAAAAGAGTTTACATTCACTCATCCTTTTGTCTTTCACATTTAAAAAGAAAAAAAATTTCATAGTATGAAAGATATATATGTACTACCTTACTGACATTTTTAAGGGAAAAATATTTTATTGGTTCCTTTACAGAATATTTCTAACAGAAAAAACAATGTGTCCCATTTGTACAAAAACAAGTCATTTTTGCTGGCTCATTTTTCATTGATAGATATGAGCAGATGGAAAATAAATACACTGGTTAGCAGTTGGATACTTTATTATTAACCACTTACATATTGGATATTTTTGTGATGTCATATCTGTAAAACCTATTATTAGCTTCTCTAGGATAATTATTACTTCCTCTGACTTCATCACCATCTACTTTCAACTACCATATGATTCACTGTTACATTCAGGAAACTCAGGACAAATGTATGAGATATCTTTTCATGTCATTAAAACCTGAAATGCTTGTAATACATGTGATATTCTGATGAATAAATTGCAAAATATTTAACCAAATTTGAAGACTGAAACATTAAGTTGAGGTTTTTTATATATATATATATATATATATATTCATACATGTTTGATTAAATAATATAGACAAGTGTTGTCTATTCATTTTATGTAAATTCTTTTCATAATGTCTGATAAGCTTAATAACATTATCATTAAACGAAGAAAGAAAATCACAATATTGATCCATATTTTTTAATCCAATCTAAGCTTTCGGCTTGCATAAGCCATTATCAAAGATGTCAATTACTGTACAATATATTAAGCAATATACAGACAAGACAGTGATGACAGTCTGTTATTGTTTACATGGATGATTTCCAAGCAACGATAAACACATGCATATAAGACGCTGGAAGCAAAAATCGCACCACAGCTCATGACGTCACAGATGACCACGCGAGAGTGAATTTGAGAAGTATTAAGTATGGGAAGCCATTGGTATAAACCTATGGCTTCTGTTACCAATTATAGACATTTAAGGATATTTGTGGAGATTTCATAGTTAATTTTGTTTACGTTAGGTTTCAACTGTTTTATGTATATAACTTCAAGAAAAAAAACTAAAAATTCTTGAAGCTATATAAAATAAACTTGTCTATATTATTTAATGAAACATGTATGAATGAAAAAATGCTGCCTAAATACACACAATAAATATATATATATATATATATATATATATATCTTGCAGAGAATATTCATTCACAATGCAATTAATCAACTGTACTACAAAAAACATTGTGAAAAAGATTTACTAAAATGTACAGTGTTATAGGACAGTCAGAAATATTCAACTACCTCAACCAGGAAGCCAGAGCAAGCACTGTTATACAACAAGTTACTCATTATGCAATGCTATCTGAATATTTTACAGGACATGTTCTAAAACTTCCCACATCAGATGCTATAAACTGCAGAAAGTACTGAACACTATATATAGTACCCCACCAGTCTATCTGCATGTCTAAAATGTTTGAAGATAGTCCTGAAGTAGCAGACATCTTCAGTGTTTTATTAGTTAGCATTGCGTGTTTGGTGCTTACCGTTGTGCATGTTGCTGCTCAGCTTCTGCTAATTGTGCTTGCAGTTGTTCAATTTGTCTCTTCAGTTCTGCATTGTCTTCTTCCAACTTAAAGAGGCTACGGTCAAGGTTGCTCCTTTCCAGAACACTCTTGCTGGCCACTACTTCAGATCTCAGCTTCTCCCTCTCAACCTGAAAAAAAAAAAAGTGTGGTTTAATTCTTTTAAAAATATTCCACAAATCAAGATACTTACTTACTTTGTAATGGATGTTAAAGCATTAAGTGCTTATCAGGAAAACTACAACATACTGTTTAAGTAACCTATAATATCTCAGATTAGATTTATTTAACAAATACATCAAAACATTTGTACATTCAAATGAGTACCTATAGAGTGACACAGCAAGTTTTCATAGAAGTAGGGAATGAGAATATGAAAGAATAAACCTGGTTGTATCTTAGTAACCACATCATTTGAACGCAGTACACACAGGATGTGTAGGTAGTACAGTGGACATCAGTGAGGAGAGTGGAATCAACGAACCAATTTTAAATTCCAACCTAGCCTGTTGCATTCACTTATACACAAATACTGTTGGAAAAGCATGAATCTATCTCTTCTTCCTTCAGCTATGGGTAAAATAGCAGGGCGGACTGCATTCTCTAGCTTTGGGTGGTAACCAGTTTAAGAAGCAAAACTCCAAACCGCGGAGAAGGCAATGGGGGAAATCACTCTATCTTTCCCAAGAAGTCATGACAATTCACTGATAATAGAAGAAAAGAAATCTTGGAAAAGGATGACTCTGAATTCAAATCTGTGGAGAAGGTAATAAGAAACTACTCCACTATCTTTCCCAGGAACCAAATCAGTTTGCAGATAATAAAGAAAAGGTATTTGTGGAGAGATATGATCATTTATGTCCTAAAAGAGACAGGTTCTTTAAAAAAAATGCAAAATACACAGGCAAGGTTTTCTTCTTGCTTCCTACTGATTTTACTGCTACTTCACTACTTTTCCATTTAGTTATTCTGTACTCACAAACTAAATATTCCTGGTAATAGGGGGAAAATGATGATTAAACACCATTTGTTTTTAGTTTCATTATAAATAAAAATCATCATAGGAACAAAAGTGCTTAAAAGTGAAATCTAATTTAACCACTTTGAAATTCATCTGAAAATTAAAACATTGAAAATGCCACTGGTTGGAATTAAGGCAAATGTTACTGATAGAATTAAGTCGTTGTGTATAGTAACAAATATAAATGTTTGCTTGACTAAACTGAATTACATTTGGTACTATATGCAATAGAAAGTCACTAGTTTCAATACAAAGGAATTCATTTATGTACTCTTCTGTACCAAATGCAAGTACCATTTGGGATACTCATGTTGGTGAAAAACTTTTCCCAAAATTATTAGTAATAAACATATTTGTACCAAATAAACAAAGGAAGTGTGGAAATGAAGGGAATAATTAAATCATGCTTGCACTTGTAATTAGGAGATAAGTGTAAGCAAACTCTCAGTTACACACTGACTAGAGTCATAGGGCATTTCGACATGGTGTAATGGTTAACAAACTTGTCTCACTAGATAAATTACAACTAAAAAGTTAGTTTGATCCTCACTGTGTACCCCATACTTTCAGCTTTTGTGCTACATCTAAGTTATGCTTAGAAAACCACCACACTGACTACATTTATAGTAACAGTAGCAAACACAAATTCAAATTTGCATAACACCAAATATAATACCATTCTGGTAATTTTTTTTTGGCAATCCAAGCAGAAAAAAAAAATATATACACCAAACTATTGCACAGTATTCTTTTTGGTTTCTAATAAATATTTAATTGCCTTTTTATAAAACAGATTAAATCTTTAATAAAATATATAAAGAAAAAAAAATTCCTATCCTCCCTGTATTTTTATCAGGATATGTCAATTCAGATGAACTCATAAACATATGTACGCTTAACAAATTGCTTTTCATTTCCTAATCTTGTAATGCTGTCAAGTTGTTAGTGTATAAAAAGCCAGTATTTCAAGGAAAAAATTGTGATAAATCTATTAATTTTTGTATATTAAATGCTTAACACATTAAAAGAACATGAATAAACACAAGCACAGAGAACAAAACTAAACAGTTATCAAGATTAATATTAATGTGAGGTATATTTGGAGTTTCTTTGTTATGAACCAGGAGTGTCAAAACTTGACTATTTATGAAAGCCCAGCATTACTAAATTTTGAATTTTACTACTTATGACTATTTGGGGTTATTTTTAAAATAAGCAGAACAAAATTGGGCTATTAATGAAAAGAAAATCAATTGGACTTTCAAATGTAGCCCAATTTGGTAAGCCTGATCCTATAGAAGTATTATCTTCTGTTATGGTTCATGGTATGAAAACAAGCATATATCATTTCTACTTTTTTGCTGTTAAATGAAACTGTCTAGCAATTAAAATTCAGTTATATTCATTATATATAAAATGAGAATTTCAATCAAGAAATATAAAAGCAGGAATCTGTAAAAAATAAATTTCTCTTCTAAAACATTTTTTTCTTTTTTACTAAGATAAACTGTTAGAGTAGAATGCATCTACTGTAGAGGTAACTGTTTTCAAAAGATACATTTTCTATATTTTATAAATACCTTGTCAAGAGTTTTCTTCAGAGCGCTTTTGTCTTTCTCCAAGCGTATATGAGATCTTTCCCATTCCTTCTTTTCTGTTTCCATGGTACTCAGTGTCTGTTGCATGCTAGTGACACGTTCCTGCATAGACACTTTCTCTGTCTGGATCTTCTGCATGCGTTGATTCAGTTCCTGTTCTTGTTCTTGTCTTTTAATCAACATCTGACAAAACAATGTTGGAAATTGCATTAGGAAATCAAAAGCATATTTCTATTTTTTACAGATCTTTTTATCATTTCACCCCTTGTAACCCTGTGTTATAGTGGCACTGAAAATGCTATTATGACACAGGGTTACAAGGGGTGAAAGAGAATGAGAAGTGAGGAAAGGACAATAAGAGAACGACGGTTCTGTTAAACAGAAGATGGTGATTGATGTTGCATTTAAATTTTTGAAGATTGTAGGTGGTAGAAAAGCAAGAAATTAAAAGGTAGTTCCACAGGTGGAAAGTGCAAGAAAAGAAACTATTAGAATAGAAGTGGCAGTTGGATCTAGTTAGTTCAACAGTAAAATGATGAGACCTAGTTGCCAATCTAGTATCACACTTAAATAAATGTAGTTAAGGTACTAGGGAAAGAAGCTCATCAGAACAGTTGCCATAAAAATATTTGTAGAAAAGAGAGAGAGAGAGCAGGAAGTTACATCACATCCATGAGAAAGTGACTGCAGTCAAAATGCCAGGTCAGGATTGACCCCATCAGAGCCACTTTGAATTTTGTCAGGAATCTTAAGATATACAGCAATAGGCAATGCACAGAAAAATGGTAGATCTAAAAATGTGCCAGATGGATTCTGATGAGAAAAATTTTCTAACACAACACAATGAGCCAACTTTCCTAGTAGTAGACATAGCAATTGATTTGATATAGTCACTCCACTTCATATCAGTGGAAAATGTGAGCCCAGGAAGGCATAGAATTTTGCTCTCCTGGAATCTAGCATCAGTCATGCTGATGGCAGGCAGAAACGGTCCTCTGTGGTGATTAAATGAAAGCAGTTGTATTTTGTTTTCTTTACAAAAAACTAAATACATTTGATACACCCAAATATTATGAGAATTCAATATATATATAATTGCTTAATGACAAATATTTGGAATTTTCCTTTCCTAACAAAAAAGATAGACTACAATCACTTGGTGAGGCTGGAACAAAAAGAGGCTCAATTTGAAATGCATTAAAAATCAAATCTGAACACTAGGAGAATTGTGCTTGTGGTTGGAGAACTGAAGGAAAAAGCAAATAAAGAAAAAATGACTAACTGCTGGTGCATATCTTTGCACATGCATTGAATGTAAAGAAATCCAGAGGAAGAAGCAAAAAAAGAAAAAAAGATGGCTGCTCATAAGGCAAATATTTAAGAAAGTTACAATACAAGATCTTACTGGTAACATGCAAATTTCCAACCGTCAAAAAGAATATAAAAATCACATTAGCGATGAGGGAAGGGGGGATTGTTTTAGATCCTACAATTGTTGCATAATCAAGTGTGGGTTTTCTGCAGTGGATGAATTGTGAGAGATTGAGAAGAGAACAAGAAGACGAAAGATGAAGAGATTTATTGTTGCCAAAGCAAATGTCAAAGAACCAACAAGAAAGTGAAATTGATTCTCTCACAAGTGAACACAAGCTACAGAACTGAAAACAAGAAAAATCAAGATGTTACCAACTATGGATTTATCTCTCTCTTTTTATTTATTAAAATAATAGTTTGTTCTGAATATTTCTGATCCAAGTTCAAGGTGACATTAAGGATGAACTTCTCTGTTCATGTACTTTGTAGCTCAATGACTAACTAATATACCAGGTATTACCCAAAAAGCTTAGGTTATTTGAAATATTATGCATGATTTGAATATACAAATCTTGGTGCAACTCTTTGTGAGCAATGCCTGGAATTTTGAAGAGGATTGGTTTAGACTGTTGGGTTTAACAGCATATCAGCCCTTATGAGGTCATTTAATACCAAAGATCGGAGGTGTCTTTGAAAGTTGAATTATATGTATGTGAGTAAATTGGGATATTTCTATTGAGTTAATTAGTTCTTTTTTATTTAAAAGTATCGTAAGAAATAGAGTCGGGGTATGTTTATAGTTTTATCTTCTTCAGTACAGACCTACTTTTAGGAATTGTATTATTTTGTGCAGCTCAAGTTGAAAAGTTCTCTAATGTATCATGAAAAAAGTGAAAACAAATACATGAATTGCTGTATACATGCTAAATACTTTGATAGAAACTAAGTGTTAGGATAAATAATTTTGAGTATTTTATTTATTTATTGGATATCTCAATATCTTAATAGAAAAACATGACCATGAAATTCAACAATTAAAAAAAAAAAAAATTAAATATTTTCTTTTAAAAACAAATTTCATCGAGTTACTTTTTATTTACATGAAATCACTTTAAAAAAAATTATTTTAATAATATACCTATTATTTTAGTAATATACAAATTAACCCTCACTGGTAGCATGACAGTTTCATGCACAATGCTGAAGATTGCGTTGTGTATGAAACTTCGAGTCGTGTTAGCAGTTAGGGATAATATAATTCATAATTGGATGTGTTAAACTACAAAATATTTTTCTTCAAGCATTTTCTTTTTATAAATCATAAATATGGCTAATGACTATTTAAAAAAACTGTTCATATTTTTTTAAATATCCTTTATTTTGAACCGTCATCTGACCTGGCATGCTTTAGAACATTGATTGCAGAGTTCTTCACAACCCAGAATGATTCTATTTGCCATTTTAAGGAATGCACATCCCTTTGTTTAGATTTTCTTGAAAGCTTATCTGGTCAGTTTTGTATCTAAAATGTAAACAAAACAGTTTCTAAAGAATTAATGAATTTTGTTATAATCCAATATATTTATTACTTTGAACATTATTTTTAGTGGATACTTGTATTTGTGTAGATTCTCCCATTTTTTAAACAGTGTATGTTTTGTCTACTGGCCTGCACAATCCTTATATATATATATATATATATATATATATATATATATATATGGTTTCCAGGAACCAATAAAACTGTCAAAATGACCAAGGGAATTCAGAGCAGCGTGAATCCATCCAGCTCTTATCTCAAATAACAACTTAAAAGAGACAGTTTGATCAACACAAAGACTGACCAAAATTTGCATTAAAAAATAAAAAAACAATTGAAAACTACAGACAAAAGTTCATTTTCTCCATCAAGACATTCATTTCTGTAGTTCATTGCTACCAGCAAACAGAAAATTATTTTTCTGCTGATGATGGCCATGTTGGCCGAAACTAGTCAAGGAATCTAAATGAAATAATAATAAAAACGAAGGAATATTAATATACAACCCAGTGTGCCTGAAGATTTTAATTTTTTACTATTTTTTATTGTTTTATATATATATATATATATATATATATATATATATATATATATATTTCTTTCATGTCTTACTGGAACCAAAATTTACTGATGTGTGCTTTTCTTAAAATAACTCCTATGTTTTTTGTTTGTTTTTTTTATAGGATGCTGCAAGCAATTCATATGATAAAATATAAAAGTGATCATGTGCAAATATATTTTTGTTTCTATAGGAAAAAATATTTGTCTTTTTCAAGAGATTATGATTACCTCAAAAACAGAAGATTATTTTCTTTTAAGAATATTAATCAATTTAACTAGGTATGTTTTTTGTTTAATCAATTTACCTAGGGGTCTTTTTTTTTGTACAAGAACTATATTTAAATGCCATAATTATTTATAAGATTCAACCAAATAGAAATTATAAATGGAAAACTTTATTTATTCAATAAATCTCACCTGGTGATTTTGCCTGAGCTGACCTTCTAATTCGGAATTTCTTAGTTCAGTCTCGGCTGCATCGTTCTGAAGTGACTGAAGACGATCCATCAGGTTTTGATTTTGTTTCTTTATTTCATTCAGCGTTTGCCTAAAACAAAACAAAAACAATTATTACTCAATTCAAGTTGTTTTAAATAAAACAGACAAATAAAGTTACACATTGTCATATAGCTTTATTATTAATTTTAAAATTTATTGTTAGATTTTCATAAAATGTTGGCACTGGTTTAACAAAAAAAAAATGGTTTATTTCAGTATATTTTCACACCAAAGGGGGCACCTCGACGTGGTGTAATGGTTAGAAAGCTGGTTAAAAAATCACTTAATTAATCAGTTTGCTAATGAATATTAATGATAAACAAATCCAGTTGTAAGCATTATTTTTTTTAGTACCTAAATATGCATAGCGTGGTACTTGGACATATGTAATTCATAGCATGAAACCAAAAAGAAAGAAGAAAAAATACTGAAAGAATGGTTCAGTGTTAGTGTACATCAGTAAAATGAAGAAACAAATGTTATATTTCAAGGACACCAAAACAGTGTGGACTTATGAAGAACATGGATGTTTTAATTATACAGTGTCCTCATCTTGGTTCGAGCTTTCTTCACATGCCTGTCAGATTTGGTAATGTTTTGAACTGAACCTTTTATACAATGCTATGAGATGTCTTACTTTGAGATCCTCTAGCATTGACAATGAAATGAGACCAGTCATCCCCATTGCTTGAATAAAGGGTTTAGTTTGAAATTCCAAGTATGTTACCAAATAAGACAGGCATATGAAGATAGACAAAAGGTACCTCAGCCATTTACATTTGAGACACAACAGCTACAAAACTTTCCTCTATAAATCCCCACCAACCTCAGTAATAATTGGTTCTTTCTCTAGTGACTCCACCAATCTACATTTGCCACATATTCCTTAGGTCACCTTATGTAATTTTTTTTTTAATCTTTTGGCTCTAAACAAATTGGTCAGGTTATGGAATTACTGCCATTGATCTAATTTCTGACACCCAGAAAAAAGTGAATCAGTACGGTATTTATATTGCATGTAAATAAGCAAGAATTAAAATGCATGATAATCAACATAATTACTAACTAAATAATATGATGATTGGCATTTTGAAACTTTCGTTAAAGTCAAATTAGTTTACAACAAAGAAAAGTAGTCCTTATTTGTAACTGTGAGGTCCTCCATTTGTGCAGGCATAATTTTTTGTTCCGAGATTCATTTAGATGCACCCAGATAATATGTTTACAATCTCAAGATTCTTGAAGTAAATGATATGGGAAATTCACATGTTGGATTTCATCAAGATATTATACAAGTATATATATGTTTTTAATTTATTTGTTTAAACGTTATTTTTTAATGGATATTCATATTTGAGGTGATGCTCTTTTTTATAATTTATTAAACAGTATATTTATTTATTTCCATCTACCAGCCTGAATATTTTGAGAAATCTTTTTAGAGAAGTATGTGCCGTGTGTGTGTGTGTGTGTGTGTGTATGTATATATATATACACACACACATGCATGCATACGTACATGGAGTGATTGGTAAATTGTCACTATATTATATTTTTAATTTCGCGCATGTGCATTGTTTCTTTTTGAATTTGTCAACTGCAAAGTATATTAAGGTCAGTTGGGCACCATTTGTGAGAAAAAGAGCACCATGACACAATTCACTCTGCCAGAAATTTGGAAATGGCATGCTGTACTGATGGGCATTCATTTCAAAGTGTTTGGGTGTCAATCTGAGGACAGTGCAGAGGATTCAGAAAGAGTTGGATGAGTCTAATAATGGAGATTACAAATGTACAGCAACTTGGAAAACTCACTCTGATTGTTCTGATAAGATTTATTGGTGAGGGTCTCAGACTCAACATGGAGGCCTACATCAAGTGACTTGAGGAGGTAGCACTGCCCTGGATAAAGAGGGTGGGCTGCCAGAAGACCCTATGTCTGGCAACAGGAGTCTGCACCATGTCACAGAAGCAGGATAACCAAGTTATGGCTGTCAGACAATTTCTATGACCACATCACCCTTTACATCTGGCCACCTTACTCCCCAGACTGCAGCCTTCTTGATTATTATGTGCTGGGCAAAGTTGAGCGAGAGACTAACAAAACTCCTTATAACACCAAAGATGAAAAAGAGGCAAGGATTATGGCAGCATTAACCAACTTAAACAAAGAGACCCAGAAGAGTTGCTGAGAATTCTGAAATCGTCTGGAGGCCATGGTTGAAGCCAAAGGTTATTTTATTGAATAAATTTACTCTTTAGTATCTCAAGATATTTTTTGTGTAGTTTTGGTAAATATATTTGTTAAAATGAGATGTCAGTGTTATTTTCATTTTTGTGTAATTTAGGTAACAATTTAGCCATCGCAACCTATGTGTGTTGTATGGGCAAATGATTGGTGTTCCTTGAACAGAGATCATTACTGTCCACTGGATTTGAAATTTATCCCAGTTCAAAAAGCACAATTCAATATTAAGCAATGACGAGGTTGTAAGGGCAACTGAAAATTTTGTGAATTGCCAAAACTTTATTGTGCTCCCACATGTCAACTAAATAAAACACATAAAAAATATATAAATATTATCATCCACACACACACACACACACACATACATATATATATATATATGATGGCAGTTGACTCATGGTTGACTAAGACCATTCCCAGACCTTATAACTGGTACATACGCATGCATTAATTATGCGACAATATATAGTTAAGCTAATGGTATAGAATTAATAAAATTAAATATGTCTAAATATGCTACAGTAAAATAAATCTGACTGAAGATTCTTTTAATTCAAACAGAAAATGTTAAACAAAAAATAAAAGAATTCCAGATGCTTACCTTGTGGCCTCAAGTTTTTCATTTAGTACTCGTCTGTCGTGTTCACTGCTTGTGAGAGCTCTCTGCATTTGACTGATGCGTTCATTCAAGTCTTTGATGGTTGAGGCACTGTCTGAAAGGGACATATTCAATGCTTGTACCTGAAAGAGAAAAATGATGCTTAGGTGTCAAAATCTTTAACTGAATTACTAAGTGGAAATCTAAATTTGAAACTGTATAAAGATAAAAAAAATGAAAGATCTTTTTAAAATGATTGCATCCAAGAACCATTTTAATATATAAATTATTAAACAGAAGAATCATCTTTTTTATAATGTAAAGGATTGAGAATTGCAATTTTGAGAGAGCCTTCAAATTTTAAGTGACTGACAATTGGTTTTAATGTGAAAGCATATGACTAGCATATTTGTAATAAGATCTCCAAAACAGAATATTTACACACACATACATATATATATATATATATATATATATATATATATATATATATTTGCGTATCTAGGCAGCAAATTCTTTTTTAGGCATGTCTGAATAAATTACAGACATTATGCCTGCTAATTTTTAACAGATCTGTTTATACTCACGAATAACCTTCTATGCATTGATGTTAAAGGATATAACGTGCTATAGCTGTTTAAATTTCTTTTATTTTCATTTCCCAAGTATTTTTTATCTTCTTCCAAAATCATCTTCAGGGGTGCAAGAAGTACAAAACTATTTGTTCATTAGTACAAGTATTTATACAAAGTTGTGCATTGTTATCCATTACTGGAACTTTTTCATTATGCTTTTAAATGAAAAATGGTTGACAATGTGCTGAGCCTTCATTAGAACATGAAAAAATTATCTATTATGGAATTTTTTTTATCTTATAATGTCATTAAATTAAATAAAAATTAAAGCCGGCACTGAACAGAATCAACTATGAATACTGTAGTAATGATCTGAAATGTCTGTAAAGGAACAGTTTTTTCACATTTTCATGTGCGCATGAGCATGATATTATAACATGAAAAAAAAAATCCAATATATGCATTGTTATCCATTATGGTAATGGATAACAATACATATATTCTTTATATAAATACTTATACTAATAAACAACATATAGTTTTGTACTTCTTACACCCCTGAAAAAGATCGAAAGTACTTGGGAAATGAAAATAAAAGAAATTTAAAGAGCTATAGCACATTTCTCTCATCCTTTAACATCAATACATGGAAGGTTATTCACGAGTATGAACGGATTTTGTTAAAAATTAGCAGACCTAATGTCTGTAATTTATTCAATCAGATACACACACACACACACACACATACACATATATATATATATATATATATATATAAAAATAATTAATGGATTTATTTTTAAGCGGACATTTTTTTATTACTTCAGACATTATTATAGTGGACACATATCATAAATAGACGCCCCATTTTTATTTATTAAACAGTGTGTATTATAACTATTGACCTGCACATTCAAAAAATTTTAGTAAAGAAAATGTGTCATCTGGCTTGAACCCCTCGGCCTGCTTTACCCCTCAGCCACAAACGACTTCATGTATGCAAGGCTCTTTTTACCCTATTTAAGGAAAGCACATCCCCTTCACTCAGATTATTGTTTTTGGAGAGCCCATATCACCTCAGTTTCATATCCAAAATGTAAACAAAGCAATTTCTAAAGAACTAATGAATTTTATTTTCACTTCAAATGTTATTATAGTGGACAATTCTTATTTAAGTAGATATCCCATTTTTATTTATTAAACAATGGCTGGTTGGTAAAACACACAGGATCAAATGGTAGTTTCCCTTACAAAGGGAGATGCAAGTTCAATCCCTGCCAGAGGATGCATTTTCTTTTCTAAGATTTCTTGAATGTACAAGCATAATAGCCATAATACATACTATTTAATAAATAGAAATGTGTTGACTATTTCAAATAAGAAGTGTACACTATAATAAAATTTGAAATAATAAAATATATGTGTGTGTATGTCAATATGGTCAGATACATAGCAAAAATGGCAAACAATCATCTTCCAAACACTATTTGGGAACTATCCTCTGGCTGGCCAGTCATAATGGTAGTCTCACTGAAAAACCCTCATGGGAATTCAACTACCATCAGTGAGACACAAGCGGCTGACTCAGCAACCTGGAGGTGCAAAATCTATCAGGCCACCTCATTTGCTGAATCAGACTAAAAAATTAGCTGTCAGTGCATTAAAGCAGGCTTCTCCTCTATGGATTAGGAATTGTTTCATAAAATAGCTGGTCACACCTTGTCCTTCTGTTGGTGTTCTGTGGCTTCTGTCTTAGCCAAATTCAATGTAAGTCTCTCTACAGTCAGCTGACTTGACTGCACTTTACTTTCCAATTCTTGAATTTGTTTGTTAAGTGTTTCAATGCGATCTTGTTGCACCTAGAAATAGAAAATTAGTTCAGATAATTTACAAATACATTAATTCAAATAATATCTACAAAATGACAAAGTATCATTTTCAAGTACAGGCAGATGCGAAAAACAAACAAAAATAAAAATTATTGTTATTAATTTTGACTAGTATTTCACTTAGATCTTGATTTTTTTAGTTGCTTTTTATCATAACTTTATTCAGGCTATCAATAGATTGATGGCCTGAATAAAGTTGCTTGACAATACTTCATCTATAAAAGATAATACTACTGCTATTAAGAGTAGAAAATAAATATGGCATCAAGAAATATTATGAATTGAAAGATAGGTTTAAATGTTAAATATGATTTGCATAGTAGCTGATGTGTTTAACCAGGCTTCCCTGAGGCAAAAGAAGTGTAAATGCAGGTTTAATTGCGAATTTATCATTTATATTTGATCTTCAGTCTACTTATTAAACTTAAAGCAGCTTAAGAAGAAAGTATATATGAATTAAAATTATTAACAATATTTTGCAATGATTTGTGTCATAAAAATTGCTGCTACAAACAGAAATAATCTATCAATCAAAAATCTCCTAATTCAAATATTCATCATATAAACAGTAAGAAAAACCTGCAAGGTTACCTGCAGTAATTTAATATATCTTTTTTTCATATTACTTTGCAACTATTTAATACTAATTCAATACCAAATACAATTGGTGACCTCACTGACTTTTAACATATGTTGTTGATTATTGATATTTACTATTGTTAGGATGAGGAAAGATTGTCTAGAGAATTTGACACTCAAAGGAAATACTGAAGGTAAGAGATGGGTGAAAGAGCAAATAATCTACTTAAGTTTATGTGAAAGGATGACAAAACAGGGACAAAGAAAAATGATAAAGGGTCAAAAAGTTACTTAGAGCAACAAAAGACAGGAAATTGTGGAGAACCATAATTGCCTATCTCATGAAAGGACTTAACACAGAAAAGAGGATCCATAAGAATCAAAATGTAGGGATTTAAATCACTTGTTTCTGACACCACAACCAAATTTTTTTGTCATTTGTAAAATCTGGAATATGCATGTTTAAAGTACCTTATATAAAAAGGCTCAAACACTAATATTTCATGGTTATAATTTATTACATTGGATCATGATTTATAATTCCAATGTAATAAAATATAGCTATGGAATATTAGTTTTGAGCCTTTTATATTATATTTTTGCACTGTCTTATACATAGACCTCTACATGGATTTTATCCTCTTGGTTATATATATATATATATATATATATATATAGAGAGAGAAAAAGAAAATTTTAAAATAACACCTGATGTTTTTATATATTTATGTGTAATATATATATATATATATATATATATATATATAAAAAAAAAAATCAATGTGTTTTTACAAATCTTATTTTCTCTATAGAGAAAGTCTTTGTACAGACTTCTAACAATTTCACTTATATATATATATATATATATATAATATATATAAAATTCCTAAATATAAAATAAAAATATACTCAAATTAAAAATGCTTGGTTAAATAGTCTTACTTGGTTCTCAGTCTCTTTGTCAGTCATGGCCAGGCGGAAACGTTGGAGTTCTCCTTCAAGAGCCCGACGAGCCAACTCCACTTTGGTGACACGGTTTTCTGTTTCTTCAACACTGTTTCGCAATTGCTTCTTCTCTTCTTCCAGGCGAGAATCATTCATCTTCATCTTGGAGACTTTCTCCTGCAAAATAAAACAAATTCATGGAATTTGAGAAAAGAGGACTCATTAGACATTATATAATTATGAATTATTATAATAATGATGATAAATAAATATGAAACTTTAAAACACTGTAATATATTCATCTATTGTGGCTGAACTATAGGAGGTCATGTTGACATAATCATAGGACATGCCATTTTACAAGATCAAATGAAAGCAAAGCATGTTTTGGTCATATGATTGAAGTATACATCAGGATTATATAGTTTTAAAGTGACCAGAGTCAGGAGTCAAAGAAAAGTAAGATTTCAATCAGAACCTGTTGCTATACTTTGCTGCGTAGTCAGGTGGTTAAACAAAATGATTTCCTTGTTTGGCTAAAGAAATTCCAGCTCTTGTTCAATCTATCATCCTCTTTCCATTCTAAATCTAAATAAAGCAAGAACTTTTAATTCTTCCTTGCTTGATTGATTGATTTTGTTTAGCAGCATATCAACCTCTATGGGATATTTAATATTGAAATCGAAATATTTTGTATGTAATTTTATACTTTCAGGGTAAACATGTTCTTTAGATACATAGTTTGTAGATGATAAAATGTATTGTTGGTAATATTATTATAAATGTATTGCTAGTAATTTCAGTACAAAAATGTATAGTTGGTAATTTTTTTTATAAAAGTGTATTTTTATACATTTTTACTCTTATATTGATTGTCATTTTACTATAAAAATGTATTGTTGATTTTTGGGGGGGTCCACTATTTGCTACTACCATGGGTCAGAGTGGACCTGAGAACAACAGTAATTAAGAGGTGGTTCCACACTCCTCAAAACCTCCAATCTCCTGATTGGAGGCCTCACTGCCCATTGTAGTTTATCACCATATACAGGACAATCTTGCTTGATCACTCAAATTCAACTACAGGATTATATCAAATCATTAGTGATCTTGTATGACTATTTAAAAATATGATCAACTGTATGTTAAAAAAAAAACATACCATTGGCAAAGCAAAGCTATTGGAGAATAGGAACTATCTGAATGCTTTATGATAATGTTATCTTTTCCTGTTGTACGACAATGTGTGGTGACACATGATATTACAATTTAAAGTTGGTTTAAGTAACAACAGAATAATGTGAATATTTCTATAATACCTTTTTTTTTTATAGTAACCCTTTTACTTGAGTGTCTCTCGAGCCATATATTAGATGAATTTTAATATTAAAAAAAAAAAACAAAAAAAAAAAAACTTGTACTTTCATCTACCTTAGATTATCAAGCAATTCTTCTAATTGCTAAGTATGCCATAGCTGGAAATCATCTCTAATTATTAACCATTTTCATGTTTATATTTTCTATAATCCTAACAAGAAATTAGATGTGCAGTTAGCATGATGGTCATCAGTGCAGAAAGTAGAATTGGCAACTTGAGTTCAAATTCAAGTATAATCTGTTGCATCCACTTTCATACTAATACCATTCAAAAAAGAATGAATCAGGTTAAACTAGAATCTCTACCTTTGGTCAACAGCCAGTCTAGGAAAAGGAATGCTGAATTTAAAAACTATAAAGAAGGCAACAGGAAACCACTCCATATCTATTTTAAATTTTCAGATAATCAAAAAAGGAGCTTGTGGAGAGCCATCAATGTCTGAAAGAGTGGTACTTAACAATTTTGTGGAGTTTCTGTCTATCATAGCAACTGTAATTCTTTATTAGTTCCTCTTAACACTGATTAAGCTGTCAATTACTTCAACATTCAATAAACACCTTTAAAAGTCTATTAATAAAGTCAGTCAGAAACACAATAAGCCTACTTTTCCTAAAATTTGATGTTTCAGTTCTTAACTCCAATCTTCATCAGTTTTTCTTTACTGTATTTCCCTTTGTATAACCTGCATCAGTTTATAACACGCGCCTTTAATTTGGCAAGGAATATTTTGGAAAAACTAATAATATTCAACTGACAATTCATACATATATCAGCCTTTTTATATTTTAACAATTATTTTGATTTGTCATAAGTTAATCATTTATGTTTCATTGTATGGATGTGTGGATAGTGAAACATTTATCGGTGAAGTTGGCAAGACAGACGGACAGTGTGATGGACTGACTAATTTTAAATTTTAGGTGACCCTTTATCTACAAAATTGTATGCCATGTACTAATAGGTTAAATAGTTTCAGTATCCTAACCTAGAAGGAAGCAAAAAAAAAAAAAAAAAATCACAAGTTTTAGCAAGAAAATTCAATCTTTATTGCTATACAACCAACATCCACTTCTGATATTCTAGGCCAGTGATTCCCAAACTTTTTTTCTCTGCGCCACATTTTCAGTATGAAAATTTTCTCACACCTCATCAAAATGAAAAAACAAACAGAAAGTCAAAGCGAGATAACCGCAGATTCGAAGTCAAAATTATCATTGATAACTCTCCTCTCCAATTTGCAAACTCTAGTTACTGTATTCATAATACTTGATATAATGCAAAAATATCACAATGATAAAATCAGTTAATAATTGTTTATAACTATTTATACTACAACTTATGTAGGCAATTACAAGTAATCCATAATAATATTTTGAAATCATATTTATGATTTTGTTACTAAATCTTTGAGTGACTTTCAATTATTCTGCCTCACCTGCTATCCTCTTCCACTGCACTTATGAGGCATGCCACACCATTTGGGAATCACTGTTTCAGACCAACATAATAAAATAAGTATTATTATTTTTAGAGCAATCCTCATACTTTTCTATTTATGCCGCTTTAAAATGATTTAATGGCCAGATAACTTATAGTAGAATCTCCCTCAAGAAAAAGTAAAACAAATTCAGTTTACTAACTTGCAATTGCCTCTTCTCTGATTCCACAGCAGACAGATTACGTTCCAAATTGGACACTTTCTCAGACAGAAGCTTCCTTTCTCTTTCATTCCTGCGAATGGTTTCCTCTTGCAACATGAGGGCTGTCTGGGCACTGGCCAATCGTCCATCAATGCCACGCTTATCTATAAGAAAAAAAAGAAAGAATATAAAAATAAAAATACTTCAGAAAGTTTTAAGTCACTGCTTAATACCAAATACATAATGCGAGGTTAGTATGAGAAAGGATCATTAAGTCTAGAGCCTGGTCTGAAATGTTAACTATATATATTATTCAATGTATGTGCTATTTGGAGAAGCATTGGATTAAATGCATTGACAAGAAATGATGTTGAAAAATAAGTATTTGCTGTGTAAAATAAATGTTTTTTTCATCATTAGATTCATTGAATTTCTATAAACAAGAAAGATATTTAGGATTATGAAATACATTCTTACCAATGTTTAACCCAGTAACACCTACCATAAAATCTGTTATTAATAATAAAAATTAAAATAAAGCCAGTATTAATTATAAAAATTTTAATAAAAGGCAGTTTTATTTGTTTCTAAAAATATCTAGTATTATAGTTCTCTGAAGTTCTGAAATGAGAGCTTGTCATTATTTACATGTGGACTATTTTCCTCATCTTTTTTGTTGTTATTACAATGTTTCAGCCGTTTTACTCTCCAACTTTCATCAGGTATATGTCAATCCAGGTAACCTACAAGAAATTTTGAACTTAATTTTTTTATTTAATTTATGGGGTAGATTGTTGTACAGAAGAAAATGACAATGTACCTTGAAGGCCAAAACGCTATCATGTTGCAATCTGTTTTTTGCAGAAAAAAGAAAAAAAAAGCCTCTCCATTAAATGAAGTCAGCAAGTTAATGAGCTACTTTTAACCCTAGTTCAAGTGCCACAGAGTAGAATGAATTGCATAGAAAAATAGGCTAATCCATTTCCATGATCCAGGCTTGGCTCACTGTAGAGGGGCCAACAAATTGCTATAAAATTGAGTGACTTTTCCTGCCTGGGAGAGAACTTTGTGAGGTTGTGTGTGAGGTCAGCAGACTTTGAGAAACTGCATTCGTTTTTTTTTTTCATTCCACTACCCATGTCTAGGGATATCTCATCTAGTTCTGATTTTAATACTGCTCAGATATTGCTCACCACATTTCCACTGTGTTCAAGTACACACTGCTCAGCCCAGGGATTGAACTCACAATTACTATGTCACCAAATTCATGAACAAATGCTTTAATCCACTAGGCCATTAATATATATCCCCAGACATAGGCAGTGAAATGAGAACAATCTACCCCAGTAAATGAAATAAAAGGTCCAGTTCAACATTCCTTATAGGTTATCTGGATCAATATACACCTGATGAAGGTCAGAGGGCATAATAGCTGAAAGATGATAACAACACCAACAAAGATGAAAACAATAATCTGCATGTAAATATTAATTATAGGTTTATAAAATCTGGTATTAACTAAAAGTTTCTACTTATCATCCATTAATGACCACTATGAAAAAAAATGGGACACTTTAATTAATACGTTAAATATATTTCTGAGAATATTTGTTTCAGTAAGAAGCTATTAATAATATATTTATTTATAAGCTATAAATGAGACCTAGGCAATAGGAGATAGCTACCAAAAATATTTTCCAATATCAGCCAGAAGTCACATTTGGTAACCTGGTATGCCGATAGGAGGTTGTTTGTTCATGTAGTTGAATTCACAGTTCCACATAAGGACAACATTGATGATGCTCAAATCTGGAAAGGAGAGCAGTATGAACAACTGGTGGAGGAATGTGAAGATGCAGGGTGACAGGCTAAACATTCCCCTGTTGAGGTTGGTAGCAGTGGACAGATAGGCATGCTCTTGTGGAGGTGGCTAGTATTCATGAGAATCAAGCAGAGAAAAGTAAGTGTAAACCCTAAAAGATATCCAAACAGCAGCTGAGAAGGCGAGCCACTGGATCTGGCTCCAAAGAAAAATGGTGAAAGTTAGCTAGAGAAATGATCCCTGAAAGAATGCAAAGTATCTGACAGGCAGTAAACCAGTTGAATCAGGTGGTGACGGCCTCACATCAGTGAAAGGAGTTGATGTGCAGTAAAATCCATTAAGATGCAGACTCCAAAATGGAACATATTTTCTCATGATGACCCAGAGAACCTAGTGGTATCTGGTACATGGAGCAGGTATTTTGCAGCATTTGCAGTAGCAAGCTATTCTTAATTCCTTTCTTTTTACCTATAACCCACTAATGCCCACTCATCAAAAAAAATGAGATGGTATGCATTAATGGGCTAAAATATATCTCTGAGAATATGTTGTAACCTAGGAAGTGTTACTGAATGAGGAATAGCCAAAACAGAGTTTGGAAATGAAATGGTAATCTTTATAACATCAACAAAATACAATCCTCGCCAAGTGTGAAGTAGGTAAACCACTGCTAGTGGTGGACTACTGAGACAGCATATTACCCCCACTTACAATAGTGTCCAACATATTAATGAGGATTGGGATATACCCATTAGTGTTCATAGGTACAGTATATAACAGAATATTTATTTGTATTTGTAAGAACAAGATTTTAATCTATTAATAATATTTATTACTTATAAGCTAATTTTTCATATTCAACATTTTTTTAAATTTTTTATAATTGCACAAGTCAGCTATTCTTACTTTTTAAAGTGAAACTATAATAAACAAAAGTGTGACCAATTTAAATGCTTTGTCAGATTAGACATGAAAATATGTCAATTTATCCCAATAAGAAACAAAGTGTATTTTAATCTGGAAACAATCCACGTGTACTTAAGCAGCAAATGTTCTTTAAGGTAAATGTTATTAAAACAACGGATATTTTGTGTTGATTAATTTTATTGATTGATTTTTTGAAATTGTAAAAAGATTTATGATCTTTGAAGCAATACTCATACAACAAAAACAAACATCTATAAATAAAAACTGTTATAATTTAAGAGCCCACATCCTTAAATATAAATAAAAAAAAAAACACACACACACACGCCATATCTTGATTATGTCACACCTTGCTCACATCACAATGTCATTGTCTACATCACTACACTCACTAGTTCTACAAAACTCACCATTTGTATCTGCCTACTCTGATGATGACTTAAGAATGTTGAAAGCTTGAACCATATTTTTTTTTTAAATGAATTTTGGATAATTTCTGGTAGAATTTCCACCTTATCTGAGAAAGATTATTCATTAATTTGGAAATGTTGATCAATAAAATTAATTGACACAAAATGTCTGTTGTATTTAATAACATTTACCTTAAATAATGTGTGTATCTATATACAATAAAACCTTGGTTAGTGTTCTAGATACATTTTCTAAAATGATGCAATGCTAAACTAAACATTGCTATATTTGGACCATTATGATATAGCATAAATAGAAGTTTCACAGGCTGTTTTTAATAATGATATTTGTGCTATCTGTGGAAAAAGAAAATCCAAATGAAGATCAGGTCAACTTTTTTAGTAGGGCTTGAAATATGCTAATTGTTTGCACTTCCCTACCAGTCTTGACCAATCACAACTTTAGTAACAAAATGGAATGGATTAATATTGTGTAATCCGACCTGGTATTTGATGAAATATCACTAGGTGTTATTGATACATAATAATCCTGTGTGCTTTTATTCTCAAACACAGGACATGATCACCTAGTGTAAAGTTATACTGTTATTTTAAGTGACTGTTCATGGGGCTGTCTTTTATCATTTTGTATTTCATAAATTTAATGTTACTAAATTCATCTATTATGAAAATATTTAATCCTAGACAGATCAAACAGATACCACACTCTGATCTGAGGCAGAAGGCACAGATATTCTGTTCCTAAGCAGAAGTGCTGATCCAGCCATAAATAATCCAGTCATTTTTTATAGGTACTGAGCTTGTAGAAACACAAACTTTCAAGACTCTTCAATCAGCAGATAAAGGCTGACCAGTTAGATAGAAAATTCCATTAAATGCAGCTAATCGAGAAGAAAGATTAATATTATAAACAAGAATTATAATAATCAAACGAATATATGGAGGTATGGATGCATAAATTAAAATAAAATTCAATATAGCCACTGAATAAAATTAACAGCTTTTTTTTTTCAAGCTTTTACTACATACATACTCAATTGTCATACTTGATGACTATGGTTGGTAGGTATTTCTTACTTATACTAAAGCCAAAATTTCAAATGCTGATTTCCCAGATAGACAAGCCTTCCCCACTGAGAAGATTTGGGGCAGCACAATTTTCCTCACATCAGACTAAAACAAGTGAATATGTTTCTTTTTATGCACTTGCTGTTCATAATTTCACTGAAGACTGAAAATTTGTTGTTCAAAGCATCATAAACATTTCCTTTCATTTGTCTATATTATAAATTTCTTGTAGGAGGTCTTATAAATATCCTGGTGAATGTCAAGGGACTGAATAATCATATTCAATTTATTGCTTTGATCTGTAATATAAATGTTGTCATGTTCTTCACAATGGACAGCATATAATTTTGGTATATACCTTCTTCTACTTCCATCAGAGATTTCTGTAACTGTTGCAAACGAGATTCTGTTTGGCTGCGAGATTCTTCACTGTCTACTATCTGAGCCTCCAGACTACGAACTTGAGTGATGTAATCGTCCTAATGAAATAGAAGAAATCAAAAATAATAATACGGGATCAACAATAGACAAATTAACCCCAATTGATTATTTTCATTTTTGGTAATTCTCAAAAGGTTTAAATAAATATTAGTGTATGATCCATCTGGGGATAAGTAAAATTTTAAGTTCTTCAAATTTAATGAATGAATCATTTTTTTTTTTATGAAATTTATAAGAGTTTTTCTTTTCTTTTTGTTGCTTTCTATTGCAACGTTCACATTGTTTAGATAATGATTGTAATGTGTAAAACAAACATAGATTGGAAAATATGAGATGTGGGTTTCATTTTCCAATCCATTCTGCTTATTCAATTATTGTGGAATGTAAAATGTTCTCATTTACTGTGATAAAAAGCAACAAAAATGAAAGAAAGTAAAATAAAAAATTAATAATTTTGTTAAACCTGATTATTAAAAGAAATTAAATGTTTTCACTTTAATATATAAAAAAATTTCATTTAAAATATTCTTTACTGAGAGTGAAAAAAACTAAGTAAATATTATTGAGGAAAGAGAACAATAAAATAACAGTATTAAAGGAGACAAAAGACAATGACTGATATTGCATTTGATCCTTTGATCTTTCACACTTTACAGGAAAACAAGAAACCAAAAGAGAGTTTCACAAGCAAGAAGTGTGAAAGAAGAAACTATTAGCATAGGAACCTCAGGTTACATCTAGTAATTTCAATAGTAAAATGATGAGACCTAGCTGCAAACCTGGTACTGTACTTAAATTCATTAAGTCACATGACCAAAGAGGAAGCTCATCAGAACAATGACCATGAAAATATTTATAGAAAAAGACAGAGAAATGAGCATCTTATTGATACACATTACACAAACTCATCTTGGTCAGCAGAAAATAACCAACTATTTTAATAGCATATTTCAATAAAATAATTTATCTATACACTTGTCGTTAGCCTAAATCCTAAAGATTACATACTTTTGTGATCTATGATTCTCTCTATCTATATTTGAGAATTGATTTGTCATCAAAAATGATATTTTCCAGAATATCTGATATCTCTTTATATATGGATAGTGCTTGAAGGGAGCAGACATATTGTCTTCTCATTGCATTATTTATTTAGAGTTCTGATTGCATAAGACTTTTTTTCAGTAAAACCAAATATTTAACTGCACAAAAAAGATAATTTATTCACACATTCTGTTTTACACTTACCCTGTCCTTCTCAGCAGAAGATAGCTGTTGTACGAAATCTCTCAGAGCTCTACGTACTTGCTCCGGATCCACATTGGCTGCCTGAATAAGGGAACTTGCATCAGAACGATTAGGAGACATGGTTCGGGAGAATGGACGGGCAGCAGGGCTCTGAGAGCGTTCAGGAGATCCAGTTCTTGGTATGGGTGTTCCTCGGCCCTCGGTGGTTGTTGCGAAAGTAGTATCAAATCCTGCAAGGTTAAAACCAAAAATCAAAGATTTACAAAAAAAATAAATAAAATAATAATAAAAAAAAACACACAGATAAGAAAAAAAACTAATAATGCTGAGCCAATAATTGTCATATTTTGACTTCAATCAAAATCATAGAATCCACAATCCTACACCCATACTCATGATCCTGCATAACTATCATCAGGTCTTCCCTCCTAATCCTCATGTCCCTGTTGATGACAACAGGGAAGCTTAGACTTTTTTTTGCTTCTCTTACTATAAATTTGACGTCTCAAGAAGATGAGTGATGAAAACACTACATTCTCTGCTCTATGAGAGTCACCCACAAACTAGCTTTTACTCAAGAGGAGACAGTTACTATATATAATTTCTCTGGTAAGATGTCTCCAGGAAAGATTGAAACATTGTCCAAGTTTCAGAGCCATACAGGAGTACAAACTCATCTGTGACCAAAATTTTATGCATGTCATATGAAGTGGCCCAAGCCATATCTTGACATTAAAATTCTTTTCATATAAACCTGGGTGTTTGTAGTCATCAACCTGATTAAGAACTGTGCTATTTAATATTTTAATTTCAGTCATTGTATTAAGATATTAAATAACACAGTTATTAGGTACATCATTAGGTTCATATTCTAATGATGAAAGAAAAGCATTTATTTTATACAACAAACATTTATTTTTCAATGTGAATCGTTTACCAACATACTTAATTGAAAAATTACCAACATACTTAATTGAAAAATTAATCATGTCAACTGAATATTATACAGTGAAAATCTCCGATAAAAATTCAAATAGATCAGATTTACTGATTACACTGAAAATTATTAGTTACACTGAGGTTGACTACAATGATAATAAAATGAATGATATTGGTCATAATTATAATAAGAATGACAATGTTGATCTGAAAGATTCAAAACTTACAATATAATGTTGATAATAATGTTATTCTGATATCAATATGAATGAAGTAAAAAAAAAAATCAATAAAAACATGGCAGAATCTTGGAAGCATTTTAAATCATTCCAAACAAACATGAACTCCTGAACTTACCTTTCGTGGGTGATACAGGTCGTGACCTACGAGGGCTAGGACTACGTGAGCGGAGTGGGTTACTGATATTGGCTGTCTCTTGTCTGAAGCCAATGGTTCTTCGAAGTGAGGATACCACACTACTCAGCTTGTACTCAACATCACGTTTGGCTCCTTCCAAGCGTGAAAGCTGAGTCTCTAAAGCATTCACACGACCCTCGGCACCGCTTAGTTTCAATCGAAGATCAGACAATTCATTATTAGCTGCATCAAGAGAGATCTCAAGGTTCTTCTTCTGGTCTTCCAACTTCTTCTCACAGTGGCGGTTGTCTTCCATTGTGATCAGGAAGTTCTTCTCTTTTAGAGCATATTCATCCTGAAGTTCAGCCATCTTGCGCTGGACATTAGCCAATTCCTTGCGCAGAGCGTCTCGACTGGCCTCTGTCTCAACAACCTGTAGAGAAGATAGGCAAATTTTTTTTTTTTTTTTTTTTAAATCCTTTCTCTATTGGGAGACATGCTTTCATTGGAATCTCTATACAACATTGCATTTTAAGCAACATTAACAATTCTTGTGATTTTATATATATTAGGAAATGGATTAAATCCAACAGATTTTTTTAAATTTATTTGTTCAAACATTATTTATTAAATGGAAACTCATATTTGAGTAGATGTTCAGTTCTTATTTATTTATTAAACAGTATATTTATTTATTTACATCTACTGGCCTGAATATTTTGAGAAATCTTGTTGGAAAAATATGTGTCCTCTGGCAGGATTCAAACCTGTGTAGCCCTAGGGGAAACTGTCATTAGATTTGATGTGCCTTAGACCAACTTGTAGGACCTCCTGACAAACAAAAGCTCTATTTTGGCATTGTTTGATCATCAGAGTTGCAAGAGATCCCAAAGTCATAGGGAGGCTGTGGTTGAAGCCAATGGTGATTTTATTGAATAAATTTACTTTTTAGTATTTCAAGATATTTTTGTGTAATTTTGGTAAATATATCTGTTTAAATGAGATGTCAATGTTATTTTCATTTTTGCATAATTTAGACGACAATTTATCCATCGCACCATATCTGAGAGAGAAATACACTAATACGAAACAGCACTCAGAGATCCTAATCCAAATTTTATTAGTATCTAATTACAACCTCATATTCTTGTCTGTTGTTATTCTTTTTGTGTATATTAAATGTATGTTCCCTGTACACTTGATAATATATATATATATATATATATATATAGAGATAGAGAGAGAGAGAGAATAACTTGCACCAATTTTCATTCTTGATCATACCAATAAAAACATTAATTTAAAAAAATCAATAACTACCACATACATGATGTCACTTTTAAGTAACTTGAAATTGATTCTAGCAGGCTAAGAAATCCTGGAATTTCCTAAATGCACAAAACTAATAACACACAATTCTGGATGATGACTGCTGTGATAGTCAAAAGTTCTTAGATGGATACAATAAATGAACTTTGGAAATTTAATTCAGACAAAACAACTTAATCAGAAGTTAGAAAAACTATATAAAATAAGCAAGTGCTGACAAATTTTTGGTCCAATCCAATTCCCAAAAATTGATCTAACATGAGAAATCCTATTTTGCTCAGGCCAAGAACTTTTAAGCACCCCATCCTAATAAAAATATTTTTTACAAAGTGCACAGATACTACACTCTGATATTAGGAAAGCAACTCTTTGGTCCCAGTATAAAATAACTCATCCAAAGCAGAAGTGACAATCCATCTATAAATAATTGCATAATTTTTATGTGTTTTATGCATTTGTGTGTGTGTGTGTGTGTGTGTGTGTGTGTGTGTATATATATATATATCACCTATTGGCATACATAAAATTATGTAATTTAATATATGTCAAAGTGACCAGAATTTAATTTTATCAATAAATTGCTCAATAGTTATCTATAACAATATTATCAATAAATAAAAAATTCATGAGGCTATCTAGGTCATAGATAAGTATTGCGAACTTCATATATGTAGATAGATTATGTACATATATAGAGATAAATATTTGTACATTTATTTCTTGTAAATGTGTTAGCCTTAGATGCAAAATGTACTTTTTTTTTGCATCTTCTCCAGGTACTAATTAGTAAAGACCAGGTGTGTTCCTACTATAAAGGAAGCAAGACCAAAAGTAGAGATTATACATATTTAATACAAATGCTGTTAACTGTAAGTCCAACTGGTCAATTACAGATAATATAGAAGCAATGAGTAAACCACATGCAATGCAGTACAGACATTGAAATTTAGAAAATCTTGAACCAAAGAAGAGTAGCAATATTATACAATAACAATAAAAAAAAGATATTATCTGTGATAGACTATTATTTCAAGACAACCAATTTCCACAGTTAAAGTACCATACAATTCCTTTACCATTAGAGAAATAAATGACTCTCTCTTCGAATCTGGTGCAAGATAAACAATATTATTTGTTATATACACTTGTGTAAAAGGTATCCAAGTAGAGTAATAAAATTTATAGGTTTCTGAAACTAGATATCCACTTAAATCATTATTTTTAGAATGCAATAAAAATATCATTAAGGATAGAGGACGGTAAATGAGCAAGATTAAAGGAGACAGAAGATGTCAATTGACATTTTATTTAAATTTTTAATATCAAAGTTGACTAGAAAGCAAGAAACTGGAAGAGAGTTCCACAAGCAAGAAGTGCAAGAGAAGAAACTGTCAGCAGAGAACTTAGTTGCATCAAACAATTTAAACTGTAAAATGAGGAAACCTAACTGCCAATCTAGTACTGCACTTAAATTTGTAAAGTTGAAGTATCAAAAGCCACCAGAACATTTACCATGAAAATATTTATAGAAAAGGCACAGGGAAGCTATGTTATGGTAATAGGAAAACAAATGAAGCTGAGGTGCCAGGTCAGGATCAGTAACATTGTAGATTCTTTAGATTTTGTCAAGAATCTCTAGATACATAGCAAAAGCAACAGACCAGATATATATATCTATTTACAGAGTGTACCTTCTAATAGTAATACTATTAGTAGTAACAATAGTAATTTTACTAAAAATTTCAGTTTTCACTGGATGCACTACGAAATTTAGTAAATATCTATTTGTGCCTGCTACTGCTAAAAGTAATAGTAATAATAACATAAAAATTTCAATGTAATAAATATCAAAGCAAACAAAGTGTAAATGAGTGATTTACCTTTTGCTTCAAGTCAAATGATGCTTTGCGTGACTCCTCTTCTCGATCTTCATCTCGTGCAACCCTTGCCTGCAGCTCCATCACTTCTTTGCCTAATTTGCTACGCTCACTATCAAGCAGTTTCACCTGTCGGCGCAAATCTTGTAGTTCACGTCGGGCATCTAAGCGAGCCTTTTCCACTTCACGCAGATTTGTACGCAGTTCTCCTGCCTCTTTCTGAATCACTTGTTTCTGTTCTTCAATAACTACAAACATAAAGAAAATATCAATAGATTATGGGTTAAATAATAGAGAGGGCTGGGCTCTCTAGCCTTGATTGGCAGCTGATCTAGATGAACAACAATTCTAAATTCAAAACCATGGAGAAAGCAACAGGAAACCACTCTACTAAATTTTCCAAGAGGCATGGCAATTTACAGATAACAAAAAAAAGGAATCATAAAAAGACATGGGATTTAAAAAAAGAAGAAAAAAAAAAATCACCAAAAAATACTTCTATCTAAAAAGCAAAAAAAAATATAACTATTGATATAAATAATATTAGAAAGATTACCAAAGATTATTTGAGTTAAAATGACTTAGATTTTAAAATATTCTGTGCCATGAGATATTAACTAACATTTAACTGTTAAGCACTGAACAATGTTAATTACATAACATCCCCTGTTTGAAATTTGTGCCTTGTCTTTATTTTGTCCTCTGCACACTACTTTCTAATGATGCCATTTAGTATTTGGGGAAACTCTATTGTTCTATTTTTGGACTAAACTAAATTAGAAGTAACTTTGGAATAAAAGAAATCAAGCAATGAAAAACAAAAATTATCACTAAAGTTTTTATTCTATGTTTGTTTAAAGATAAAAGTCTGAAATAATTCATTTTTATATATACAAAATTGTGATGTATTTAAATCCAAAACAGAACTGTTAAAAAAAGAAAAACAGAAATGATTCTATCATTTAATTTTAAGCAGAAACAATATAAATCTTTACATCATTAGTACTTTTTAAAATTTTATTGCTCAGTATTAAATGCAAACCTAATTCAGTTTCAACATCTTGAGATTACTAAAAATAAAGTCTTAATATAAACCTTCATAATTAAAGACAACCTTCAACTTGATTAATATTTTTAATTAAAATTTGAATTCCTCATTTGATTCAGCAACAAAAACATTGTATATCAAGAAAGAAATCATTATTTATATATGGAGTAAGAAACAAAAGAATTTATGATTTTAAGAAACTTTTATACCATTTTTTGGAAAAAAATATGACATTTAGTTTGGATTATACATTCATCAAAATTAAATATTGTCCAATATTCTCCACTCAATGGCTATATTTATCAATCAGACCAAATTATTAAGTTACATCTTTCTTGACATCATATAAGAAGCAAAATTTCATCAAAACCTTAAATATGAAGATATTAATCTACATTATGTATTACAGAAATAAACTTGTGAATAGAGCCTAAAAAGCAATTTAGACAGAAACTCTGAAGCGTCCAATAGGAAATATATTGGTTGTCTAGCCATTCCTTATGCATTGATTTCATAGATCTTTATACTTTTCCAGCTCAAAAGGAATTGTTAATTCAATGATGTAAACTATTTTTTTTTATTAACTGACCAGATCACAAGATCAGGATGTTAGGTTGTTAACAAAACCTCAGCTGGAAAACCATTCTAAATTTACTGCAGTGCACTAGTCATTACTACAACAAACAACAATGATATGTACTTTTTCACAAAAGTAGCACTCAGAATGTTTCCTTTTTTTTTATAAAATTGACTTTTATTTAATTTTCTATGCACATCCAAATAAATTTATGTACATATGTGAAATTTAAGACCTGTAATTCCTGAGTTTGAACACAAGTCAGCTGGTTAATGAGACATGGAACAAATTCTTTCACATAAGTCTGTAAAGGAATTTGTGAATAAAACTAACCTCCATTCCTCTGCTGGCTTTCCTGTAGACGACGATTCAGTTCCATCTTATCACCTTCACTCCTCTTAATAGAGTTTCGAAGTTCTTCAGCAGTCCGACCCAGTGCTTCTTTTTCACGAATCTCATCATTGATGTTACGTTTTAGATCCATCATCTCTTTCCTTGTCAATTCCTTATGTTCATCAGCTACCAACAGAAAAAGGAAAACAAACTGAAAAAATTAGGCCATGTACAAATGCTTTATTCATATTCAAAATCTATTTTTTCTCTATGTTGCCAATTCTTATTTATTCCTTTCTAACTACTAGAATGATGCATATTTTTAAGTAAACACAATATTATAGGTACATGTTGTAATGGAATGTCCCACACTCCCTATTGCCTATGTGGACTAACTATATTAGTAGCTATATATAGTGAGCACAGGATATACCTGGAGACTTGCTTCAGGAATTACTAGCCTGCCATCTGACTCCTGTCTTTCCATAGCATATTCTCTTTTACAATAAACCTCTCTTCTTTCATCTATGCACGTATTGCTGTTCCTTCACTTGAGTACCACCTTGTCTGTTTGTAACCTCTTTAAAGGATACAACAGTACACAATCTTATCTGAAGTCCTTTTGATCAAAGAGTTTTTAGATTTCCGAATGCTAGTACAAGTATCATATGTATAGGTAGACAAATAAGCCAGGCTAAGCTAGTGTGGGGCTTGTTGCATATTTTATAAAGGGGCCCTAAAATATACATATGTATTAAATCATAAATTATTTACTAGCAGTGATGAACTTATAAAACAGGTCAATATTTAACTCCTGTTTGAATTTCTGGGATAAGGAGTGACCATTATTTACACTGACTATTCTCCTCATCTTTGTTGTTATCAACAAAATGTTTCAGTCATTGTGCTCTTCAGCCATCATCAGATTCTTATCAATCTAGATAACATTCAGCTGAGTGAATTAAAGCATTGATTAAAGCGAATTTGGTGACATAGTAATTGCAAGTTCAATCCCTGTCCCAAGTAGTGTGTACTTTGATTCAGTGGAAACATGGCTAGCAATGACTGAACAGTACTAAATAAGGACAAGATATCCCTAGACATCAATGGAACAAATACATACTAGGTATTTTGAATGTGGGTAGAGTTGGTAAGACCTGAAGTTGATGCATTTGGCGGGTCAGTTGAGTGAGGTCACGGTGGTGATGACAAGAGAGGCCTGGAATGGATTAGTGAAGCTGTGAATCTGACTTTGTCAATACAGAGGGTGTGAGCAGAATGTCTCTGTGGACATTGGGTCTTGAGCAGATATATGTGTTGTGCCTGTTGACCAAAATCATGGCGGTGACATTGAGAGCCTGCCAGTGTCGATAGTTGGCCTGTTGGTTTCATTCTCAGTCAGTTGCTTTTGAGGGGGCTATCTTTTAAGCAAATCTGGTGGCTCCCAGACTCATCTTTTTTCTTTACTGGCAACATTCATGATTGGCTTCTTTTATATTGTATTTTAGATTTTTTTGGGGATTTGTTTTTGAAGCCCCTGCACAGAAGATGACTTTTTTTATTTTGGGTTTTGCTTTCTTAGCACTCACATCCAGCCAAGATGTAGAGTGAATCAGAAAGAGATCTAAGTTGCAGCAGAGTATAACAATGGAGACAATAGACCTGGTGCAAATAATGTAAATATTTAATTTCTATCAACATAATCAAAACCCAGATATATAAGAGCCATTGATTTTAATGAGATATTTGAGTAGATTTCACAGCCTTGTTATAATGTTACCGGAAATGATGAATAATTAAAGATGCAAGTGCCCCAACATACAATCTAGCAATAATATTGTTTGTAAGATGCCAATTTCACCAGGCAGCATGAAAGTATTTAATGCAGGGTCATCAAAAATTAGAGGACTGCAGCATTTGTTACTAGGTTAATTGAACACTTGTCACCCACTGAGAAAAACTTTTTTTTAATATTTTCACAGTCTTTATAAACAAAATATCCATAAGCAGCAGAGGTATATTTGGCTAGTAGCAACACTGAGAGACAACTGTATGGTGTAGGTTGAGTCAAGGCTGTTTTAAAATAATAACTTTTGTTATGTTCTATGAACACTAGCAGAACATAGTGGAAATAAATTTTGAGATGTGTGTAATAATGGGATATGTTTGATACCAAATTTGAGATTTTGTGCAAAGACAACAGGAATGGAAAAAAAAGTGTTCAGCTTTTGGAGATTTTTTGTTTTCAGAACTTTTGGTAAGAGATTATGTACCTATAGCGCATATAAGTATATATGTATATAGTATAAGTATATAATGAGATTTCACTGTAGTGCAGACAGCAGATTTGACTGCAATGTCACTGGCTGATATCGTAATCCAAGTAAAGTGAGGTCTTGAATTTCACTACAGACATTCCACAGCCTATTGAGAGGCTAGTATTCCTTTCTGTCTCGCTAAGAAATGTCAACAAAAAATAAGAAAAACAAACCACAACAGAATTGCTTCAATCACACACATGAAAACTCAGTGGCATGCCCAGCAGTGTCAAAGAATTAAGCTCTGGTATTTCAATAGGAAATACTGTTTCTAATCAATAAGTTGTTATGCAAGAACTAAAGAAAAAAAAAAAAAAAAAAGAAACTGTATGTTCCCTGTCTACCTTCTCTGATCTTTCTGTTAGCTTCAATAAGATCTCGTCGTACACTGTCTCTGGCTTCTTCAACCAGCTTCAACTGGATTTTGAGTTCTGCTACTTCCTTCAGGGCCACTTCACGATGACGTTGTAATTCCTTACATCTATTGTTTAATTCTTTGATTTCTTTCTCATTAGCATCACTGGGGGTAAAAAGAATTAAATAATAAAAGTAAATAAATAGATAATAAAATGATAAAAGATAAAATAAAGAAAGAAAAATAAATAAGACAAAGAAAAATAAACTGTATAAAAGAATGAATGAAACTTTTTTTTTTTTTAAATGTTATTGAAATGTAATATCAATAATGATAAAAAATAGAGAGAAATTCTATATTAATTAATATCAATATATACTGACACAATATGAATGACCTACTATTGACATTTTTTAAAAAAATATTTCCTAGTTAGGGAAAAATTATTTGACCAAATTTTAATGTAGACATAAACTCGTATAAAAACTCTTGGATTAAGGAATTGTCTTTTTATGAACAATAATCACTAACAAAATCTGCTATGACTAATTCTTATTTATTATTCTAATATTAATATAGTTGTTAGTAATAATAGTTGTAATAGTAGCAGATTATATATAAGTATAAATAATTGCAAAAAGAAAGTAGTCAATAGTAGGATTCAAGCAGCCAAGCCAAGTTTAATCCAAATCAAAGGTATATTTTCAACATCTCTTAATTGAATGAGAAAGAAAAGAGTTCATCAATGTATGCAGGTCAAGTGCTTTGTCTGGTCAGTGAATCAATTCTTTTCACTAGCTAATTTATTATTAATATAAATTTATATATCCCATGCATATATACACAGACAAAACCAATCTATGACATGAAAACAATGAATTATTCTAACAAAAAATCCTAGATTAAAAAATATTGCAAGGAATATAACCAATAGGGTAATGAATTAGCAATGCAATAATAAGGAAGGGAGGAATTTCCAAATTCCAGGGTCTGTAAACAGAACAAAAAAAAGACAGGGACATAAATTCAGGAAAAGTTCTTTCACAAGCGGTTTACAGGCAAAGTAATATAACAACGGACAATAGGCAGTAGCAATGCAGGGTTATATACGAAATGCAAGGGAAAAATTATGATAAAGTGGTAAAAGTTTTTGGGTGACATGATTTGTCCTTTAGGAGGATTTCATTGGACTAATGTTAACGTTTTCCACTTTGCCATAATTTTCCATAAAATTGTTCTTGATATATCAAAATGTATATATCATTTTCCCATGTTAAATGTTACAAAGCTGAACAAATAAAGGGAGATAATTTTAAATATCAGGAACTCACTTGACTATTAGTGAAGATATCTATAATGTTCAGCTCACAAAACCAGAGAACCTCATGCAACAAACAGCAAAAGACAGAAATAAAAAGGAAAATATATAACTTAGACTCTCCTATTACAGTAGATATTTCAAAATGGTTATTGCCCTATGTAAGCAAGCTTATTTCGTATTGTTTTTTTTTTTTATTTCACATGCTATTTAAGTATATAAAAATCTCAAATAGCCAATTAGGAGTTAGAATGACATTTAAGGTACACAATGTGTTAACCATTCAAGTTTGATGTCATTAGGTGGTTCAGATGTCGATTATTCTATATGGAGCTTAGACATGTGACTAGTTTACTTATGTATTAAAATATGCATCTATTTGAAGTGAACATAATTATAATATAGCTTTTATTTATCTACAAAAGTTGTAAACAGTTTAATTGTAGGTATAATCCATCTGTTATGATAATAATAATATTAATGATAATATATATATATATATATATATATATATATATATATACATACATACACACACACACACACACACAGGATATACAAAAATACTTTTACAATCTGTGAGGGTGGGTCCCGCACACCAAAATAATGACAAAAGTCCTCATAAATATATGTCCGGAAATTCTTCCTTTTTGAGTTATTAAGTTTAAAGAAAGTTTACACTAGATGCCGCTGTGTTGCCATGTAGACAAGGTTACATTTGTCATTCATATACATTTGTGGCTAGTCTGTCATTAATGTTTAATGTGTGTAGTAGGAGTTAACTGAGAAGTGTTGTTTGACAATGGCAGGATATTCATAGCGCAAGCAGGCAGATATGATTTTTAGAGCCATGCAAATGGTAATGGACACAAGACTGCATGGCTATATCAGATTGTGTTTCGAGACCAAAGGCAGCCGTTTATCATCTCATTGCTGAGATAGGATTCTTGGCACCAAAAACAATCAAGGAAGACCAAAATCTACTTGTATGCCTGACCATGTGTTCAACAGGCTATCGGAAATGATCCAGGTATCAGCACACATCAAGTGGCCCTAGCATGTTGTACATCTCATGATACTGCATGGAGGTTACTTCAAGAGCAGCTCTTTTATCTGAATCATTTACAACGTATGCAGAGTCTTTCTTTTACCCTCTGATCACTCATCGTCTCTTCAGTCTTGTTTACTGTTGAGGCAATATTTGGAAGAGATGGAATAAATTTACACAACCAACATTTGTGGGCAGATCGGAATCCCCATGGTACAATACATGCTAGACACCAGCATCAGTTTATGATTAATGTGTGGGCTGGAATTATAGGTAATTACCTGGTAGGTCCATATGTTCTCCCAGCACATCTTATAGGAGCTGTCTACAGGGACATTATTTCAAACAGACTTCCAGACTTGCTAGAGGATGTACCACTGCTAATACAAAGATGCATGTGGTTCATGAATGATGGGGGTTCCAACACATTTTAGTGTCAGGAACCTTCTCCCACCCATGTTTTCAAAAGAATTTTTGGATTGTACATTTAACAGTGTCTACTTTAAACCCAAAAACAAAGGATTTGTGGACATATGTTTATATGGACTTTTGCTCTAGTTTTGATGTGATGAACCCAACCCCAAATTTTGAAAAAGTATTTTTGATACACCCTATATATATATATATATATATATATATATATATACACACACACACACACACATATATATATATATATATATATATATATATATATATATATATATATATGATTATCAATCTTTCAGACCTGCAAGCCAAATACAGATATTTGGTTTGCAGGTTTGAAAGATTGAAGACTATTTCTATAGCTTTCATGAAATGAAGATTATTACCTATGGTATTTTAAGTGTTTGATATTCATTAATAATTTTGCTCTGTCTCGCACACAGAGCTCTCCTTAGATCTTTATCCTCTTGGAAATTCCATACGGATTACCATTTTAATTTAGTATTTTATATATATATATATATATATATATATATATATATATATATATATATATATATATACAAGTTTTGTTAAAAGACAACTGACAAGGCACTGCAATTAAGCTTTTTATTTAATTTTTGTGTTTGTACAAGTTTTTTTTACACACTTTGTGTCCAGAAAAGAAAACACTTGTACGAACACAAGAAAAATTAAATAAAAGCTTAATTGCAATGCTTTGTCAGTCATCTTTAACTTGTATAAAAGAGGGATTGCTGCCCATATATATATATATATATATATATATACACACACACACACACACTATATTATTACTGACTGAACTGACATAGGTCAATGCCAAATCACAATTTTACTGTTTTGTGAATAATGATTACTCGTTTCAATAAATTAATCCATATTAGTGGCGGATACTGCATTGTTATAGCATAGTTGTCCGGCCATGCTGGCCCATTTTGGAAAATTAAAATATTGCCATTTACAAAGAAAAAAACTATAAAGACAATGATGGCAATTTTTCATGGGTTTTTGATCAGATACTCTGCAACAGGCGAAGCAGCCCCATCATGCAATATAATATAAAAATATGTCACAAAACACATATTGTATGTTATATGTTTATGTTGCTTTGGAAATAGTATTAAGCACTAGTTAGTTTATAACACAAATGCTAGCGATCCAAATTTCACAGTGTCTTGAAAGCATATATATGTTGACAACAGGTAACATAAGTTTTGTAAAGACATATGTATGTCTTGAAAATGTGTGTGTGTGTGTGTGTGTGTGTTGATAATGTAAGTTTCATAAAGATGCATAAGTACATCCATAGCAACAGGAGTGTTAAGGACTCTTTATCAAAGTAACAAGCATAGAATTAGTCCAGAAGAAAGAAATATGCCACATATAACAATATCAAAATTATTAGTTTATAATTTAAACATAAAAACACATGCAAAATATGTTAGTTGATTAAAGTTAAATTTTATGAAAGAAAATCTTATACTTGAAAGTTAACAACAAAAAAAAAAAGAAAATTTATTGAAAACAATGCAACAAATGAAAAAGAGTAGAATGTTTCAACTATATCAAAGTGCACATTTTTTAACAATATTTCACATACAGAGAAACGCTTTGAGAAACCTTTCTTAAACAGATTAATAAGATACAAATCTGGATATTTTTTCTCTCTAACCTGTTTATCTTTGATATGTTTATTAATAAGTGTTCCAAATAAATGTTCTAAATTGGGGGATTAAAAAAAGTTACATCCAAATTCCTAAATATATCAAAGAGCAGTCTCTAATCTTTGATGATACCACATCTTAAAAAAAGGTTTCTTAATCTATATACTTCTGAGAATTAAAAGCCAAGTAGGAAATAAAAATGTCAGCTAAAATACAAGAACTGTGAATGCCAACAATTTTCAAATTTTCTCATTAATAATCTAAGAGTTTTGGATTATGTTGTGTAAACCTAAAATTGAATTTAAAAGAAAATGTCTGTCTATATTTCTCAGATGAGGTATTGTAGCTATTTAAACTATTTACATCATTCAGACTGTTGTCCTCATCTTTATTGCCATATTCACGATGTTTCGGTCATTGTACACTCTGGCCTTCAACAGGTGATATACATTGGAATTTGAAACCGAACATTTTATATAGTCCATGGGGGTAGATTGTTCTAATTCCACATGCCATGTCTTTTTTGGATATCTCAGTTTCAGTTAATTCCCCTTAGTAACACAACACTACAATTTTTTTGTTCCCTCTGCTGTGACCAGGTATCTCAGAACTCTTTGGGTTGTGATTCTTTAGATTATTCAACCAATGCTTTTATCCACTGTGGAGAAAGCATATATCACCTGAAGAAGGCAGGAGTATACAACGTTCAGAACATCATGAATATGACAATAAATATGAGGACAACAGTTTGAATGGTGTAAATAAAAGAAAAAGTATTCATTATATCCCTTTGAGATATGACTTTTTTGGTTGTGAATATCAGAATAAGTATAATATTCAACAATATTTAAAATAAATAGAAGTGAAATTACAGTAAATGACATTAAAAAAGGTTATGAAAAATTCTTTGGGCAAATATAAACTTTGGACAATTAAAAACTGTTTTTGATGCCTGTTTTTTTCTCTATAAACAATTCATTTTTTACAATAAAGCTGAAAGTATTTACGTTGATTCTTCAAATTGGCTTTGGAAGTTTTTCAATTCAGACTGTAAATTGTTAATTATATTTCGATCTTGATCCTGTTTGGCCTGGCCATCTCTTTTCAGTCTATCATAATCCAAATTCAGAGAAGCAATCTCCTGCTGCTGGTTGATGTTTTTCTCTTGCAGAGAACTCTTCTCTTGTTCCAACAAAGATATAACCTGCAAGCAAACAAACACGTTTCAATTATATAGTAGACTCTGCTGTGTTCTAAACATTCAGAGAGAGAGAGAATAAAAGGAGAACAGACTTGTACATATTTCAGGGTAAATTAATTCAGCAACAATGAAAATATTTTTATTTCCTCTGTGTAAAGACTAAATGAAAATAATGACTATAAATCAGTGTTGTTCCTCAACCTTTTTAAGCAACAGCAAACCTCAGAGCAAATGAAAATATCACAGCACATTTAGCAAAATCTTTTAAAGGGTATACATTTAAATGTTATGAAATAAAATCATAGATTTAAAAAGTACATACACAAATATGAACTTATTTTTTTTTCAATGTTTCTATTCAACTATTTGTGCGGCTTATTTAGTAAAATAGTAATGCTGTACCATTACTATTTACACACACACGTATGCCATCTTAATATTTTTGCGGCACAATTAAGAGGATTGGTACAGCAATTGAGAATCACTGCTCTAAATATATACCAAACCCTGATGCTTAATAATATTTGATCAGTTTTCATCATTTCCTCAATTTGTCTCATACAGAAGATTAATTTTAGATAACCTTTAGATAATTTTGATGTGGCTTCCCTCTGTTTTTTTGTACAAATATTTCCATGGCATCTGCTCTGACAAGCTTTTTTCCTTGGTGCCCCAAGTACATGAATTTAAGCATGTTATTAGATTGGCACAGAGGAGTAATGGATAGTGGCTCAGATTGAGGAATTGGAGAGCCAAGTTTGAATTCCAAAAGAATCCATTACATTCACTTACATGCTAATACCCTTGGGAAAAGTATGAATCCTCTTCTTTTCCCCCCAACTATGGGTAAATAGCAGGACAGACCGGGTTTTATAGCCTTGGATGGCAACTGGTCTACCGCAGAAAGAAATGGCAACCTACTGTGGGTAAAAATCTGCCTCGTCAGTCATGTATTGAAAGATACATGATCGTCTAAGTGTGTATCATGCATAGCACATAACTGACTGACTGGATCGGCATCTAGCCCACAGCCTTTTACTTTTGAAATAGATAAATGAAACCACCATTTCTACTCCAACAGTTTCTTTTCTTGCACTTCCCACGTGTGGAACTCCCTTTCATTTACTTCCTTCCCTGATAATTACAATCTTCAAGAATTTAAATGCAATTTCAACTGCCACCTTATGTCTGCTTGAATCCCATTAATCTTTTGCTCTTTCCTTAATCCTCCTTGTGCTCAGTCTTCTTTTTCATTCTCTATAACCTCCTGAGCACTAGTGGCATTCCTGCCTTGCTTGGGGTGAAATGATTAAAAAAAAAAAAATTTTTTTTAAAATGACATAATTATTATATTGCCATAAATGTCCTGCTGTTCTCTGTAATTTAATAAATATGCATCAAACACAAATACTTTATCCATTTCTAAACCTGTAGTTATTTTAAAGCATAACATAAATTAAAATTTGGCTCAGATTTTAGTTTGAATAGTAACAAACATTCAAAATTGCCTCTCATATTTTTTATAAATATATCTATATCCATGCATGAAATAAAGAAAAAGAGAGAAAATATTATAATATGAAGTTCTTCCATGATAATCAACAAATTTTTCTTAGACACTAAGTCAAATGAGATTATTTTCTAATTATCACTTGAAGATAAGTCCAACAATTTAAAGATATCACTTTTATCTCAGAGAATATGGTCTGGTATTTCTATTTCAATGATTTTATCTCCTGCAATAGCAATGTGATATGATTTATATTTTATTACTAAAGGACGGCATATTTCTACTTATTTATTTTTAAACACTTTTTCAAGTGATTTTTTGTTTATTTCTTTGTAATTTTCTGAAAAGAGTTCTTAGTTACTTGTTGCTTTTCATTTTCTGCCATCAGCAGTGATTCATCCCGTTCTCTCTGAAGTATAGCCAAGGACTCTTGCAAGTCTTCCTTCTCGTGGTTGTACTGGGTGATCAGCTCTTCTTTCTCCAAGTTGTATTGATGGAGTAATTGCTCACGTTGAGATTCAAACTCCAAACGCTGACTTTCCTAGAAAATAATATACAAAGAAATCAGTAATGGAAATATTACAAAACAATAGTAGACTTGAAGAAATAGTGAAATATAACTAAGGAGATTTTCTTTCATTTTTTTTTTTTTTAATATTAACAACTACATTCATTTTGTTTTTATAAAATAGGGTTTTTATTGAAAACTAGCAGTAGAGCCCGGCGTTGCCTGGGGATGTAACAGTAAGAGATAGATCAAGTATCGACCATCATAAAGACGGAAAAATAAAAATTGACAAAGATTATTGTTTAAGGTTGACGGACACGCATGTCTTAATTAGTTTTTTTTTGTTTGTTCCTTTGTTTTTTTTATGAATTGGTTAAACCCAAACTCAAACAAAAACATTGTTTTCAATCGTTATGAGTCTATCAATTGAATAGAATTTTATTATAAACAATTGTCTTGTAAATGGAATTTTTAAAGCATTCTGAATGTAAAAATAAAGAAAAAAGTGTGCAAGACAATAAAAAACACTACCTGACAAAAAAAAGTGAAATTTTATTGAAATCGGTTGAGAAATGCAGGAAATCCGATCCCATATATAAAGGAACGCGCACACACACACACAAACAACCTGTGTTTTTATCAGTATAACTCGATATGAGTTGTCCCCCTTTCATTCTGGCGACAGAATCATGTTTTCAAATTGATTTCATGCAAAAACAATTGTGTTTTTCCAATTTTTGGCGCTGTCAGAACCACCGCAAGGTAATTTTACATAGTCTCCTGTAAAGTTTTGTTGAAATCGGTTGAAAAATGTAGGAAATCCAATCCAATATATAAATGTACACACACACACACAATCTGCATTTTATAATAAGTAAGATTAGCTTGTCATTTAATCCATTTTGTAAATATATTTTATCCACTTTCTAAAGGAGGATGAAAAATTACCTTATGCCAAATTTATCTATCAGTAATTTTACTAGTACATAAATATATTATTTGTATTATAAGAAATAGTCCCCAAAAGTATCATGCTATTTCACTTAAAAATTACAAAATTTTTAAAGCTATTTTTTAGTATTTTTCATTGAACATTGTGGCTCCTGAATTTCTGCTTTAAGAGATCTAAAATTTTAAGAACAATATTTTTTTTTAAATACTTTTTAACAATATTATGTCAGCTGAAGCGTGATCAATATTTCTATATAAAGTTTGTAAAATGCAAGAGTTGAAAAAAAAAAAAAAAAAAAAAACTAACGGGAAAATATTAAGAAGTGAGAAAATATGAGACTTTCATTTTCCTCACATCACAATCCTGGAAAATACACATCAGTAAAAGATAATGGCAATAGTGAAATTAGCTGCTTACATACATATTTGGCATTCAATGTGTGGACAGTTAATGTTAATTGAATTTTTTAAAATCCTTTTTTAAAAGTTGTTCAAGAAATTAGACTTCTCACATCCAATAAATTCTATCATTCTTTCTGGTAGTGATGGGAGTTTCCATCTGAACCTTTTGTTTTTAGTAATGTGGAAAGTTTAAAAACCTTGATTATATCACCATTTTCTCTCTAGTTATATGTGTTACCCATTTGTTATTATTGCTGTTGTCAGAAGTCTTCATGCAATGCAGTTTTTGTTATCTGCTAAAGCTCTTTATAATTTTGTAGTCCCAGTTTATAGGGTCTGATGATGGATCATCTTCGTTAATAGTGTGAGCTACTGTTTTTCTAATTTGGAAATGTTCCAAAATGTTTCTTCAAGCTTATCTAAATATCTTTCATTAAGAAATTTTTTTCCAAGTCACTTTTTTATTTTTATCATCTGTAGAAGAAATTTTCTAAACAAAATTAAAACACCCCTCCTTTTCCTATAATTAATTTCAAAGATCAAAGATTTACCCTGATAACGTCTTCTAATGCAAACAATAAAAATAGAGAAAAATCTAAAAAAATAGATTAAAAAAATAAAATATTACATTCACAACTTCATGCATATTAACATTTTCTATTTATAATCTAATAACTAATTTGTTAAGTAACTAATTATTGTTACTGACTGTTAAATTTATATTGTCCAGACTATTGTCCTTATCTTTATTGCCACATTAACCTTTCGGCGGTATACACTCCAGCCATCTTCAGGTGATATATGTTGGAATTTTGAACTGAACTATTTAGTCCACAGGGATAGATTGTTCAAATTCCATGTGCCATGCCTTTGGATATCTCAGTTTTGGTTAATTCCCTTTTAGTAACTCTCCAAGTTTTTGTTCCCTCTGCTGTGGCCAGGTATTGAACTCACAAGTCACTTTTTTTATTACTCAATCAACTCTTTTATCCACTGAGCCATATGTCCATTGTTAAGTATCTGCATCACCGATTATGGTGGATTAAGGACAAGACAGTCAAATGGTTAAAATGAATCCTTTATTTACCCCCAGTCACCATTACAGGAAGTGAGTAGGGGAAAAAGGACAAGGAGCAATTTAGTAAGAGGCAAGGGAAACGGAAAGCGTTAGTAGGAGGCAAAGGAGCATTCATGCGCGATAATAGAGCAGGGGCGGAGGTGTTAGTTTAGTATCATAACATTTACGTGTTTGAGATTACATGTGGAATTAGAACAATCTAACCCCATGGACTAAATAAAGTGTTCAGTTCAAAATTCCAACATATATACCCTGAAGGTGACCAGAGCATAAAACAGCCAAAATGTCATGGATATGGCAATAAAGATGAGGACAACAGTCTGAATTGTGTAAATAGTTACAATACCTCATCTCAGAAATATAAACAGATAAATAACAGTTAACAAACTACATATCAAATTCAATACACTGATTTTCATCTGATCACCAAAGTTAAACAACATCAAGTCTGGTTACTATTTAGACAGGGGACCACATAAGAATACCAGCTACTGTAAACTTTGAAGACTTGCAAGAGAGATGAAAAAAACTCCCAAACCTTCATTGGCAAGATCAAGCTATGATGAACTAATTATCTCTATTAACATATCAAATTATTTACTATAGATTTTATTACTGTAATCAGTTTTGTTACTATCTCCTGATAAAGTGTAAATTATTGTTATTACACTGTTAAGTCAGGTCAAGCATTACTCCCTTCTGTCACCCCCCCCCCATTAAATAGTAGGACAGATGGAGCACTTTAGTTGTATAAGGCAGTTCTTTCTAAGAGAAATTTACTCTGATAATAATACCTCTAGCTTGCTAGTCACCTTGGCCATTTCTGTTTGCTGGACAATTGAAGAACAGCAGTAAACCTAAAGAGTAAACTCAGAGTATGTTTAAACAATCAGTGCTACCAGGGAGAAGAGACTGTAGTAGATGGACAAATCACTCTACCCTGATCTTCAAAAGAGAGTAACAAGCCAACAACAATGACTACACTGTTATCTGAAAGTTTTCCCAACCAAAATTTTGAACAAGAGTCTTTGTGAATGTACTTAAAGAACTCTGTCATAATCTCAAATGTATAAAGAAATCATTGAGTGGATGAAATGGCAAATTTATTTAATCAGGGAATTGATTTTTGTTTAAATATTTCAAAACTTAACAACTAGGTACAGTCATTCAAACACCCAAATGAACTATATGTATCTTGTTTTCCTTAAATTTCCCAACCTGCAGAAGATGCTTTTGGGAAGAAAAGAGATATTAGTTGCAAGGCAAGTTTTCTTATTTTTTAAGGTGACTAATTTCGTCAAGCAAAATGTTAGTCCTGCCAATGCAAGTTGAATTTGAATTTCTTGGTTGTGTAGTCATATCCTTCTATGGCAACACCTAAATTGAGAGTCAGGTTACTGCAATTTCAAATATATAGAACTAATATATAAAACACTATATTTTGAGGGGATTCCATATACAGTAAAAAGGGGGAAGTAATATTTAGAAATGATGCAGTGCTAAATGTTAAGATATGTCAAGGGAAGTAATTACCTTTTCTCTGTTCAGGCGATCAACATCTTCCTCGTGAGACTGTTGTTCCTGTCGCAGTGCTACTTGCAGGTCTTTCTCCAACTGCTGCAATCGAGAATTCAGTAACTCTTTCTGCCTTTCAAGTCGCTCAGTGTCAGCCTCTTTTTCTTTGAGAATTCTCTGGATGTCAGCTAAACAAAGCAATAACCAGTTTGATATGTCATACGTTTTCCAGAAACCTCAAAAAGGTCTTATTGAGTTACTTTTTTTTGTTAACTGAAATTCCACTTTATAAACATAAAACACATTTTAAAAGAAAAAATGAAACAAACAAATATCTAGGTTAACAGAGTAAACAAAAGAATTAAAATGATAACACAGATATTTATGAGTCATATCATGGATACTGGTCATACTTCGTAATAAAGAAATATTTAACAAAAACCAACCACTGCTAACATCAAAGCTCTTCTTTATAATACCTTGCTAGGACAGTTGACAGATAGATTGCCTACCAGTTTAAATTAAGTATTTACAAGTAATAATATCAATGTATTAATTATTGACTAAACTAGTTTAAAGATTTATGCAATATTAGACTTACAAAAGCAAGTACACTTTTAAAGATGTACACTTTGAAGTATTTTTAAACATTTATGAATTATGTCAATTGAACTTAACAAACAGCATTATGACAAAGAGCGTTTCACTGGGCTTAGACTTTAAATTACGATACTGGTTGCTGAAAAGCTAAAGCAACACGAGACATGGTAAACTCAAAAACTATTTTTTTTTCCAACTGCCATGATTTGTTTGCTCCCAGCATTCTCTGGTGGCACCAAAAGTGCATACAATCATCATCATAATAATCAACATTACTGATTTTGTTATAAACAAAGTGATTATATTATTAAGATAATCCTTAGGATCAAGGATATTTCTTCATTCTGGCTAAATAAGAAATATGAAGACGAAAGTCTCTTATTACTAGCATACAAGTTGACATCAAGATTTTCAGCTCAAAATTATGAATCAGGCCTATACTTACTGTATAGATCAATCCCCAAACACATGGTAGGCTATCAGTGAACCAAAAAGATTTGTTTAGGCTTGAAAATTCTATTCCAAAATAATTTTTAGGCTTGAAAACTAAACATGTACACCATAATTTATACTAACTATTATCTATTCAAATTTATAGTAAAAGAAAAAGTATACATTTTTAAAATGATGACAATAGTGATGGACAAAGATAAAGTTTCAGGGAGATTAAATTACTATAATTATACTAGGTACCAAGTACTCATCATAGTGCCATAGCAAAAAATTTCACATTCTTTCCATTGTAAATGAGTTCATCCTTCATTGGATGCCAAATATATATCAAAAACCAGATCACTGAAGTTCAGTTGCATGAAATTTCAACAGTAACAACTTTATAAAAGAATTACTATCAAAGATCATCCATTAGACCAATAATCTGAAGATCAACCTATTTAACCTGGAAAAATGTAACTTATTACTAAATAATGTAAACACCTAACATTCCAAGGCTTACCTTGTAGATTTTCTTTTCGGATGATCAGATCTTGGTTCTCACCCTCCAGCTGTTCTCTCCTACCCCTCAGTTGAGAACATTCTTGTTGGGACTCATACAAACTACTTTCCAGGCTTCCTTTGTCTGTCCGTAGAGCTGCAATCACTTCACTCTGTTGCCGATTCTCCCGCTCAGTGGCTGTCACCTGCACTACCAGCTCGCCATTTTCTTGGGTCAGTAATTCTTTCTCTTTATTCAAACGAGACACTACATTGTTTACACGTTCCAGCTCTTTACGCAAAGTCAGCAGTTCTTCAGCCAATGCTTGTTTTTGACGAGACAACTAAGAAAAGAGTAAAAAAAAAAAAAAAATTCTTTCTTTTTTTTTCATTCATTTTTTTAACAAAAATTTACATTGAAAAGATGGTGTTTTAAAAGATTTCCACATCATAAAATTTTAGAGAAAGAATAAAATGAATTTTCAAAAATAGCTGAATATGTTTATATTCAGTGTTAATGAATTAACCGTGAAAATATTTTTTAAAATCTCATAGAAATTAAAAGAATATTTAGGCACATCAGTAATTCCATAGCCAAATGATGATGGGGGGAAAATCATTTTGCACATATTTATTTTTCAACATAATGTACTTTCTTGAATATTAATTACATAGGTCAAACATTATACAATGAAAATTTCAGATCTAAGTTCAGCTATTAACAATCTAGTCGAAAGAAAAGTTCTCATGGTCTCTAAGTAATCAGATTTATTTAAAAACCACAAGAACTTTCCTTTCAAGCACATACATGTCAGACTGACTAACACACACTTGTATATCCAGTAAATTGATGTGCAGATAAAAACACTTGTAACACATCAATGAAATTTGAAATAATTGGATTTCATGTATTTTACTAAAGTTGCTAGAAACTTAATCAATATTGTTTTATAGTTTTTTAATTTAATCTTTTACAATAAGTTGGTAAATGGTAACTTTAATCTTTTACAATAAGTTGGTAAACTTATGAGTGCATTTTTTAAAATTCTTTTCACAATAACTTGAGATTAATTCCAAATGATAAAAAGGCTCTGAATTTTAATTATAAACTTAAAAAGAACTTATGATGATCAAGCATGTTAACAATTAAAATTTGATGAAACTTCCAATGGGACTACAATACTCACCAACTTGAGTTGTTCAATAACTTCTGCTTTTTCAAGACTTACAGATCGAATTTCGTCTTCAAGTTGGCGATGGGTCATTTCACTCAAGTTCAGTGTTTGGTTGAGAGCTGCAAAGAAACATTTAAATCAATTATTCTTTTTAAATAATTATCTCATAATTTTCATTCTTACAAAAAAAAATTATTAATTATTCTGTGTTATCGATCAAAGCCTTCAAATATTTAGTAAACAAGGAACATTTCTGAAAGAATTTAAAAATCTTAAAAAAAATATCAAGTCATTTGAAATTAGCTAATTATTTCTTTTATTATATTAACTTGTTACTGACTACTGTAAACCATATCTTAATATCTTCACAAACATCATTTATAATTTAAGATGCATACATTTATAAAACTGATGAACATGCCCAAACATTACATAAATTACATAAAAACTGATGAACATGCCCAAACATTATATATTTAAATATTAAAAAATAAAATCAATTCACTAATAAAATGAAGTTAACTATAACAGATCATCTATTAGGTAATTTGTCTAAAGTTCATTTTCTGATATTAATTTTTGACTATTTTATCTTTCATCTTACTGTTACATTTTATTGCAAATCTCAAGATGTTTTAGATTTTTTATAGCTATTAAGCAAGCAGAAGGCTATTTTTCTTTCTCTTTTTTATTTTCAAACATAATTGTTTACTTGACTAGTAGAATATATAAATGACTTCAACATTGCAAATCTTCTTTGTGTCATGTCTCTTCAAGACATAGGCGATCATAACTCTCCACAACTTCATGTCCTTTGTAGCTTTTAATAAAATGTCTTTTTCTTATTTTTTCTAAACTTTGTTCCACTATCCATTTACTAAAGCCCACTAAGTATATTATACATTGTTTTCTTCTGTTCCTTTTGCCTTTAATATGTCGTGAATGTCAGATTTTCCAAGCCCTCTTTCACCATTATGTGCCCTAAAAATTTTAGCTGTCTCTATAAGTTCTTTTTCATTTCCATTATCTCTAAAATTTTGTTGTTTTTCATATGTTCAATTCATGGTATCTTCAGCATCATTCTGTAGATCCACATTTTTGTTGCTTCAAGTCATTTCTTCTTTGAGGAGATTTTCTAGCATTCATTGCTATATAGGAGGACAGATGACATGTAAAAGTTTCTTTGTTTTTAACAAAGCTTTTCTGTTTCTTAATACTCTGCTTAGCCTTTGGATTTTTTTTAGCCTTCAGATTTCAGTGTCACACTTTCTATCCTCTGTTAAAACACTTCCCAGATACTTAAATTTTTGTACCTGTTTGATTTTGCTAAGAAGGATAATCTAGTTGAAAATAATAATTTGGAGCCTTCTTCATGTCTGTAAATTCAGGTAGCCATCAGGAAATTTTGAACTGAACCTTTTATTTAATCTACAGGAGTAGATTATTTTCATTCATGTCTAGGGATATCTTATCTTGGTCGCCTTTCAGTACTGCTTAGTGATTGCTCACCTTGTTTTCACTGAATCTGTGTTTATATTATCCGGCACAGGGAGTAAATTCACAATTAATATGCCACCAAATTCACAAATCAACACTTTGATACTTTTGGCTAATCTACCCCGCAGATTAAATAAAGTGTTTACTTCAAAATTCCCTAAAGATTACCCAGAGCAACAGACAGCTGAAGAATTCCACTAGTCCAAATGTCAATAATATATATTCACTTCCCAGGAATTCAGACAAAAAATAATTATTTATGTATATATGGCTTTAGTCACTTTCCCACTGCCATTACTTTAACAGTAATTGTTTGAATGAGCTCTTCACTATGGTACCTAAGTGCTACTGCTAGAGTGCCAATGAGGTCTCATTAATTTATAGTTGAGATGGCTACATGTAACCATAAATTCTATGCTAACAGTTTATTTTCTCACACTTTTCACTTCTGGAACCCCCTTTCAGCTCCATGCTTTCCAGCCAACTTTACTCTTCCAAAGTTTAAATGCAATATCAATTGCCATCTACTGTCTTCCTGATTGTTCTTCTTTTGTTCTCACTCCTTAGTAATGTTTCTGATTTTAATTCTTCCACACTGAGTAACCCCTTGTATCTTAGTGACTTTACTGCCTTACTTGGGGTGAACTCTATTAAAAAAAACCAAAATACCTGCAATTTAATAAAAATGGGCTTAAGAATGGAAAAATGTTCATATTTAGATATTTTAAAGATTATTAAACCAGAATATTCCTTCAACAATAAGATACTTATATGTGTGCATGACACAGACGCATATGTAAGTACATTATTAATTATATATGTCTGACACAAACACATATACATAAATGAAATAACCAGGAAAGTTAGAAGCAAACATGACTTACACATCTTTTCAGTGTCCAAGTCCATCTTCTCTTGTTCAACACGTACAAGTTCTTCTTTGATTCCAAATTTCTCTTGCTCCAGAGACTGCTTTTCTCCACTCAATGATGCCTTCTCATTTTCAAGCTACGGTAAAAACAATATATAGAATAATTAAACAAATCAAGTATTGAATTTTTCATTGTGTGTGAAGATGTGAAATATGATAAAGTTCCACACATATATTTACAAATATCTTTGAATACCATTTCATTACACTTGTGTTAATGACACTTACATGCTGCATTTGATTGAATATAAAATATTCCTCTTTTTACCACAAAAATGGCTTAAAAATATCTCCTGGATCTTATATACAAAATTGTGGTATGCATACACTATAGACTACCAGTACTTATATCTAGCTTAACTTCAAAATACTTTAGTATTAAATATAAATAAGTGAGGAGGTATTATATGCCATTAAATATGGCATTAGAAATAAGGAGTCTTTTTTTTTCTACATGACAAAAATTCAATTCTTTATGTCAAGAAACTAAACAATATAAAACTAATACCCAACGTTTGATTAAAAACAATCTAGGTGCCTTAGAGGTACCAACACATCGTTATTTTGACATACACTATTTTTTTGTGACATCAAAGACAAAAAAGTATCTAGAAAGAATTCAGATTTACAAAAGGGCTTAAAGAAAAACACTCCATTTTTTCATCCAAACAAGAAATTCACTAATAACATCTTAATTTATTTCTTCAAAGCAAGTAAATATTTACAATAATGAGAGATACTTCTAAAACTATGATTTTTTTCAAATTAATACTGTAATGAGTATTTTCTAATATCAAAATGATATTTAATATATTAATTTTTCTATAGAGGATATTATTAATGGAAAAAACTTAAAACATTTCTGTTGGTGGTAGGTATAAAATATTATTTGATTACAGGAAAAAAGGATAAAATATAAAAGACTGAGAAGTGTGTTCTCCATGTAAGCTGACCTGCAAGATAATTTTGTTCAGCTCTATCTTGTCTTGGCCAAGGCTCTCATTCAGGTTTTGTAACTTGAGAAGAGCATCATGCAATCCAATTGCCTCTGCTTTTAACTTGTTAGCTTCAACCTCCATCTCAGATTTTTTCAGCTCACACTTGTTCAGAGATTCAGCTGAAATGACCCAAAGAAAATCAAATCAGACAAACTGACCAGAATTGACATGAAATTGCAATTAATCAATGGTTATCAAATAAAGCTGATAAGAAAAGCAAATACTAGAGTAAATATTGAATAAAAGCACCAAAAAGAAAAAGAAACAACTGACAATAGGTACAATCAGTTAATATTTGTCTTAGGCAAACAATAAATAGTACTCAGTCGTAAGAGAGCAAAGAGTTAACAACTCATATAAAATCTCCATGTCAATTTGAAAAAGATGTCTGAACATTTTGAATATGTTCACAAATAAAGATTGTGTTAAGAGAAGTAAAAACAGTATGAAGTAGTTGATAATACCTTTTGTTAGCATATCTCTTGACAACATATAAAAGACATGACAGCAACTCAAATTTGGATTATATTAACTTTCATGATGTTCTACCAAGCACATCTAACTTGGTCTGCTAATGAAAAGCATAGTTACCACTGTTGACCTTTGCTACTGAATCTTTTCACTTAATAAAGTTTACTCAATACAAAGTTCGAGAGCCACTCAAGGCAGAGGTCTTGAGTGGCTCTCAGACTTTGTATTGAGTTAATGTGTGTGATATGAATGTGAAAGGAGGTGAGGCCCTGAGCAAATCATATCATATCACCACTGGTATCATGACCAAAACCTGAAGGTTGTTATCACTATCTGCAGTGGGATTAGCCAGTGCATGTATCTCCATTATTGAAGAAAAACCATCAAATTCATCAGAGTTAGGGAGAAGCTAACATTATATGTCAACATTACCTCCTTCGACCTTTTAGCAAGGACATAAGACTGGGAGTTGAAAACCAAGCTAGGGAAGAAATTGAAGTTCTGTGAAACTTACCACAGCAATGCTTAGGTCAGACATAGTGCTGATCTGAAAGACTTATTAGAATTCCCTGTTTGCGAGGAGTACTGCACTAAGAAAGCTAACAAGAAGAGGGTAAAGTATGCTAAGCTAGTGGAAGAATGCTGAAGCAATGAGAGGAATGTTAGCCTATTCTTGAGATGCAGTGCCCATTGAACATTCCCTCTGAAAAGCCTACAACATGCTGGGCATCAAATAGGGCCAATAGGCAACTAGGGATCAAAGTTGACCACCAAGACAGTAAAAGTTGTTTCACAGTGATTGTGAATCAAGAGGGGAGAGCTGTGAGTGGGGTGGCACTACTCAGACAAGATAGGGCTAGATCATTCTTGGGTGGGTAACCTGTATAAGGGTGTCTCATTGTTGAAAGACCCAAGACACCGAATGACTCCCAGAACCATCACTGATGATGTATCCAATTTCATCACAAGATGGTGTATGTGGAAAGAAAACACTTACATGAAAAGGTTTCTTGATTTTCTAAAATTAATAAAAAGTCCTATACAATCAAAGCTGAAATGTATATCCATTTCTTAACATTTTAGAACTCAATCATCTTTGACAGAATTTTGGTAAAAAGAGTGTTTGGGATTTCTAACAGTATAAATTCTTTATTTTTTTTTAATCAGGCCATTTCAAGAGGTCAGAATTTAAAGATTGTTTTATTATAGTGGATATTCTAATATGCTAACACTTCTTCCTACTTTCTCAGGATAATTGTTTCCATTATGATGTACATTCTGATGGAAAAGAGTACATGGGTACTAGTCACCTCAACACATTGGCTTTCTTTAAAACCATAATCTTTATGGTTATAAAAAACACAGTGAGTTTTAAGAAAAACTGGAGAGGGAGTGTGAATTATATGAAAAAAATTATGGTGTATAAACTTATGTAACTTAATTTTTCCAAATTAAAAAATGTCAATTTTTATTTTCTGATAATAAAGAAAGATAAATATACATGCAAATTTGTCCCATGACCAAAATAAATGGATTTTGGTCAATACCAAACCTATGGTGAAAAGAGTTTTAAACTCCAAATTGAAAATAATACAACTAATTATTTATAGTGAAAATTCTATATTTAATTATCCACCAATTCTTATAAAATATTTTTAAAAGAAAGAATACATTGTTATGAATCTTACTACAGAAAACTAAAAACAGTTCTTATAAAATAAACATTGCCAATAAACATGTCCAAACTTGTTTGAAGTAAAAAGAAAGTAAAAAAAAAACACATATACTAAAATAATTCTACTTACAAAGCTCAAAGGCATTGTGTTCTTGAACATCTTTCTCAAGTAATGCCTTGTTCAGCAATTCTTTGTTGAAAACTATTTCTTCTTTTAAGGCTGAATTTTTATTCTCAAGTTGTTCAATAATACGGTGGCTAAAAAGTAAAAATAAAAGTGTTTATATATAAAATGGAAAGTGTGACACAAAAGTAATTGTTTATTTCTAAATTTGAGATTAGTAAATAATATTATGATGCACTGATTTTTAAACACATCTGTGTGAATGTTTCAGACATTAGGAATTATCATGATTAAACATCGATTCATTTGTACCGTTGTCCTCTCCACTTTGAAACAATTTTTTCAAGATACAATCCTACTATTTAACTCATAGCTGGGGGAAGATATGAATTCATCCCTTTCCAACAGGTATTTGTGCATACATGAATGTAACGAACCCAAACTCGACTGGAATTTGAACTCGGCTCTCTAATTTCTCATTCCGAGCAGATATTCATTACACCACCCACACATCCCAAAAATCCTGAAAATAATCAGTAATTTCTAAATAGGTATTGGAACTATTTGAATAGTAAGTGTGTGTGTGCACGCAAAATAAAATAACCTTTGAATTTGTTGAACTAATAAAGATTGACAATAATATAGGATTAGGATAAACATTTATAAATACAGCCCACTTTCTTTAAAAAAGAAACATGAATAATTACTACATCCACTGTAGAGGAAATGTTATAATAATTTTATATTTAAAAAGTGATATATAGATTAACTGCAAGAGTAAAACTATAAATAAAGTTTCAATTTCAAAGTTTCATTCTGAGCTTAATATCCCTAAAATTTAAGCCACACATAAGCAAATAAATATCAATGACATATATATTTTATGACTAAAACCTAAAAAGAAAAAACACCATTTTATCTGACAATGGCTCATTTATTTTTTTGAAAGGAAACTTCAAGAACTTTAAACTAAGCTGGTTCCCTTCTCTGCTTCAGTAAACAGAAAAAGGAAGAAAAAGTAGAAAGGGGGGGGAGAAATAAAAGGAAAAAAAAGATTTTTCTTAAGCAGTTTCCAAGGGAAGAAATAAGGTAAAAAATGCATAAGTGAAATAAGGGGTTTTCTCTATTTCTTTATTGTTAAATTTTGAATACTCATTTTGGATGATTGGCACAATACAATCTTCCTTCTTGCATGAGGTCTTTATGTAACAGACTGAGCCAGGTAAATAACTACTATTTTCTATTCTTTTTGTTAACTTAGATACCAATTTTCAAGTTAGACAAAATTACTTCATCCAGCAAAACTTAATAAAGGTCATCCTATTCTAGGATTCAGTTTTGCTAATCTTAAATATAACAACCCACCATCTTTCATTTTCTTTAATCTGTCGCTCTTTATCTTGTATAATATCATCTTTCTCATCATCAAGATTGTCTCGTTGCCGCTGAAGTTCTGTATTGGCTGCTTGTAATCTTTCATTTTCTGCATTCAATGCTTCTATCTGATCATTCAGTGTCTCTCGTAGCTTCTCTAGCTGTGTGCGTTCATTTCCAGTTAGACTGAGAACATTCTTCATTCTGTCTCGATCACGAATTGTATCATCCACATCCCGGCGTCTGCAGAAGAGAGCAAAGAAAATTTCAAACAGAGTAAATATCTTCTTTTTTTTTTTTTTTCCAAAGTCTACAATCTCTGGAAAATTTGTATATTTTTTTTCCTAAAGTCTTTTTAATAATTTTCTTAATCTGCTCATTTCCTTTATTGCTATATTTTCTTTTCTCATCTTTTTTTAAAATAGCACATTGTGCATGCTAGTCTGTGTGCAACTATTAACAAATAAAACTCAGAAGCTACAGCCATTTGTTTTTAATTTTACTGCTGCAATTACTGAGAAATTTAGAGAGATTTAAGTTTTATTTGAATATATCAAAATGCAGAAAACTGTTCAAATTTTCTGTTTTGAATTTAAAATACACTTAATGCTAAATTTAGTTTTTCATTTTATAATATATATCTTAACATAATAATATATAAAATTATACGTATATTGAGAAATTTGTATATTCAAATAAGATATGTACCGAGGTCTTCAAAACAGTTAAAATTTTAAAAATTAGTTTATGGTAAACTTAACTCCTTTTTTTTTTTTATTTTATGGAATATAAAAAAGTAAATCTGTTGGATAGTTGAATGAAAACTACTTTTGTGTCACTTCTTTTTGGCTGAGGGTCAGGGTGTATAAATTGTTGGCAGTTGAACAATATCAGTTGTGTCCAATTTGGTGAGTCAAATCAAAGTTGTGAGTGAAACACAGTGGAAGACAAGTGTTATAGTTCAAAAAACCAAATGGATTTTTGCTACAGTATCAACTGGACACAGATATGTTCAGTGGAAACAACTGATGTCCAATCCATATTGAGAACAATTCATTACAACCTTCTCCGCCAATACAAGCATAGGTGACTAAAAGAACAAAAGGACACAGATATAACATTATCATATCCATAGATCTATATACATCCTATGGATTTTGAAGAATAACCTAAATATTGCCTTTTTCACAACTGATTTACTTGCTCACTTCAGGCCAGAGGAACATTTTCTTCTTGAAGGGTTTTATCATATATTCAATAATAATAATAATGATGATGATAATAAAATTAATCCATTACTGCATAAAGTTTTCTTCAAATTTTAATTATTTCTTGCCTAATCTACCTTACTAGCTAATGGTAATTTTAGGGCTGATATATTTTAAATTTTAGGTAACCCCTTTCTAAAAAAGTTCTATGCACTAATGGGTTAAACAATTTCAGCATCTTAGCTTAGTAGAAGTTAATTAACAAAGGTATGAAACTTATTAATTATTAAATCCAGAGTATGGTCCCAAACTTTTAGCCTAGAGTGTAAAACTGGAAAAATTATCTTATCATACTATGCTGATAAGACAGATACATCTTTATATATTTCATTAACCATTTTCTTTTTCTATGTTTAAGAAACTGCAATATTAACTACAGATTGAACAAAATAACAACAATCTTAATTTATAACTGAACAGCCAAAAAAAGGAAGTAAAAGTTCAGAGAGAAATCTTTCAACTCACGCATTGTCCACTTCATCTCGGAGTATGATTATATTCTGCTCCAGTCTACGCCGGTCAGTCTCCCGTTCATCCAATGTCTTTCGAAGAACTGAATTTTGTTCACGGTTGGCATTCAGTTTAGCCCGCAACTCCTGCACTTGCAGCTGACGTTTGTTCAGAGCTGCTTGAACGACTGAGAAAGTGGCATCAGCAAATGCCGGGGAACGTGATCGTCCCAGTGGTGAGATGGAACGAGCACGTTTGGTTGGAGATGAAGGACGGCCAGGTGATGTGGAACGTGGACGGAAGGGCGAACTCATAACTGGGGATTCAGGTGTATCTCCCTCACCAGTACCTGACTGGTCAGCATCATTGATAACAGCTTGAGCAATATCCCTCAATGCAGCATGCAACGAATCAGTCTCCATTCGTCTCTGACGGGCAGATTCCACTTCTTCTTCACCATGTTGTTGTTCAAGCTGGGAGAGTTTGCGCTGGAGGCCATTTATGACACGGTCCTTCTCTTCAACTTGTTGCCGAAGTTTTTCATTAAGGAGGGACAGTTCATTAATCCTGCATGCAAAAATACAAAATAGTAAATACATGATTCTGAATGAAAATGTCATTATTTTACGTTATATCATAAGTGTGTGTGCATATAGCTCCTAGTCAGCATCTGTCCATATGGTGCAGCTATCTTGACAATATAGAATACAGGCTCTCTCTCTCTCAGCTCTACAGAATCCCTCTCCCTGGTTCCAGGCAGGATTCCTGGTTCCAGGTGGTACAGGCAGGACCTGGTTCCCTTCTGGTCCTGCCTGTACCACCCACCAAACAGGTTGGTTGCTGTAGAGCCAACCTTCAGAAATGGAGATATGCCGCCGATGTTAATCCCAGCTGCCAATACAGGCAATGACAAACTATGGAACATCTAGATTGCCCACACACACTTAACAACCTTGAAACCTTAACACTCCAGACAAGGCTCTGTGCACAACACTGGATGGATGTGGTGTAGTGACTCAATAAGAAGTGTGTGTGTGTGTGTGTAACTGAAATACCAAAATATTGTGATGAAATAGATAAAGAGGTAGTGTAGCTGTTGCAGTCAACAGGCATAAACAGGAATTAACACTGACTGTAGAATGATTGTTAGGGCTAGAAAGATGGGTTACTATATCATATTCAGTGAAAACTTTTTCTCATGCAACAGTAGCAAGAGTACACAAGAAATGCTATTTTTGACAAGCAACCACAGACGAATCAAGAACAAAACTGCCAACACCAGACAAAGATGGTAACCACTGGGGACACTGCATCAAAACTCATCCTAATTCAATATTAGTACTGCTCAATACATCAATCAATAGCATAGTATAGCATCAGTATTCAATGGTGTTTTGTAGCCATAAACCAGAAAAAGTACCATTATTGGCACCACAGTATTGGTTATTTTGACCAGTCAGGGCTAGAAAACACAGCCATTTGACAGTGGAAAACTGGCTCTATGTTGCCTCATTGGACAAGTCACATTGCTAAATCTCTCAGACAGATGGCTGGGTTCATCTTTGAAGGAGATTGTATGATGCCATGGCTCCATCCTGTCAGCAAGATGTTGTACAAGCTAGTGATGGCTTTGTAATGGTGAGAAGTGTAGTGTGTTTTATTGGAGTTTCCAAGAATCACTAGTGAAACTGGAGTACATCTTCATTGTTGCAGATCATTTACACTTCTTTATATTTGTCATATTTATTGGTAGAGATTAAATGTCCCAGCAAGATAACACAATTCCCATATAATGCACAGTTGACACAAAATCGGTTAGAAGAACACTTGGCTGATTTCCAGTTGCTCAATTGGTTCCCCTGCTCATCAGATTTAAACCTCAATGAACATGAATATGATATTTTGCAAACCTCACTAAATTCTCTGCAGCTATACCCAGTAAGCCCAACTCAGTCATGGACTGTCATAAAACAAGCCTGGATAGATATATCCCTACAATAACTCTGGCATCTTGAAGACTCCATGCCATATCATGTAGCTGGCATTATTCAGATGAAGAGAGGAGCTGCTATATATTATCAGTCAGCTGTCTCTTAATTTTCTGGCCCTTGAGTTTGTATGTGTGTGTGTGTAAAAATCAACACTGCAGGGTGACAGTTATATGACTTAAGTGATTATTAGATCATGGCATGAAACTGACAGTCACCATGCATTTCAGATTTCTGTCCATACCGTTTATATCTGCAAACACTGCATACCTGAGATTGAGCAGTCTTTCCCCATATGATAAATTTTAAATGATACAAACACACAAGCTGCTATCTAAAATTTTTGGAAACTTAAGACACAAAATATGTTTCAAAAGAAAGAAAATAAATTATAGAAATTTACTTCTTGGTAAAGTGATTTTGTAAGATGTGTGAAATGCCTGGAGAGACACGGAAAATGCTGGGTAACTTTGCAGAGCAACAGATTGATTAATTTGTTTAAATTCTTAAAACTTTTGTGGGGGCACTTCATATTTTTCTGTAATAAAGATTTCACGAATTCATTTTTCCTAATTTCACACCAAGACTTCAATTTTCTTTGCTTTTAGTTATTCTAAAAACTTAGAATTAGGGCTGAAAATTAAGATTCAAATGAATAGGTCAAGTTTAATTCATTAAGTAAAAACATTGACCATAAACTTTTAAGCAATTAATAAACAATCAGCTGCACATAAAAAGCACTTATTGAAGGATTTTTTTTTTATATTCAGTACTAAAATTTCCCTTTTCTTTTTATTTAAATATTTTTAACTCTGTTCACAATATCATTTTTACTATTGCTATGGCCAGAAACTGCAAAATATATTTATTTTTATTTATGTTTAACTAGTAACACTAAAAGAGAACTTAGTCTATAATTTTCAAAATGTGTGTGTATGTATGAGTGTGTGTGATCAGATGTTGTTTATGCATTTCCACAGTTTTCATTCAATTTTAATGAAATTTTTTTGTTTGATAGATAATTCTTCAGTATCGGTTTTGAGTCCAAATTATTGGCGACAATGGGTCTCCACTACTTCCTGTCCATTATAACTCTCAGCAATGTTTTACTATTTACTATCTGTTCTTGGATATATATCTTTCATAAAAACTTTAATAGAAATAAATAGATTAAATTATTAAAATAATATTATTTATTATTATAGAGTTCCCTTTTCAGGGCCACTCACCCATTCAAATTATTAACTCCCCATTTAGGGATATGCCTCAGTTGCACCCAAATGTTGTTACTAATATTGATATTCAGGTGGGCTGACTTTAAGCTTAGATTGCTCCAAATGAACAGCAAAAATTCCCAGTAATGAAGGACCTGGTCAAAGACTGGTTATATTGCTAGTCAAACATAAAATGGTTTTGCTTCTTTGGATAATTAATAAAAACACAAAATTCATGTAATCCAACCATTAACTAAGGTAATATGTTGGTCACAAATAAAAATACAATAGAAGATCTGGTGAAGATATCCTCTTTTATAGAGGTAACAAACAGGTTTTATTACTTTTTTCATGTTTATAATAGCCTGTTGTCACTAAATATTTCTGAACAAACTGTATTATTGCCATAAATGTCAAAATTATTAGATGTTATATACAACATATTTAAAATCAGTTAAATACTTCAGTACCTCATGAAAGAAATATGCAAGATATACCCAAGTACCAATGCAACTTTAAAATATTTTCCTAGTAGATTCTTGAACAATGTTTCATGAAATATCAAAACTTTCTGAAAGTTGTAATACTAACAAATTCTATTGTAAATTACATTAAGATTTTATCCTTATACAGGAAATAAAATAATAATTAAAATGCTTTATCGAAAAATTAGAAAAAACAAACTTTACAGATAGTAAAACAAAAATAGTGAAGAGAATAAGAAAATTAATGACTAAATGAGATTTGCTCTTCCATGATAAGAATGGTTAAGGTAACGTGCATGAAAGATGGACACTCAAGGTGTGAGAAGCAAGTTCAAGCTTTGTCAGAAGCTACCAAATTTATTTATAATTTCACACTGCTCTTGCAGTTGAAAAAAATTATCAATCTAGAATATTGTGATAAAAATAATAACAGAGTGCTAATAATATGAAAAATACTATATGTACTACTATAAAAGTCATGACATTTTTTTTTATTTTCATTAATCTTTTTCATTAGTATATATTTATTTATTCATTTATTTATTTTCTTTTTTTGTTGTTGAGATTTACTTACATACAATGTTTGGTTGAAATGAGACCAGTCATTTAAACAAAATAAAAAAAAAACAGAAAGACACTGTGAGACTTGGTTACACTGATTCTTAGGAAGTTTTAAGATGTCTTACTTAGTATTTAGCTCAGCACTGTGGGTGTCATAGCGTGCCTGCAATTCAATGGTCTCACGAATCTTCTCCCGAAGTTGGTTCTCCATCGCTGCTTTTTCTATTCTGCCCTTGTCCAAGTTTACCTATCACCAAAACACAACAAAATGTACTTGTGAGAACATGTCACACAATGTTAACAGATGACAAAGGTTATATGCAGGTCAAAATTAGGAGAATCAAATGAGCACTAACAATGCTCATAAAATATGTCCTTAAAGTTAATAAAACAAAAAATACAGTAAAAAAAGAAAGAAAAAACTTTTGATGATTTATATCGAGTTTATGTGTGTTATATGCAATATACATGTATTATTATCATTTAAAATAAAAACATAAGGTATTAAGATCTATACTGATTAATCATCCACACAAATAAGTGGATTCTTTCACTTTTTTTTGTTCATCAATTCTGATGTGTACTTTCTATATTATTTTATACATCTTATGAGCATTATATATATATATATATATATATATATATATATATATATATACAGTCCAAAAGTTTGAAGCCACCCTCAGAATTAGCATGGGATGAATTTAACAGAAGAGTGAAAAAAATGAAAAAGAGCTCTTAGAGTGATTGAAAAAAGAATGAAATCAATTATCAAACTTTCAGAAACTTTTGTGATTAATGCAAGAAAATTGTGCTGCAGTAATCAAGACTAAAGAAGGATATTTTAAAGAGAACAAAATTTAATCATAAAATTGCTTTTTTTTCTTTTTGTCATAATAAAACATAATTTTTTTAACCCTGTATAATAATTTTGTCTTATTTAAAGTACAAAACAACTACTTTTGGGGCCAATTTAAAAAATTATGAGGAGGTGACCTCAAACTTTGAACTATATATATATATATATATATCTGTGTGTGTGTGTGTGTGTGTAATTTTTTTGAAAGGATTTTTTTATTCAACATTATGTCTTATTAATATAAATGTTATTTTCAGTGGGTACACATATTTGAGCTGTTATCCTCATTTTTTATTTTTGTTAAACAGTGAAATTAATAACAACCAGCCTAAATTGATGTCTTAATAGAGAAAAATTGTGACTCCAACAGGAATCAAACCTGCAACTGAAACACTTGTACCCACTAAAAATAAAGTTTATAGTAATATACACACACACACACACACATATATATACATACAAACACATGTGAATTTACAGACAATCATGTAGATATAGACACACATTTATACATACATACACAAATATAAGCAAAAATGTTTGCTTCATATAAACATCTCAAGTTATAATCAACACAGAGGTTACAAGAGTAGCTTATAAAAAAATTAATAAACAGCTAATTAGTGACTTATACATTTAGCATGAAGAAAAAAAATATTTTTGATAAAAATAACCCATAAGCAGTTTGGGTACTATATATGATGGCATTTAAGACCTCAACTATTTACATTTAACATTACAGATTTATATTAGAAACAAACACTGGGAGTCTATATCTGGTAAGCATTAACCAATTAGATACCTGAACTTTGCATATAAGACTCAGTTTTTTTTTAGCCATTCCAGTAATAAAATAATCAGGGTGCTTATTTGCTATCAAATACAGCATTAATATAATTCCAAGGGATTTATTAATGCTGTCAAAACTATGCAAGATATGCGATCAGTTAAAAAAATGTTCTAAAATATAAAAGCAAAATGTCAAGTAAACCAACAGTGAGATTTTGATTTATAACCTGACTGAATGTAGGCCATGTTTACAGATGACTTACTAGTATCAATACACAAAACAACCTGGCATTGAACTTGTAGTAACTTGAGGTTTTCTTATAGATCAAATGGATACTATTACTTAAGCCAATGGATTTTGGAATATTGTCAATACTTTTGTGGGCAATGCTTTGAGAGCAAATTATAAAATATGTCAGTTCTCATTGACCTGAGTTTGCTTTACAAGCTCATTATTATCTGAGAGTTTTATAAAAAATGGCATTTAATGCTAACTGCTAATGAATAGATTCTACTTCAGCAAAAATGACAGATTTTTCAATTTTTGTTTCTAATTTTGTTATGAGATTTAAAAATTTGCAGTTATTCAATATCCTTCTCTATATTGTTTGAAAGTGGGTAGAATCAATTTTCAAAGTTTATCAGTCAATATTATGGATAAGCATCATCCATCATAAAAATATTACATTATTATTTTTTGCATGTGATCAAGCTTAAATATCTATATTATCTTAATAGAAATAAAACCACCAAAGATATTTCTTCTATACAAAATAACACGAAATAACAATGCTGTCAAACGAGATTATCTAAGTCATCAGTTAAAAACTTTAAAAACTTATACAATCTTTCTATTAAAATACCAAAGCAATTTTCAGATATGATTAGAAATGAAAATTATAAAAAAGTGATGGTTCATTTTCAACTGCACACCCATGTATATAGTTATTTACTATGCAAAGCTTAGTTTTAACACAAGACTACAAGTTTGGGTCACTCAGTGAGTATCAAAATCACTACACAGTAGTAAGAGACTTCTAGAATAGATTATATACCATTACCCAAGGCAATACATAGGAAGGGGTGCTGAAAAGTTTTCACCTCCTACTTAAGAAAGGATTTTATTAAAAAAAGTTCTGATGTTTGGTCATTTGGCCAAATTTTGGGAAATAAGTCGGGTTAATATCTTTTCAGCCTCCCCCCATACACAGACACGCGTATATATAAAAGATAGATAATATTTATATCATTTAGATATTATACCTTTTATAAATACACAAATGCACATGCAACTAAAAAACAAGGCTTTGTATCTTTGAAATAAGAATTACCTATCTGCTTTGAAAGTTATTGTGTGTGTGTGTATATAGTGAACTCTCCAGTTGTATTCAACATATGAGGGTCAAGCAGCTCAGTTCCTAGGAACCGACAGCCAGACACCAGTGCATATGATTTGATTATAGTGGTTTGTGCAGAACCAATCACACTTTTTGAAAGGTCGAATACAGAAACCTGGTGCACTATGTGCCACACGGTCCCCAAACAACCCTCCTCAAGTTTTGAATTTAGAGTTGTCATTCTCCGAGACCAGTTGCCATCCAAGGCTATGGTACCCAGTCTGTCCTGCTATTTACCCATAGCTGGAGGAAGAAGAAGAGGATTCATACCTTTCCCAAGGGTATTAGCACGTAAGTGAACGTAAAGGATTCAACTGGAATTCGAACTCAGCTCTCTGATTCCTCAATCTGAGCCACTATCTACTACTCCACCATGCCTCCTTGTGTGTGTGTGTGTGTGTGTGTGTGTGTGTGTGTGTATATATATGTCATAGAAATTTGGAGTCCATTCTCTGATATGTTATTGGTCAGAGCTAATTAACACATCAACCAAATTCGGGTTATTAGTGCAAATTACTTAACTGGCATTTCATTGGTTACAGTTCTCAACCAATCCATGACCGCTACTAATATAATGCAGGTAGCAACCCTTAGTATAGAAAATCTGCTCTTGAAATATTTCGGATATCAAAAGCTTTTAATCTATGATGACTTCCCTTTATGATAGCTGTGGTCTCTGGGAAAAATCTCTTAACATTTTGAGAATTTCCTTTGACAATTTACAGACAGGAAGGTTTCTTAAAATCTACTTTCCTCAACCTGGAGGTCAATGTAGCATAATAATGTGTTAGTTATATCATTTGTGTAGAGAGAGTTAAGTAACTGTTTTAGTTGACTAGTTATTGGTAATGAATAACCACTAATATGATTTTTAAAGGTTGAGCCTGTTAAGTGTGATAAGTATTTGGGAGAGCATGTATTTACTAAAAGAACAATATAAAATTTGTGGAATTTCAAATAAAACAAATGAGAAAGAATCAAAAGGCACAGTTCAAGTTCCATCTAAAGCTGTTGCATTCACTTCATACTAATGCCAAATAGCTATCCAGACAGAGAACTGTTGCCTTAGTAGAACTACAAGTCTAGGAAAAGGAAAACTCTGAATTCAGAATCCCCTGCCAACATGTCATGGGCTAACATAATGGTGCATTACTCCACATGTCTACAGACCTTGGGGAATGCCTGAGTCCTACAGTGAACATAGTTATTATATGAAATTAATTTTTGAAAGATGGAAATACTGATGCCTTTAGAGTTTGTCTATATTTCTGAGACGAGGTATTATGTACAGTATTTACATTAGTCGGACTATTGTCCTCATCTTTGTCGCCATATTTGTCACAACGTTTCGGCCGTTGTATGCTCCGGCCTTCTTCAGGTGGTTGGAATTTCGAACTGAACCCTTTATTTCGATCACCGGGGTAGACTGTTCTAATTCCACGTGCCATATTTGATGGATGTCAGTTATCAGTTATCTCCTGCTAATTTTCCCTCTGAAAGTTCTCCACTGCCTTAACCAGGAATTGAACTCACCTTCTTTGGGTCGTCACTGGATCTAACCAACGCCTTTATCCACTGTGCCATGTGTCCTTGAGGACATCTGGGTATGAACTTCTGAGTATTATGCCTTTGTATTTATATTTGCAAAAAACATTACTGTATCATATGATAAAATTATAGAGAAAAAACTGTGTAACATTTTTTTGGGGGACTTCTATTCCCTTCATCAATCAAAGATTTGAATTGATTTAATTTTAAATTAATTACATTTACTTTGAAAGATTCAAGTTTGAAAGATTAATACTTGAATTTACTACTAACCTGAATTTCATTATCTGTATGTCTTGCATTTGCAGTGCAGTTTAAAGCAGCTGCATGCATACTGCGTGCAGCCCGGTTGATATCAGAACGGACATGATGAAGATCTCGTTCAGTGTCCAATTTCAAATTGCTAAACTCTCTGCGGAATGCTGCAACAGATCTCCACAAGTGAAGGAGACGGTTGTGTTCATCATTATAGAACTGGTTGAATGACTGAAACAACAAAAGAGATAAGAGGATTAGATTATCTTATTTTGATTAGTGTTAAGAAAAAATATATACTAATCAAATAATAAATATATTAAATAAATTTAAAAAAACTTTATTTGCAAAACTGGGTTTTTATTTAACCTTAGGCAATCTTTGGATAAGAAGAAAAAAAAAGGAAGTCACTATTTATTAAAATAATTCAAAATATCATTATACTGTCATCAACTGTTTTTGAATTCACATAAATAAAAGTAAATGTTCACATCTACCACAAAAATAATAACATGCATTTATATTGCCTTTTTATATTTAAAATAAAATATTTTCATTAAAATTCTTATTCTTTTTTTCTGTTAATCATTTCATCTCAAGCAAGGCAATAAAGTCACTAGGATGCAAGAGGTTATTGAGTGTTATAGAATATGAGAAAAACTACTATTAAGGAGAGAGGACAGTAAAAGAATAAGAAGACAGAAGATAATAATTGACATTGCATTTAAATTTTTGAAGATCAAAGTTTCTTTTTAATTTTTCAATGACAAAGAATAAATGTAAGAGAACAAATATACTATCTCCCAACAAAATGCCTGCATTCAAGAGACAAGGAGAATGGTTGTGACACAACACTATTAGAAAGTCAAAGTGCTGAGTCACAGGAGTTTGACCAATCTTTATAACCAAACAATGGGAGCATAGAAGTTTGGTCAATCTATGTACAGAAAACATAGCTTGGCAAATCTATATGGGGAAACAATGAGGAAAGAAGAGTTTGACTAAACTACATAAGGAAACTATAAGGAGAGAAGAGAGTTCAGCCAAACTGTGGGCAAAGAAAATCAAATGGAGGAAAGTGACCAATGTATGCAACCAAACAATGGGAAACAGGAGTTTGACCAATGTACACAGTCAAATAATAATGGAAGAATTCAATCAACCAATGTAGGCAAACAAATCAAACAATGGGCGTAGAAGAATTCAGCCAATCTTTGTGTGCAGACAACCCCAAGAAAAAGGGTTGAACTAATCTATAATGAGGATTTAAGTCAAGCTTACTATCAAATAGTGAGAAGGAGGACAAGGTATTCCAACCAGGCATTCATCAAAGAAGGATGCAAACAAAGCAACTTAAGGAATTAATGGATTTTATTTATAGTTCAACGTTATTTGTTATTATTGTTATTTTATATTTTAGTGATACATGTTTAGGAGTGAACATGTTTTTTTTTAAACAGCGTAAACTTGCATCTACTGACTTGTGCATTCAAGAATTTTAAGAAAATTTGTTTTCCAACAGGGTTCAAACTTTTTATTTTATAATTTTGCTTTCCTTATAAGAGAAATTACGATTTTTTTCCCCCAGTGTGCTTTAGACTGCTCAGTCACAGATTGCACAGACCAGTAGACATAAATTTACACTGTTTACAAAACCGAAAAACAGGGATTATAAATAAAATCTATTAATTCCTTCGTAGCTATTTTACTTACATTTCATATATGAAAATAAAGTCTTTATTATTTTTTTTTTCTTGGGGAGAGAACTTTACTTTGTTTTCATGTTTTGCACATTACGAGGCGATATGGGCTTTGAGGGATCCAAAAAAGAGATCTGCATTTCTTAAAAGAGTAACTGAATCTTGCTGGGCTGTGAAAGCTTTCCAAGGCTGAGCAGTCTAAAGCACACTAGGACTGATATTGGTTTCCCCTATAAGGGTGGATGCAGGTTTAAACTGTACCAGAAGGTACATATTCTTTATTAAAACTCTTGAATACACAGGCCAATATATATAAATTTGCATTGTTTAAAAAAAACCAAGATGTCTATTCAAACACATGTATCTGGTAAATATAATGTTTAAAGTAATAATATTGGTTTATAAATAAAATCCATTAGTTCCTTGAAAACAAAGAATGTAAATCTTAATTTGATATATTTAATATATAGCAAGAAAGAACAATATCAACACTAAACAGAAAAAAAAATGATCATTTTCCAATTCCACTTGGAAATAAAATGAAAAAATTCTTTAACCACCATTTTCTTCTTTTAATATTTGCTTTTATTAAATACAATGGGAGTAGATGGCTTTGTCTATCCCCAGTTCACACTCCTTCCTGGTTTTTTGAACAAGAGGTTGATCCTTTGTTTCCTGCTTAAAATTGGGTTTCTGGTTCCTTCTAAAGTATACTTCAACTTTATGCTTCTGACATTTCTGTCTCAACTCTGAAATTTTATTTATTATTTATTTTATTTTTTTTTATTTTTTATCCTCTTCTCACTAGGAGTGGGTAGGTTTGCCTATCATCCAGTTCACACCCCTCCCCAGTTTTTTAAACAGGAATAGAGCTTCATCCTTTGTTCCCTATTTAGGATTGGGTTTCCAGTTCCTTCTAAAGTCTTTTCATTCTATTTAACTCCTAGTAGCCCCTTGCGTCTTAGTAGCATTATCCCCTTGCTTGTAGTGATTTGATTAAAGAAAAAAAAAAAATATATATATATATATATATATATATATATATATACACACACATACAAATGGCTAGCATTGTTTTCATGTTATGGTTGGAAATAAAATACATAGCATAGGAGTAAAAAAGAAATTAAGTAGGTGGAGAATCAAAGAAACAGTTCAGAAAAAGCTACTTTGTAGTTGTTCTCTGGTGCATTTTATTAGCTTTACCACCAACCACACATGTCAATGTAATCAAACACAATACTAGCTTCCTAGTGCAATTACCTTTTCTTCTTCTCTCCATTCTTGTTCTTTCAATTCAAGGTCTTCACGGGCATTCTGCCAATCAACAGTCAACTTCTGGATATCACTAGACAAACTCTGATTAGCAGATGTAGCCTGGTCTAGTTGTTCCCGCAACATAGCATTCACATGAGCCAGTCCAGCGCTCCTACAAAAAAGAATATAATGACTGTAAATGACATAAAAGAATGATAACATTTAAACAACTTTAATAAAATTTAAGATAATGGAATCTCTTGTTGAAAGTACATCTACAATATAGAAGTTGATTCAGGGATATTTCTTTTTAACACAATTTCAATCTGCTTCAGTTTGTTTTCGTTTTTTTTTCAAAACTTTGGCAAATATTACAAAAAAAAAAAAAATAAATTTCTTGTCACCTTACAAGTTGTGGTGATTTTTAGTAGATATCTTTAAACCCATTGACATATAGCCATCGACTTAAACAGAGACTAGAAATCTTTTCAATAACTTTGAAAAATGTTCATTCTTTAGCTCTTGTCATGTGCAATCCATGAAAACAAAGTTCTGTCCCCAAGAAAAAAAAAAAAGACTGATAATGGAATTTTTTCATTACTAAATACTGCATATTTAAAAATAAAATAAAATAAAATAAAATAATAATATAAGAGCTGTAGGTCAGGTATATATTTTTAGCTATATATGAGGCCTGATTAAAAAGTACTTCTTGCTCTAATTTGATTTTTCAAGTATTGGTTAGATTTCCATATTTCTTCATTTTTTTTTTTAGCTATAAGCCATAAAGTATAGAGGAGACTATGGGATAGATTTGTGGTGTTACCTTCTCTTTTCCTAACCATACATAATCCTCTTTCAAAATAGCTGCCTCTCTGGACAGAGAAAGAAAGAAAAAAAGTTACCATAGAATTTCTGTTTTTCAAAGGAAAAAGTGCTGCAAATATTCACAGGAGGTTAGTGAAAGTTTATAGAAAGGTTGTACTTGATGAAAGCATATTTAGGAGATGATTCAACTGAGTTAATGGCAATCCTAGAGTGAATGTTAAGTCAACTGCTGTTGTGAATAAGGAGAAAGCTAAACACACTGATGTTCATTCATACTACAGCATTGCAAAACTTTGAAAGCCTTTATGTGAGCCATGATATTACCTACTCAAAGGTTTGTGCAAAATGGGTTCTCAAGATTCTGAAAGAGCAGAGGTTGGTTACTGCCCAAGAGGAGAGCAATTATCCAATGATGATGAGAGAGGCAAGAATACAGACCCTCATTCAAAGGTAGAATATCACAATTGAAAAGCAAGGAAACTAAGTTAAGGATGAGATTTAGAATGTTTTGTGTTTATTTTGCTATGATTTGTGTGCATCTATTAGAAGTACAGTCATTACTTTTTCATTGACTCTTGTATTTTTAATTCCTTTTAACTTTCAGACATGAGAAGAAGTGAATGTCTTTTGCAAATCCAAGCTACAAAATACAACTAAATGTTTTTTTCAAGGTTTCAACAGAAATTTCCTAAATCTCTTTGCTTTAGACACAAATAACAGAAACCACATCACTTGAGAATTATCAACAGGTGCAACAACTAAAATGGATAGAACATGTAACACAAAGAGAATATAATGATATAATAAAGATGTTAACATTCCACACTACTTCAATTAGAAAGTTCAGAAGAAAACCCCCATCAATACTGGAAAGAGTGATAAAAGCTACTGGAGTTGAGAAACTTGTTTTCCTAAAAGTATTTTGAACAAAAGATTTTATAATCTAAAACAGTACTGGCTGCTCAGTTAATGAATGGTAAATGTTTCCTTGTAGGAAAACAGCTAATATTACCATTACTCTTCTTAGTAAAATGGAGAAGTGCTTAGTTAAGAGTGACTCCTGCTTCCTCAGCTAAAATTGCTGAATTTGTGCTGTGCACAAAGGGTAGAGTATTGCCGTAAAACACAAAATGGCATCATGACTGTTACCAATATAATCAACAATATAAGAATGACTTTCAAAATCTTTTTGTTCTTATTACCTAAATTAAGCAGGTAAAACAATAATGATAAAAGATAAAGTGAATTTGTATATTTGATCCTTGAAAAATAGCTAAATAACTATTATAATTTTAGATTTATGCTTGATATAAGCAAACAATTCAAATTTTATTACTCCCATATTATCTCAAAGATCATCTTGAGCTTTCTAAATTCTTTCAGAAAATTTAAATGTAGTCTCAATGAATTTGTATGAAATATCATTTTAAATGTTTATTAAAAAAAATAGAATTTAAATGTACACACAAATAGAATCTTACATAGCAGAGGAGCATTTTTATTTATTTTTAGCATCCTTGAAAGGGTGTAGAGAAACTTATTCATTTATTATTTAAAAATGTGGAAATCAAGCCACCACACAATATAAGAGTGCTTGTTAGAAAATAAATAATTACTGCAAAATAAGTTTTAACAAATACATACCTTTGCTGTTCCTCTTCAAGCTTGATGAGAGCAGTTTCCAAATCTATTGTTAAAGGATTCATATTGCTCATACCATGAGATTCACCAGCTTCCAATTTCTTAGGATCTAAAGGTGACTGTCAACAAATAGTTAATAAATCAATAAATCATTGCAAAATAGATAACAACAGGTAATTACATACAAAACAATTGTCATTGCCTATATAAATTCTTTTAGAAAAAACAAATTAAAATATTAATAGTTTAAATAAACCAAATGATAAAGTACAGTATTGGAGGCATGGTGAAGTAACGGATAGCGGCTCAGATTAAGGAATCAGAGAGCCGAGTTCAAATTCCAGTCGAACCCATTACATTCACTTACGTGCTAATACCCTTGGGAAAGATATGAATCCTCTTCTTCTCCCTCTAGTTATGGGTACATAGCAGTACAGACCAGGTTCTATAGCCCTGGATGGCAACTGATCTACCGCAGAAAGAAATGGCAACCTACTGCGGGAAAAAAAAATCTGCCTCATCAGTCATGTATTGAAAGATACATGATTGCCTACACGTGTATCACACATGGCACATAACTGAACAGTATTTTGAATCTTTCTCAACCTTTTACATTCTTACCATGTTGGATGGAGCATGAGACATTTTGTTAAACTTGATGACAGTAAATAAAACACCAATATTATCAGCAGCAGTATCCAGTTTTGTCAGTTGTAATATCCATGTAGATAGCAGAACAGTGTTGGGAAAAAAAGTCAGTGTTAAGTATGGTTCCTATATATATATATATATATATACAAAAAATATAGTTTTATGTTATGCTATATTTGCAGGTAAAAGAGCTTAATATCAGGCTTAAAGTGTAAATATGAGTAAACACTGCTCAATGCTGAGTGGCGACAGTCTGTTTCATGCTTGGTTGCAATCTTCAGGTCATGTATGTGATTGGTAATGCAATTATTTATAGCTTTATATTAACTGTATTCTGGTCCATAATAATTTCTAATTCATAACCTTTAGAAACATTTAAAATATAACATGTTCTCATCACACTAACCATATGGATAATACAATAAACCAAAAATACCTGACCGTGCTAACCATAATGCCCTAGCATATGTAAATAGTTGAACTACCACCCAACAGACATGATCTGAAGATTACATTCAAGTATGAAATAGATTGTTGTCTCTCAGTGTCCAATTATATATATATATATATATATATAATAAAAAGGCTTAAACACTAATATTCCATGGTCATAATTTATTCCATAATTTATTCCATGGTCATATATATATATATATATAGATAGATAGATAGATGGATGGAAACACCTTATATTTCAATGTTGTTTGTTCCTATGAGCTTTACCAGAATTAAATAAGTTTATATTCTAATACATGAAAATGCAAATTTGTAGAGACCTATGTCTCTAAATATATATATATATATATATATATATATATATATATATATATATATATATATATATATATATACGAAAAATGAAATTCAGTTACCCAACTCTGCACTAATTATTTTCCCTAACCGTAAGACTACATTAAAATGAATTAAAATTATGTACTAGACACTTTGACATATTCAGGCATTATAGAAACTCCATGTAGAAAAGGACATTGAATGTTGTAATGTAAGATTTTCTCCATGACCTATGTCCCATCAGGATGTGGGTAATCATAGTTAACCACAGCTTCCTCTCTTGTTTCTTTCTGCAATACTTGCATCTTTATGACACATGTTCCTCTATCCACAATATTACTGGCTGCTTTCCTCTGCTTCTCTTACTTTCAATGCGTCCGGTGGGTGTTGAATTTACCAAGCCTTTTTTTCATTGTGTGCCCACAAAATTTCAACTGTCCCTTTCTGATTACCAGCAACAAATTTTTAATTTTTATTCTTAGAACTTTCTCATTCATTATATACATTGTCTCAATATTCATCAGTAGAACCACATCTCAGTTGTTTCAAGTCATTTTCTTTTCATTTTTGACAAAATTACCAGCTTTCACTGCTATATACTAGAGTAGATATTACATAGGAATCCAGTATTCTTAATTTTTAGGTTATTTTTCAATCCATTAGTACCTTATTCGCTTACTGAAAAGTATATTTTGCTTTTCCTATTTGCATTTGAGTTTTCTGTGTCACACTTTCCATAATGTTATTACACTGACCAGATAATTGAATTTCTGAATCAGTTTAGTTTTGATGTCTCCAATGCATAAATCACAACTTGTGGTGCCTCTTTTGCTCACTACCAGGCATTTTATCTTCTGACAATTAATGATCAGTCTTTTCTTGGTTTCCTCAATTGTCTTATCTAATAGTTCTTTCAGATTTACTTTTGAATCTGCCATTGGCATAATTATCATCTTCATGGTGTATGCTGTGAAGGTTACATTCACAGATAATATATTTTGGTTTAACATCTATTTTTTCTAGAATTATCTTGCTAAGCAAGTTCAATAAATCTGGTTAAAAAACACATTTCTGTTACACTCATTTAATTTGTAACCTATTAATTTACAAGCTATTTGTTTCCAGTGCAGCTTGCAGATTTTTTGTTTATCTTTTTCAAGAACTTTTGTACCATATTTTATCAAATGATTTAATGTAATCCATGAAATACAAGTGTGAGTCTTTCTACATTTGCATTGCTTGTTCCAACAGCATTCTGACTATGAATACAGAATTTCCTATTCTATACATTAAAATTCTAAGTTTCATTATATCACACATCAAACAGATTGTTCAATGAAGTTCAATTATTAGTATCTGGTTTCTTTGGCGACGATCTGAAAAGTGATCTACTTAGATCTTCCATTTGCCACTACTGTTTATATTCCGTTTATCAGTCCAATAAGTTTATCAATCCCCAAATCATTGAGGGCTAGTAGCATCTCTATGACAACCTCATCAGTTTCTATTGCTTTGTTCTTACTTCAAATTTTAGTATCCCAGGTCTTTTGATGCTTTTATATATTGTAAATTTCTTACCTCTGATCTTATAGAAGAGATTTCCTATTAATGGTTATTCTACAATTGCAGTATTTTTTTTCTTTTCTCAGAATGATTCTATATATTCTAACAAGGATTGTGTTTTCTGGCCCACTATTTCCTTCCTCTTTTGTGCATACCCATTACATTTGTGTCTTTCAGTTTTTGATCTTTGCATTTCCCCTTTAGCCATTCTCTTTGGTTAAATAATATAATCTATACAGAGTATGTGACTTGATGAAGGCAGATTTCAAACATAACGGCATGATGAAAACAAAGTGAATAATGGATTTAACTTTATTTATCAGAAGATGTTTGCATAAATAATTTCCTTCTAAGAACTCTTTTCCAAAATATACTCTCACATGCTGAAACAATTATACTGCAGAGAACCATACATTTACCAATACCGATATTGAACTTTTCATTCTCTTTTTGTTAACTGTAGATATATGCACATTTTTATAATACAGATCTTATGGGTTTTATAGAATATTATTCAAATTACTTAGCTGAAGAATTCTCAAGTATTATTAGATTTATGAGTGTTAGTTTTCCAGATTGTTTTTATCATAACTCACAGACCAACATTCTATGAAAGATAGTAAGCAGTGTGAACCAGAAATAAAGAATAAACTTCCAATAAGAGTCAAACTTACAGCCCTTATCCACAGGAAATATGGTTGTCCAGAACAGCTGCCTAACCAATCAGGCTACAAAGAACCACCAGTTACATAAATTAACATCTAGCCATATAGCTTTAATTCTTTATTTTCTTCAAATGCCTGATAAATCATTGTTGTTGTTTACAAACACTTATAGCAGTAATAGTATTCAAATTTCTATGATGAAACATTGACAGTAATTTTTTACTAATATTTCTTTCTTATTTCTGTTGCTTTTTAATATAACTTTCAGACTGTCATCCTATGACTGTTAGAATACCTTTACAGATTATTCAGCATAAAGTATATCATGTTATAAAATAGATAAAATAAAACAATATTTGATCATAAAATAGATGCTATTTGATAAAATAAAGAATTTCCCTTGAAAAGAACCTATCTCCCATTTTTAATCTCAAATTAATTCCTTTAAGATGAGTTATCTGTAGTATTCACAACTTTATAGTGATAGACTTGTATTTTTTAAATTAAAATAACAGCATGAATTCTCACACCATTTCTATAAAAAAAAAAAAACTACTTTTAATCAATGAAAATCTTAATCTAATCTCTAACAACCTGTCAAGAATTTTGGTTGCTTTAAAACATTTTAAAAACCAACTTCTATCAATGTTAGTATATTATTAGCACTATTCTGGAGTATATTAGAGCAGTATTTTCAATTATTTTGTGCTACAATACAAGTGTTATGTAAAAAGTCTAAAGATTTCCCTTTTTATTCTTACAAATACATTTAATATACAAACATTAATATTCAAAATATTAGCATATTGTTTTCACTAAAAAATAAAATTTGGAAAGACTGGAAAAAAAAAAAAAAAGAATGTCAAAGATTTTGCTTAGATTAATCAAGTTAATATTAAAAAGCCACAACCACCCAAAGTGGAAAGTAAATCGTTTGTTTTAGTTATTTTTTTTTTTTTTTTGATAACTTGAAACAAATTTTATTGTATCTGCATTTCATTCACTGAAACAATAGAAGTTAAAAATTCCAGGTAAATGCTCTCTATATTGTAAGTAGTTACTGTAATTTCTAAAGAAATAATGGATTTACTTTTAATCCAACATTTTTATTACTTCAAACATTATAGTGGACACTTCTTATTTGAAATAGACAACCCATTTTTATTTATTAAACAGCATGTATTACATCTATTGGCCTGTACACTCAAGAAGTTTTAGTAAAGAAAATGCATTCCCAGTAGGGATCGAACCTGAACGCCAATTATAGGGGAAATTCATCGCTAAGTGGTAAAACACACTGGATCAAAGGGGGATGCAGGTTCAATTCTTGTTGGGGAAGAAAATGCATTTTCTTTATGAAGATTTCTCAAATGTGCAGACTGATAGACAAAATACAAACTGCTTAATAAATAAAAATGGAGTGTCTATTTCAGATACTAAGTATCCACTATAATAACATTAGAAGTAATAAAAATGCAGTTACTGTAAAACATATTCCTTTTATGACTGTTAAATGCTCTAACCACAGAACAACAAAATTTAAGGCATCGACAGTTGGTGTTTCAATCAATGTGGTATATCTTTATAAACAATTTTTCTGACTGATAAATTTAATGTGGGAGTGGTTAAAGTATGCAAATTTCTACTGCAAAGCTATCACCAAGAATATATTTCCATAATGTGACTGAAACCTTGGATCAAATTATAAAATTTGAAACTTTTTCTTAAAAAAAGTAATTAGGTAATACTATAAAAATTGCATGTGTGATGAGGACTTTCCACTTGTAATAAGAAATAAATTCCCAGAATCACCACAGAGAGAGAGAGAGAAAGAAAGAGAGCGGGTAGAGAGAAAGATAGAAACTTATCAAAATTAAGCAAGCCACAAATACCAAGCCACAACACTGCACAACCAAGAGTAAGTTAGGTGCAAATAGAAGGAAAAAGATAAAATATAAAAGAGCAAACAACCAGCATTATTTAAAAACATGAAGAAAATCTGATATGGTTTAATAAGATTTATACATCCAGAAAGTGACTAAATGATTTTAATTTGCTTTCAGCTTCACAACTTCAGCCCAATGAAATGTGAAAGGTGAAAATTTGATGCATATTTTTGATTGGGACAAATGAGCAGCTTCTTCAAATATTATCATATAGTTTAATATGCTAAATATAATCACAAAATCAATGAAAATCCAATTGAAATACCTCTTTTATAAATCAACTGGAATTTAAGAAAAGAAAAAAAAAGAAAAAAAAAAAGGTAATCTATTTGTAGAAAACTTACCAATGTTACCAAATAGAAAAGAATAAAGTTTAGGAACCATATAAAACAAGAAGAGTAAACTTTAAAAAAATCTTTTTTTTTTAAATTTGAAAACAAGTGAAGGCAGCAGATGATGTGCAAGAAGCTAAACCATACAACGTCTAGGATTAAGTTATATTCCTGTCTTACCGACTCAAGAGTATCAAGATACTCATTCTTGATGTCAGATTGAAAGCTTTCAAATTCCTTGCACTTTTCCTTGTACTGTCTCACCTACATAGGGAAGACAAACAGTTTCAACAAGATTACAACAAAGGGAAAAAAACAAAATACACATGCAAATTTACCTTAAAGTGAGAAATGGATTTCAGCTCACTATTAGATGAACGAAGATATTCTTCCAGGTCCTGACACTTCTTTTTGTACTGTAGCAACTAAAATAAAAGCGTCACAAACAGGGTAAATAGCAAAGTTTAAAATAGAAAACATTTCAATATTATGCTTTTTAAGTTTTTTCTTACCATTGAAGGTGGTACCATATTTAATGATATATCATATAAACCCACTTGTATTTATATTTAATATTGCACTATTACATAATTCAACCCAGAACAAATATTTGTTCTGGGTTGAATTGTGTAATAGTAATCAACAACTGCAGTGGCCAACCATCCTTTATTCGAAAGGACAATTCTCTATTTACCTCTCTATATTCTTGTCCCTTTCTGAATTTGGAAGGTAAAAAAAAAATCAATGTTATTTTCAATTATAATGTGTATCTACAGGAATTAAATTAAAAATTACTATATATTTTCAGTTTACATTATTTTTATAGATACAATTATTTAAGTAAATGCTCTATTTATAATAAACAGTATTAATTACATTTACCATGCAGGATACAGGAATCAAACTTGTATCCTACATGAAACCGTCATTTGACCTGACATGCTATACCATTTAGCTACAGAGGAAACATCTGGTTAGAAAAGTACAAATTACTGTTTTCAAACAACAAATTTCCCACAATCTTTCCGTGCAGGATACAGGTTCAATTCCTGTCAGAGGACACATATTTTCTATGAAATTTCTTGGACATTCAGGCAGGTAATTGTAATTAATACTGCTTATTATAAACAGAGCATTTAAATAATTGTATCTATAAAAATAACATATAAACAGAAAATATATTAAAATAATTGTAGGATTTAGTCCTTTTCATAATATATATATATATATATATATATATATATATATATATATATATATATATATATATATATGACAAAATGGCAAAAGTTTTTGTGGGATGCGTTTCGTACTTTAGAACTTCAATGAACTAAATTTGTTATGATGAATCCTGAAGGACAGAATGCGTCACACAAACTTTTTCCACTTTGTCATACATTTTTCCCCCGATATTATTCTTGATATATAAAAATTTATATATCATTATCTCAAATATATATTCTTTATTAAAATTTGACAGAGTTAGTAACCCTATTTACAACATCTGAGTAAATATTAGCCTATAAGATAGCCAACCTTACCTTTTTAATGATTTAAAATTAATACTTTCTAGAATTACTTTCAAATTTTATATAATTTGGAAATAAAATTGAACTGGGCCATGTGTCCTCAAGAGTTGTGAGTTCAATACCTGGCTACAGCAGAGGTGAACAAAAAAACTTGGAGAGTTGAGTTAAAGGGAAATAACTGATACTGAGATATTCAGAAGAGGCATGGCATGTGGAACTAGAACAATCTACCCCAGTGGGAAAAATAAAGGGTTCAGTTTGAAATTCCAACCACCTGAAGAAGGCCGGAGTGTACAAGAGCCAAAATGTCATGAATATGGCAACATAAAAAGAGGACAACAGGCCAAACAATGAAAATAGTGTAAATAATTACAATACCTCATCTCAGAAATATAGACAGATATAGGAGTAGATGTTTATCACTTGTTTCCTGTTTAGGATTGGGTTTCTGGTTCCATCTATATTCTTCTCATTCTTTTCCACTCCCAGTAGCCCCTTGCATATTATTTACATTATCACCTTGCTTGGGGTGAAATGAAAAAAAAAAAAAAAAAGCTCATAAATAACACTAACATCCTGTTAGAGAATCAAGATTAAAAAGAAGGTTAAATAAAATCTTTTCAAAAATTGTGATGACCAGATTCTAGCAGCTGATCTTTACTCTGATCTAGCTTTAACAGTTCAGTAGGGAAAATAACATTCAATATCTTTAAAACCAAACTCAATGTTTCATCATCACCAAGCAGACCCCAGATTTTCTCTAGTCATAACGAATGGTTGTACTCTCAATGTGACTCCTTGCTGTGAACATTTATTGGGACTCCAGAACTCAAGTGGAACTTGTATATACAATCCATCACAATATGCTGTAAAAACGGTTGGTTCCTTGTATCTCTCCAAAAAGCACTTGGTTCCTCCTACCATGACCTATCTTTACAAAAGTCAGATCAAACCAAAAATGAAGTATTGCTGACAAATCTCCTGCTGGAGCTTCTCAATCTTCACTTTCCAACCTTGCTAAACTTCAAAAACATTTACACAACTTTATGGGTGATGAATTATTTTCTAAACTACAACCCTTTTCCCAAAGATGAAACATTACTAGCCTCTCAATACTCTATCACTACTTTCATGGCAAATGTTCAGATGGGTTACATTTCCTTAGTTCCACCCCTTTAGATTTTCACAGATGGGATCTGCCCAGTGATTTATATAAAGCAAAAATCCCCAAACCTTTGCAACTTAAAGAAATATAAAACATGGGTTTAATAATTTGAGAAAACCTTTTATTTTAATACTAAATCTGTCAATATTGTTCATTAAAGAACCACATTATGATCTTTATCAAATATGTTCATAAACTCCAAAACTCTCAAATCTATGATGACAAAGTATGAAGTTTGACTTTGTGGAATTCAGCATGGTAAACTAATAAAAGACATATAAGGAGCTTCTCATAGTGTACAAAAAATCTTCATAGGTAAATATATTGTGGGTCAATATACAGTGATTTTTTATTTGGCATCAAAATAGTTCAGTGTTATTGTTTAATGAAATTACTATTGTTCATTGTTCAGTTAGTGACTAAGAGATTAAATTTTTTTTTTTTTTTTTTGCAAAATTCTCCAAAAAGAGACTTATCTCTTATAAACATAAAAGAAAAAGTCATGCGTAGTCAACATTAGCCAAATTCTAGTTTGCTACTAATTCTGTTTTGAAGTAGTCTTTCCTGTTAGCTCACATTTTAATCAATGGCTTTTAACATTACTTTTAGGATTGCCTTCAATCTGGAATATAGAAATTTAAGATTTTTTTTTTTTTACAGTTTTAACAAATCCAGCCAAACAAGTCCAGCTTAATTTCTTGGAACATTAATTATTTTCTAGTCTTATAAAGAATTTGGTACTATCATTGATGAGACTAGAGATAGAATTTATCTAAAATCTCAAGAGTTATTTTCTGAGAGGTTAAGTCAATGTAAGTTCTATTCTCATTATTTCTTTTGTTGGCTTCGAAACATAAGTGTATATATATCTAAGTTCTTTTTCATATTAAATATACACATATAAAATAATAGTAAAAATCAACTTGTTACAGAAATATTTGCTGGAAATCATTTGAGCACACACACACACATTATATATATATATATATATATATATATATATATATATATATGTATATATATCACAAGATTAAAAAAAAAGTATTAACATGCAAACAAGAGCCAGATTAAAGCTTCCAATTCTTAAAAAAGGGAGAAAGAATGTTATGATATTGGCTTGAAAACAGTATTTTTAAAATTTTTATTTTATATTCATAATTTTATTATCTAATCCCCTCAAATAGAAAAAGGTATTAAATAAAAATTGGACAATGCACATGTCTATTCAAATTTGAATCATGCTCAACTGAAGTAAAAGCCCAAAAGTATTTTGTTTGAATATTGTCATAAACCAAAATGAATTTATGGATATTCTGCTTCCAGAATGCAGTAAGAATTTCTAAAAGCATGTCTTTATAATTTAAAATATAACTAAAGTAAAATATAAATAGAACTTATTCTTATATTTTGCATTAAATTATATAGGTTATTCTAAATTCTTCCTGAATAAATATAGACACAAATAAAGTAAAAGTGCTGAACAAGCTAAGAAATTCTTGCATTATAAGATCGTGTTTACATATGTGTGTGTAAATTACGCATTTTTAGTTATTATATTGAGTGAGTGCTTCAAAGTTCTTGGCCCAACCAAGAAATTTCGGCACCAAAATGCTAATATTTGGCTATTTAGTTAGATTTTGAGAAGTGGGTCAGGTCACAAACTTGTCAACATTTCTCACATAGTGCATTTGCTGAAATACAGGGTGGGCCATAAGTTTTCATACAGATGGAATTCTGTGAATGGGCATTAACCAAAGTGAATGAGGATGCAAACTTTTCAACTAAGATTTTGTTTAGTGATGAAGCAAATTTTTATGGCAGTGGAGAGGTTAATCGGCAAAACCTACGCTATCGGAGTAATGAGAACCCTAACTGGCTGAGTCCGACAAAGATGCAAGGTGCCAGTAAATTGGTGGTGTGGGCATATGGGGTGACAGAATTATTGGACCAATTTTTGTCAGTGACAATCTTAATGCAGAAAGGTATCTGAACATGTTGCAAGAGGAAATCCTCCCATCCCTGCTAAACAAGGAAGGTCACTACCGAGTTTACATCCAGCAAGATGGAGCTCCATCTCATTATGGTCGTCAAGTGCATTGGTATTTGGATCAGCAGTTTCCGGATGCTTAGAGTGGTTGTTGTGGTCCTGTGGAGTGGCCTCCAAGATCCCTAGATCTCTCCCCACTTGATTTCTATCTTTGGAAGTACTTGAAGGCCATAGTGTATCAAGTGAAGATACAAGACATAAATCATCTCAAGGAACATACCACCAACACCATTACAGGCATAACTTCAACTGTGTTAATGTGTGCTCATCAAGAGTGGGAAACGCATATTAATATGTGCTTTCGAAGCAATGGTAATCATACAGAGCACATTATATAAATAGAAATGGTTATCCAACATAAAATGTTTATTTTTTTCTATGTATGGAAACTTATGGCCCACCCTGTATAATTAAAACTATTTGCATAAAAATTTATTCTTAAATAAAACTTACATAAAAATAAGGAAAAAAATTTTAATATTCACCATATCAGACAGTCAGTGACAGTATTTAGATATAAGTAAATAACTCTACATTATATGTAATTTAAGAAACACTATAGAATATTAATGTTAAATCAACATATCTCTCTCTCTCTATATATATATATATATATATATATATATATATATATATATATATCTGACATTTTTTATTATTTGAAACATTATTATAGTGGACACTTAATATTTGAAATAGATGCCACATTTTTATTTATTAAACACCCTGCACACTTGAGAAATCCTAGTAAAGAAAATATGTTCTCTAGCAGATATCAAACCTGCGTTCCAGTTTGTAGGGGAAGCCACCATCTGATCTGGCATGCTTCGCCATTCAGCAATGAAGAACATCACAGAAAACAAGATTCCATTTTCCGGAGACACATTTATTTTACTAGAATTTCTCAAATCCACAGTCCATTAAATGTGATAGATGTTTAATAAATGAAAATGAAGCATCTATTTCAAATACAAAGTGTCCAATATCATAAGATTTGAATATATATATATATATATATATATATATATATATATATGAAGAGAGAGAGAGAGAGAGAGAGAGATATATACATGCATGAAACTCAGAGTTGTACTAAACAATGAGGGACAAATTAATATAAATTTTAGCTCTGTTATTTTACATTTGACACAATTTTATTTATCACTAGCCCTCACTGTGCATTATATATAAGGATTTTTTTTATTTACACTTGAAAATTTTTTATAACTTTTTAAAATAAAGTTAATAATAAGGCGTATTTTGTTTTGCCATGTTTAAGATTTATTTATAATCTAAAAGTGATCTTTATAAAAAAAAAAAAAAAGAAAAAGATATATAAAAATTTCCTTGATCCTTATAACTTTTTCAACTTCAAAATCATGTTTTAAATGCCCCCTTTGACTTTACTAGAAACTAAAATCAATAAGCTTCAATAAAAAATATTTCTATTTCAAAGATGGATATCTTAAATAAAAATGAAAAGTATTAAATTCAAACATTTTCAAGCAAAAGTATTCTAGACAAAATCCAATATCTCACATCAACAATTTATTGTACATTTATTGTTAAAATTATCAAATTAATGAAAATAAGTTTCTTCAAATTAATAATAAAATTTTGATGATTAACCACATTATAGTTATTATGAGACAATAGCCATATCCTCTCTGGTTATTTTCTTTTATATATGGATACATTTTCAAAATAGTATGTTTTTTTTTTTTTACTTAGTTTAGCTATTGCCAGTTAGTAAATCTAGATTGTAGGTAACAACCCTTATATATATATATATATATATATATATATATATACACACACACACTGGGTTTTAAAGCTCTACATACGCTACAAGTGCGTTCGAACATAAGAAACAAGCTAACTTTTTATTTTTTTCTAATAAAAATATTTTTTCTCAATATCAATTCTAAACTTGAATTTCAGTTTTATAAATATGTTATGTCGACTGTTTTTTGGGGCATTTTTTTTCCCCCCTACTCAGGCCAAGTTTAGTTATGGGGAAAAATTCAAATGCAAAAAGTAAATCATATTTAAACACAGTTTCAAAGATAAAATTGTTTTTGTTTTCCTGGAGAGCCAGATTTTTTTTTTGCATTGTTTTCTGGCCAGGTAAGTTATAAAAGTTAAACTCACTTAAAATTCAGAATTAGTAGACAGAATAGAGGAATTTATTTTTGCAGCAAAAGTTATTCTTTTAGGAAATACTATTTTTTATGCATTTTTATTTTTTGCTTTTTCATCAACGTTGGAAGAAAAGGGGAGCACAAAAACTAAAAATGAATTTTAAACTCAGACTCAACACCAATCAAATATCCACATTAATCTTTTTTAAAAGAAAAATTTTTTTTCAAGAAAAATATTTTTTTGTATTATGCATTGTTTAGCTTCAGTGCTATAGAAAAAGTAAGTATAAAAAAAATCAATACAGAGTTCAAATTCAGTATCTGTCAAATTATAGACATTATTCTGCCTCCATCTAAAAGATAGAAACTGGAAAAAGTTTTATTAAATTCCATTCACCACAGATAAATGTGAGCAGCCTTTTCAACCATATCCATTATTTAATACATCAATTTCAGAGCCATACCTTAGCTTGTAGTTTCTGCACAAGTTGTGCTTGTCTTTGTTGTCCTTCTTGGTATGCTTGCAACTTACGCTTATAGTTTGCATGCTCATCTTCCAGTTTCTGGCGCATCTCAATATTCTGCTGCATCAAACGACGTGCTGGTTCCACAGCCTCGGCAGCTTCTCCCTTCATTAGTTGTTCGAGCTACAGAAAAAACATACAATGCAGACAATAGAATAAAAACTAATATTTCAAATATATTTTCAAACTTGCTCTAATAAAGATTACTTTTTTATTGCTTTTTAGTTTTTCCTTCAGAGTCGTTAAGATGATTCTGAATACAAAAGTCATGAGCCCCCAAACCAAAAATTACCACTAAAATATTTGTTCTCCTGCTAAATAAATATATATATATATATATATATATATATAATAATGATCTGACCTCTGAATGCTTTTATTTGTTACTGAAAAACAAGAAAAATGGCACAGTGTAATACAATTCTTGTGAGCACAACATAGTCAAAATGTTCTAACTTGAAGAATGAAGCAGTTTAAAGTTTAACTAGGTCATCAGTTTCAAGGTAATTGTTTTAATTAAGTATAAATTGAAAAAAAAATAAGGGAGATAATTCCAGGTATATTAATTACTAATTACAGAGTTTTTTGTTTTTCTTAATAACAAAATAATAGGAATATGCAGGGAAGAAACTGTGAAACTTAATGATAATTAACATTTGTAAATAATTTTTATAAATTCTATCAAAAAGAAGTGATCTGATATAAAAAAAAGAAAGATAGTATTTAAGCAAATATTTATTTTAAAAAATAACTTGTATATAAAGGACTGACCATTAAAGAACTGCCTATATATCTATTGTCAGAAATTAATTAGAAGGTATCCCTGTCCTGCACAAATAACTGTTAAGTAATGCATGTATATTGCATTTTGTCTGGTTAGCCCAAGGATTATAATTTTCAAGAGTAGGAAAAAGTATTTTTTTAATAATTATAAGAAATATGCTTGTCAAGATTAAATGATGATAGATTTATACCTCAATCCCTAGAGATAAAAATTAAATGAAATATACAATTAAATCAATAATAGATTTATCATTGTTAATAATATTAATAATAGTAGTAATAGTAGAAATAATACCTACCATTTTAGTGAGTTTATAACTAAAAAACAAATGTTGTTCCTGTTAGAGCATGCTATTCAATAGCTGTACCTAAAGAACTAGAGACAATTACTACACTTAGTAACAATGTCCACAAGAGGCAACATAAGAATCAAGATTATTAGCAGATCAAGTCTCAAATGCATGTTTTGTCTTGCTCATATACCATCAGTTACTTATAGTCATATCTTGTTAGAAACACTAGTTCTCCTGAGGTCACTGTTAGGAACACTAGTTCTCCTGAGGTCACTGTAGCCAGGTTATTAGCAAGATCAAAAGTACTTGCAAACTGAAAATCTTGAGATTTAAGGTTCTTGTCTTAGCAACAATATGGTTACATGGCCACACACAGTCAGGGAGAAAACTTTTTCTACTAAGTAAATATGTAATCATGTACTTATAAAATTTGTGATACCTAAGTTGTATTAATACATATATTTTCTGCAAGTCAAGGTATATCCAAGATATTTGAAATAAAATTTCAGGTGTCAGGCAGGTAAAAGTAGTTAAATAAAAGAAAGCCAATCTCAGACCATATAAAAAATTTTTGCAATTTTTATATATATATTTATTTTATGTGTATATATATATATATATATATATATATATATATATATATATATATATATATATATATATATATATATATATATATATATATATATATATATATATATATATGGGGGTATGCTACCAAAACATTTAAGGAATTTCAATAGGTTGGTCATTTGTTAAGTTATCTAGCAGTTCCTCAAAATTGCCAGATATTATACTGATCTCATTTTCTATCAAATGTTTTTCCTTGAAGAAGCTATTTTGCATCATAAATTCTCCAAAGTATTTTGTATTTGCATAATTTATCAAGTATTTGATATTTAAGCTACACTGAAAATCATAGATATCTACACTTTAGTTCAAATTTGTTTCGATTTTTTCTGAAGATTTAATAGTTAAGTGATATGTTGGACCACATAGTTGTTCAATAGTCAATGGAGTTATACTGCAAGTGATGGAGAGATTTTACATTTTTTAAATACTAGTAGACAGAATATTTTTTGTTTTCATCAGAACAGACCCTTCTTTTAAATATCTCCAAATACCTGTTTCTTTTAAAGAGACAGTTTTTTGTATACTCACAATAATGATATTATCAAATGATTTCTTTAACAAAAATATAAACTAAGAACATTCCATATTCCCATGAAGTGTAAAAATATTGAAGTACTTCAAGCAGTTTTTTAATTACAGTTCTTTAATTCCTTTATTGGTCATACAATTGATAGGACTTTCTCCAATATAAATAAATTATACAAAAAAACTATCAAAAGTTTCAGGTGATTTCATTACACTCATCAGTCTGATCATTTGCCAACATTTCCAGCAACTTCCTGGATATTTGGCACATATCCCAAAATCACTCCACCTGGAAATAAAGTATTTAAATTTTCTATTATTTTGTTATCTTCTTTGAGCAGGCAATTTTGCACTTAAATTCCTTAAACTTCTAAAAAGCATTTTGTACAGCTCAGAATGAAGAATGCATTGATCAAATTGCTTATTAACTTGACTGTTATTGCCCAAGTATCCAAATCCATTTTTCTTCAGGTCTTTATTTGCTCTTGTATAAAAATTAGTTGTAGTCATGCAACAAGTTCATTCTTCCTAATTTGGAAGTATGAACTTATCACATAACCACAGCTATTGACCCCCACCCCCACCTATGATTGACAGTGGTTATTTTACAGTTGCAACAGCTCAAAGCTGAGTAGATCATCTAATTTGTTGTATGTCCATAGATTTTGATATAGGTTCTTTGATGTCTTGTTTTCCACTAGCTGAAAAGGAATATTTTCAAATACTGCACAAAATCAATGAAGATCCAATACCTGCTTAGCATCTATAACAGTCATTTATTATCAAGATAAGAATGGTTTGACACAATGAAATTGGGGAAAACTTATAGCTGCAGTGGAATGATTGTATCTGTTTACTCATTGTCTGCCATAAGTCTCCAGGTAACATCTTCCTGACTATTCTCACATGTGTCTCTTAAAGAGACAATCTGTCTTTATCATGACATTGATGCACAACTGTTTTCTTGTAATTAATCTCAAATGCTCAAAATTTTCCCACAGTCTGAAAACCAAATGGCCCTAATGCTGATAAGTGATCCAATAACCAGGATTTAGCCCTTCCTATGATTCCATGTAGAGTTGGCTGAATCATGCAAACTATAAACATCCCAGTAGGTTAACTGATCCATATTTTATCCAGGAAACTATTAATCATACCAAACCCAGTCAAGGCAGTTAAGAGAGGGATTAGATAAATCTTGTTATACCTTATTGATGATCTAAGTGAAAAAAAAAAAAAAATCAATCCTTGCTAGTTCTGTTTCCACCATTCACTTATAGGTTTAAATTAAGATGTTTCATTGGTTCTTTCTTGCATTGATCCCTGCACAATATAATATGCTTTTTCTTTTCTACTTTCATCAATTTTATTTTAATGCTACAAATCTTCCAAAGAGTGTTTTCGTGAATGAACAGGAACTTAACCCAGTTAAAGAATTTCTAATTCCAAATATGTAAGACTTAAGATAATGATATTAAATTTTCTGTTGGTAAGCTAGTTGAATAGATATTCATGTACAAGACCAAGAAAAATAATTATTTATTCTATTTTCATACAAGTTATATTTTTAAAAGGTAAATAAGTAAGAACAGTACTGAGGAAAGAATCTCTGGGCATGTTATTTTATTCTTTACCAATTAGCTCTATCTGTAAACATCCACTTAGTTTTGTCTACCATATATACTTGAGTATAGTGCAAATTTTTACGGTCAGTTTTTGATGCAAAAATGGAGGGGGAACACACTATATACAGGTAAATTTGTTCTGAAGGGTTAAAATTTATGCAAAAAAAATTCAGGGTCATACTATACATGGAGTTAGCTTATATATATATATATATATATATATATATATATATATATATATATATATATATATATTATATATATATTATATATATTGTATGCTTATTTATTAAAAGCGCTCAATATCAGAGATAGAGCTAACATATTTGGTTGGATATATATATATATATATATATATATATATATATATATATACACACATATACATAAACCTTCAGTAGCTCTATATAACATTAGATATACAATAAAAAATTATGAATACAAATGATGGATTTAGTCAGATTTGTCTAAAAATCCAAATCCCACCATCTCTTAAATTTAATAATATAACAACTTGATCAAAGTCATTTAGGAAAAAAAAAGAAGCCTAAAAAGAATCCCACTTCTAAATTAGATTTAAAGAAATGCTATTTTAAAAAAAAAAAAGGAAAAGAAAAAAAAAATTCTTAAACACAAATTATGCTATATATCTATTTTTGGATATTTTTTATAGCAAAATAATTGAGTTTTATAAGATTTTTAATTTGTTTCTCTATAAATGACATTTTCTACCTATGTAAATAAGTATATATATATATATATATATATATATATATATATATATATATATATATATATATATATATATTTTATATATTGTTATATTGAAAGCAAAGAAACCACCAGGAATTTTTTCATGAAATGTTACACACATTCAAAATGCCAAGAAAATAGATTTCATTTGCAGTGAAAGTGGAAGAAATAATATGTTGCTTTTTTATTATGTTTATTTTTACTATTTCTACTATTGTATTATGCCATCTGTCCTCTAACCAGAGGAGTTTGTCAGGGCGCCATGCTGAACTGGAATGTCAAGAGTGACATTCATATCCATCATTACATTTTAGTAAACAACAGGAGTTCATTACTACTTTCCATTTAAAAGCCATTGAATTAAGTATGAATCTGTCAAAATAATATTAACCAGCAAAGATTAATAGTAATTTCAATAGAAATTTTAACCTAAGCAAGGATAACATTTAGGGTAATGGTCGGTTTGCAGTCAAAATAATGAATGAAAAACATCTACAAAAATATTTAGTTT